AGTCTCAAGCGCCCCCGCCTCACTTATTTTTTTACCCAGTTCTAGGCGCTAGCGCCCGAGTCTCCAGCGCCCCCGCCTCACTCTTTTTTTTTTAAAAATTGACGAACCCTCGAGCCCCTCTTCCACCTTATCTCTTCTTCTTCTTCCCTCCTCCAACCCCCCCCCCCCCCCCCCCCCCCCCACACCGAACCAGAGCAGCCGCCGCAAGCGTTGCCGCCCAGGACCAAGGCGCCGACGCCGCAGAGACAGGCGCCTCCGCTGTCGAGTGAAGCGCCGCCGCTGCTGACAGAAGCGCCACCGCCCGACAGAGATGTCCTCCGACGAAGAACCAATCGCCGACAGAGGCAGGGTGAGAGGCCGGCGAGGTCGTGGTGGAGTCGGCGACAGTTTGCGCGGTGAGACTCTCGCCAACTGCTTGGATTTTTTTTTAATGTTTAGTGATTTTTTTAATGTTTTGTTGCTTTATTTTTGCAGTTCCTAGGCTTATAGATCCTTATTCGATGAGATTACCGCCAGGGACAATTGATCCAGGTCCGGTCGATCCGACACTTCTTTGGGGACATGGCCAACATCGTATCGACTCTGTTTGGACAAACGAGGTAAGTATTTGATAATTATTCATGTAAAGTTAATTAGCTAATTAGATTATTTTAGTTGGTGAACTGAACTGTACTGAAATTAGAATAGGATTACGTATCATATTTTTTGAAATTAGTATAATTTGATATTAGATTAGACAGATTAGAATTTATTAGGTGAAATTAGAATTATTACGAATGAAAATGAATTAATATAAGTTTTGTGCACTATAGGCTGGTGATCGATCTTACCATGTTCGAGGTACGACCATTTTAGTACCTTACTATGAGCTTTATCGGCCATATCTCGAAGCGGCAGGCTTGTTAAGTATCGTGCCCCTAGTCCCTATGAACCCCGATGCGAGTTTGATTAATGCGCTCGTAGAGCGGTGGCGACCCGAGACGTCGACCTTCCATCTACCGTGGTGAGATCACGATCACGTTAGAGGACGTTGATACACAGTCCGGTCTGGCGATCGGCGGTGATGCCGTCGTAGTTGATATACCGGATGAGGAGTGATCGACGATCTGTTTGAGACTGTTAGGACGGGTTCTGGCTGATCTTTCAGGCGGTGTCACTGTCGTTAGGATTGTTCGGCTGAGGGTTGAATTCAGTCATCTGCCGGAAAATGCATCACAGGAGGTTATAGAGCAGTTTGCACGAGCTTATGCTCTATCTTTGATTGGAGGTGTACTTTTCCCGGATCGGTCTGGAGCTACGGTGCACCTACAGTACCTACTTCTGATTGAGGATTGGCAGAGAGCTGGACGGTTCGCCTGGGGAGCTGCTATTTTATCCTACCTGTACCGTGAGATGGGTAGGTCGACTTTGAACATTACGCATACCGGCACTTCTCTAAGCGATGACCTTGGTGGATGGGTCGCCCTACTAAAGTTCTGGGCGTGAGAGCGATTCCCACATATGGCACCTCGAGATTCAGAGACGAGGGCACCGGCCACCGAGGATGCATCCCCACGTGGTCTTCGATGGCTTTCGGCCAACAGTCGTCAGTATGGTGACCAGCTATTCCAGTACAAGCTGTGGTTTGACGCGATGGACACCGTGGTGGTTAGTATATAACATTCCATTTTATAGAATAGTTTTCATTTGTTTTATTTTTTAGATATTGGGATAATAACATTGATTTTTTTTTATGTAGTGGCAACCTTACCTTGAGAGAGCACTTCATCTCAGAGGTAGTGTGATACAGTCTGAGACATTTCGAGTAGTAGTGCCACTTATCTGCTTTTCATCGGTGATGTGGCATCATCCAGACCGTGTGCTCCGGCAGTTTGGCATGATCCGCCACATCCTGAGGCTGAGGTTAGGTTTTTTCTTCGCAGGCTACTCGTGGGCAATCGCGTGGGCAGCAGTTGGTACACGCCTCCACAGAGTCGCTTGCTTTCTGGAACCGTCGACACGAGTTTGTAGCGACGGCTCCATACACCGATGAGGAGTTAGCCTACCACTCGGAGCATATGGAGTGGTATAGAGATGTCACCAGACGTTCCGGCACACGGAGAGGAGCTGCAGCAGAGGCATTGGTTAGTTATTTGATTTGTTTGCTTAATTTGTTGTTAACTGTGTGAAATATCTGACATTTTGTTGGTGTTTTTTAGTACGACACTATCGAGCATGCTGAGGTGAGTTTGCGTGACGGTGTACGGGCTGGAGGGCTGACCCCCGACCAGTGTGAGGACTTGGACAACCTTATGGCATTCGGGGTCGCTACTCTAGGTTTTGAGCAACGTAGATACCCTGATCTCACAGTACCTGTACAGCCCCATTATGATCAGCCCGTCATGACTGCCTGGCCAGAACGTACTGATCCAACACCGGGCTGATGTACCTAACCCGTTCCGGGTTTCAGATCGATAGCGAGCACAGCCCGTCCGGCCTACATCGAGGAGCTTCCAGTTTAATCTGCTTCGGTGTCAGTTTCAGTCAGATCCTTCCTCGAGCTTTCAGCCGCCGAGACGACAGCAGTTTCAGTCAGATCCGTCTTCGAGCTTGCAGCCGCCGCGACTGCAGCAGTTTCAGTCAGATCCGTCTTCGAGCTTCTATCAGCCAGAGGATAGCTTCCATACACCGCAGCATGCTACGATGGGAAACATGGCCTCAGGTGGTGATACTAGAGCAGCCTCGTCTCCCGACCTGTGGGGCAACCTAGAGGGTGATGAGACGTTTCGGGAGACGATGTGGAATTATGAGTAGCATGTTCAGTCTCAGCAGCATGGTGGCGGTCAGCCTGAGGAGCATCTTCAGTCTCAGCAGGATGATATGTTCGGTACACAGGATCATGATGGTGATATGTTCCTCATGAACCATGGCCAACTCTCAGTATTCTCGCTCTCCACTATGGCAAATGCAATTGGAAAAATCTTCTTCCGACCATCAAATGAGCTCGCCATGAGTAGCACTCCTTTATACTTCCCAGTAAGAAATATTCCATCAACAACCATGACGCCTGGACAATTCTTGAATCCATCTATACAAGGTCCATAAGCCCAGAATACTCGCTGAAATATTGAATGACCTGGTTGAGTCGAAGGAACTCTTACCCAATCAATCACCGATGTTGGCATTTTTCTCTTGACCACCCGTAAGAATGTTTGCAAAAAATCGTAGGATTCTTCCCAATTTCCATGCAATTTCTCCAATGCTCTTTGTTTCCCAAAACCAAGCCTTCTTGTAAGTAACTTGCATATTAAACTTATCTTTCAACTCGGCCTGAACAGTTAGAACACTCAGATCTGGTTGGGCACGTACCAAATGTTTGACGACCTCAGATATCATGTCGACATCAAGATGGCAATGATCCGTCGGTTGAGTCGTACTGCTACAAGAATGCACCAACTCAGCCTTTCTCACAGTCCATTCGCCTCCAACATCTCGACATCCAAACCGCACCATCCAAGGACAATTGTCATCCTTGTGCCTCAAGCATATGACCTTCCAGATTGAAGGTGACAACTCCACCACGCCATATTGAAAGTTGTGTTGTAGTGCGTGGTGTTTAATCTCCATCTGTGCAGCTTGTTTCGAGTGAAATATCTGCCCCTTGTAGAATTCTCCTTCAAAACTATCAACAATAGACATTGGAATTACGCCATATGAATCAGCAAGTGATAATTATTCGTCCTCTTCATTACCCTGCAAGTAAAAATATGGAGGATAATTAGGCTGCTCTCCTTCCCCCTCCTCCTCCTCCTCCTCCTCCTCCTCCTCCTCCTCATCTTCCTCCTCTCCGTCATCACCGTCATCATAGTCATGATCGGATGGCACGCTCCATGTATCATCTTCTTCCTCTCCACCCTGATCTTCACTGGGCTCAACATGTATCTCAGCACCCAAACAATAAGGATTTTGTGCCATAAATTTCTAAAGCACATTCAAACTATCATCATCCATAATAGGTATCGCATAATGAAATAAAACACCATTCTGCCATTCTGGAAGACGGTAAGTGAAACCTGTGATCACATCAATATCTTGTACTACTTCGTCTCTGCGCCGTATTCTCGGAATTAGATTCTCACAAAGTTTGTGATATGTGACCCTGGATGGAACCGTCAACTGAAAACTACTACCACCAACGAATTTGACGTCCAAATTATCCTCTACTTTCTCCGATTTCCACCGAACGACTACTTCAAATCTTCTAAAATCACTACAAAAAAACAAACTCACTAATTAAAACTAAACACAATCATAATAGCATTTGAATAATATAATTAAAAAAATAAATGTGTCTCTTACCTATTAGCCATTTTTGTAGCAGCAACCAGAGCTCTCTCCTCTATTTTGGACGATTTTTTGTGTGGTGTGAATCTGAAACGAAATTGGTTGGGTTTTTATAAGGTGGGTGGCCAGCAATAAGCCAGCGGTGCCACCTTAGTCTTGGGCGCCACCGCCTGGGATGATTTCTCACCTACTCACCTAGGTCTCAGGCGGTGCTGCCTGAGTCTTGGGCGCCGCCGCTGTCAAATTAATAAAACGGTCCAAAAAACCAGCTAAAGCGGCAGCGCCTGAGTCTCAGGTGGTCTCGCCGATTCTTTTCTCCAAAACACAATATCTGTATCAATACCTTTTAATCCGCCATATTGATGGTAAATTAAAAAAAAACAATATTTGTGTCATTCTTCCGATTATATTATTATAATCCCATCTGTTAGATTTGGTTAGTTCAAATGAGTTAAGAAACATTGTCGTGATGTGGTTCCCCAGCTGCCACATCATCTCATACCCAAAACGGGAAGAAGAACTAAGAGAGTGCCCTTTGAGTTTCAATTATATCATCACTAATCTATTTGGACTTTTCTTCTTTGCTCCAATTTGAGCTTGTGGTGATCATAATTCATACCAGCTTTATATATTTCCAGGAAATGAAAACTAAAATGAACCTTCATAGAAAGAAAAAAGCCAAACAAAATACTATATTGCACAAACTGAATTGCATTATCCTCACTAAACTCTTTTTTATTTATTTTTTCTGCCAATGTTAACTTCCTTGAACGAAATCCTAACTACACATCCTTAACACCGGCCGATATACCAAACCCTAATCTTACTACTTTATTTGATGATCAGATTAATCACAACACGCAGTACAAATTAAACACTAGCTAGCTAGCTAACTGTCAAAAGGGTAACAAATGTCATACACTTTGGTGCCGCCATCATACAAACAAGGTCCTTTCTCGTAAATGGTCCACTGGCAGTGAGTGCACCGCTCATCATCCCTGCTCTCAACATAAATGTTGAACGACTTGTTGCCGCCACTGCCATCCCATTCGAACGAACAGAAATACAACGTTGTTGGCAGAACGTTGGGGTAGAACTTCCAGCTGAAAAACCCATCCGTTGTTAACACTTTTTCTCCCAGATCGTCGTCTTTGGACTTGCAATGCGCCGTCAGCTGCACCTTGAGCCCGTTTGTTACTTTCACAACCGTTTTTTCGATGATCCCTTCCTCTTCTTCTGCATTCGATGGTGTTCCCATGAGTAATAGGATTGCCATCATAATCCATGTTGTCGCCGCTATAGATGCTGCTGCCGTCCTCATTGGAAGGCTTTTTTGTTCCACCGCTGAGTTAGTTGAGTAGTGATTTTCGTTGCTATAGGGGTGAAGGGTATTTATAGGGACGGGAGGGAGGGGTAAAGAGTTGTATGTATGGCTATGGAGTAGTTTAATAGGGTTTTGACTTTCTTCTTCTTGTTGTTGTAAGTAGTTAATGTGGTGATGGGATTTAATGACTATTGTGATTGTGTTTCTGACTAATAATTAAGATGAATTAAAGAATGAAATCTCTACAGCTACTCGAGAGCAACTTTAGAGATGAATTTATTTTGAGCTGTTGAGAATAATTAATGGATGGCATGAAAATTTGTAACTTCTAATTTTGATGAGTTTTATGTCAAATTATATTACTGGTTGTAACGACTAACGAGGGCCATGTCATCAAATTTCTTATTCGTGAATACCTTAAAAGGTATAATACGATGACCAAATCCCTTTGATCACAAGGTCATCTCATGCCAAGAATTTTCATCTACGGTACTAAAATGTGTCGAGAAATAGCCCATCTCTCGAGTCTAGATTGAATACTTCTTGTCCATCAAGAAACAACGTACAATATAAGGCGTGCAACTTTGTGAACCTTGACACAAGTGACATGTACACCAGTATACAAAAGATAACAATATATGATAGAAGAGTCACAAAGCTACATAGATCATTAAAAGATATAATCTATATAAACTATTCGGTGTAATCTGTCCAATTGAAAGATGAAAAACTTAACTCGCTCATTCATCTTATAAGTAAATATTTCTCATTCCCTCACAAAAGCTAATATCTTTTGAACTCCTTCTTTTGTTCACTTTCTTCATTAACTTCATGGTCGAAGGATGTTTGTGAAGCTTAGCGTTTGAGAAATATTTTACAAAGCACATTCTTCGGCTAAACAACCCCTGCAGGTCCATCCAATACATTTAGGACACCTTGCTTATTCCTCAAAACTAACTATCTCTTCAATAAAACCATGTCGCATTCTTAATTATCGAACCCAAATTAAATTTTATGGCTCAACGTACGGTTAAGGTAGCTATTAACAACCGGGATGGGATTAGGTGCTAACTTTTATAGGGGTTAGCACAGTGATAACTAGCAAAAATCACTACGCTAAATCACTACTAATTCAAACTAGTAGTAATTTTTCTCTTGGTTAGAACGGTGCTAACTATTGTACAATTAGCACCGTAACCCATTAACAACCACCAAACTTAAATTTTAAGACTCGATCAAACTAAAAAATTAAGGATCTATAGATATATGGTTGAGATGCATATATACATATTGTGGTCACATATTCAAACTATTCAACGATTCCCGAAAGGCAAAAACTAATTATAGTCATCACCAACCACCCCAAAGGGAGAAGAAAGGGGAAGGAAAAGGGAGGTGCGGTGGGGCGGGGAGACAAATAATGTCGGCCGACGTCTCATCCTGCAAATAGTCAAAAAAACCTTTTGCCTCCTTATTCAAAGCTTGCAAATGTGACAGAATTTCGGCTGCCAAATATAGATTTCTTGTGTTATTTTCGATCTGATGACGATGGCCGAAAAGCTAGGTTGCCTTCCAATATATATTAGACTCATTGCCAACTTTAACATTTAATTATCTTTTTCCAAGGCAAAACCCCCTTTTGGCAGGATTTCATGGCCGACTTATTAGTTCCACTTCCTCCTGCTGTCTTCCTGTAATCTAATTACTGAATCGAGTATGTGCCACGTTATATAACTCGCAGCAGAAATGGGTTTTAAATTGTAATTAGGACGTTAAATTGTAAAGGTGATGGACCAGAAAATAAACCAAAAGGAAGGAAACAAAGGAGACAATATCTAGTCTGAAAAGTGTTGATGATCATTTAAAGGGCGTTTGATTTTACATGTTTTATGAACAGATTCAAAGGCCCAGGCGGATGGATCAATGCATTAACAAGATTTAACTATCTCCATCTAATATTATTTGTGTCGCAGAGGATCATGAGGAAGTGCCAATCAAATGTACGGATGTTTCTGGCATCTGTCTTAAGTCCATTCAAGAGCCTGAGACATGACTCGTGAGGGAATTCATTAAGAATGATGTTAATTAGGACTGTCGACCCTGAATATTACGAACGAATCCCCAAATTAATGCACTACAAATTAACATCACATGGAAAAGAAAACTGATCAGTACAAAGTAGATTGTTTTTTCATAGGATGAGTTCCAACAAGAAATCCACGAAAACTTTAATGATCAGAGCAGAAATCATGGCTAGATACCTGAAAATAGATTTCCCCTCTAAGAAAGTAGAAACGTGCTGAATTCAGGCAAAGTGAGGATGTAAAGTTCATTAGGAATAGTCAAAGTAGGTGGTTGAATTTGAATCGCGGGTTGAGATCGATCTACGAAATATTCAAATTGTTTTGACGGGATTATGGATATGCAAATCTTTTACTCGCACTTATGTGGATAAGAGGTGAGTAGGTGTGGGTCACTCAAAAGACCTACAACTCATTTTCACATGGCAAATAGTCATTTTTTTTCCTTCATGTTAACAATTGGTTTTCGTATTTCATAAGCACACTATATAGATTATCAACAAGAAAAAAATTATCGAGGTGTAAATTAGAAACAATTAATTGTATCAAAGTCGTAAGAAGCATCAATTTTCTCAACAATTGCTTGATTTAGAGTAATCAAATTATTGATATCTTTTCCAAAGAACTGAAGACAAAGTGGGAGGTGTATAAAGTGTTACAATCTTCTTAATTTGTGTGAATTTTTTTTAAGAGTTAGTCTACTCGCTTTATGGTTAATTGGTGAAATTAAATGCTTTGATGGTTTAACACACATTCCAACTTCACTCACCCATCATCCATGTTTCCCAACTCGAAAATGAACATTGGTGTGTAACTGATCATATTGATACCAAACCGCTGGTAATTGGGTGGGTCAATTTGAGACTGACCATCTTGACCCATATAATGATCATCCCAGCTTTAGTGTACTTCTATCTTCTACTAATGTAAATGAACTTATAGAAGACAAGTATCGCCAACTTATTTCAATTTTTCGCATCTAATGATCATCCCAGCTTCAGTGTGCTTCTATCTTCTACTAATGTAAATGAACTTATAGAAGACAAGTATCGCAACTTATTTTGATTTTCTGTAAAAGCAAGGTGGTCAGTTGAAGCAGAGTATATCGGCATGTCAGGCACTATAAGAGCACAAGCAGAATCACATCGGAAGATGTACGTGAGTCCATGAACCCCGTTGAAAAAGAAAAATTTTGAAAGATAAAAATATTAAAACAACAGCGAAACCGACTATAATCAGACTACGCATATTACAATTTACATCCAAACGAAATGAGTCGATAGTTAATTTGATCTAAATACTATACCATTTTAGCTCATTTGTGACCAAAGTTGACCACATTGCAAAGACCAAAAGTCCAAACACTTTTTTGCCGAAGTAGCTAGAAACGAGGACTAGTAGCCTCTTCATAATTGAACTGAATTGGCTTTAATTTAAAATATACAAGTAGCTACTAGCTAGTCCAGTTCCCTTTAGTTAATCTATCCTTTTATTTTTGTCTATCCTTTTCTATGAATATTTTGTCTATCCTCTTCTCTTTTTAGTGTCATTTATATATTATAAAAATGTCCTTTTTATTCCTGTTTTGGTTCTCTATAAAATTGGTAATCACCTCAAAAAAATATTTCAATGTCCTCTCTCCTGTTGCAAATGAGATCCCTTATGATTTATGAGGGCATTCATATATAATGTATGAGAATGAATTGTAATCATAAATAAAAAACAAACAAAAAAAATCAAACTATTACAACCGGTTGGTTCATATTACAATAAAGAAGTAAACAATCGTAAGAAATTAAACAGGAGTGCTACGAAAAAGGGGAAAGTTAATATGCTAATTTGAAGATTCGTTAGCAGATACTAACTAATATCCAAAATACATGAACTAATATCCAAGTACTAAAGTATCTAGAAAGCATAGACTAGCATTCAAAGTTTGCTAACTGATATCCACCATGAATCAACTATTATCCCAAATTCACAAACTAATATCTTGACAACACATAATAGTATACAAACAACACATAATTAGTATCCAGATAACACATAAGAGTATCCATATTGAATACTAGTTGGTTGATTGTGGATATTAGTTGGTATCTGCTATCTGAATACTAGTTTGTGATGTTTTTAGTACTAGTCTGTGCTATCTAGATACTTAGCAGACTTGGATATTAGTTCATATATTTTGGATATTAGTTAGTATATACTAACGAATCTTAAGTTGGCAGAATAACTAGACTGTAAAAAAAAACCTCTTTGCAATCCTAAATTAACATAGCATTGATAAAATATATAAATAAATAAATAAAATAGAAACGAACTATCTCCATATATAATATCATTCACTCTCAATGGTCTCAAGTATCACTTCTTGATCTATATTCCATATAATTCAACCATTTAGTACACAATGTAATTTTTTTTTTAATATGAATCTCTGTACCACACAACATGTCAAAAAGACTCTCTAAATAGCCAGCTTTGGCAGTTCGTTGGACAGAGCTCCATCTTAAAATTGGCGCAACAGTAAAAACAACTCATTTTAGGTTGACATTTTCACAGTAACATATATTGATCTAAACGTTGACTGAACAATATATATACATATAGTTTATTCTTCATCGTCTAGTTTCATATTCTCACAGATCCAATTCGATCCCCCAGAAATCTGTCGAGTTTCTTCTTTTCCGGCAGGGACAATACTTAGCTAGAACTAATCAGTAATAGCTCCAAAGACTCCCAACATGATCATAAGCCTCCATCACCGGCGGCGGCGCCATCCTCGGCGGCGAAACCATCATCCCTCCGGCCATGTCCACCAGCAAATTCGGCATACCAAACAGCTCCTCCTCGTCCACATAAAACCGATCACCATCATGCCCTCTTCCCTCCTCCTCCACCTCCGTCGCCGCTGCCACGTGGTCATAATTCATCGCCCCTCCTAGTTCCATCCCCCGCATCATCTCCGCCTTCATCATGGCGGCCGCCGCGACGGCCGCACTGCGGATATCGGCCGGGGAGGCGGATGCGGGGATCGGGTACGACCCGGCCCACTCGGGGAAGTTGAGGACCGCCTCGTCGCCCTTCAAGGCCAGCGCCGCCGCGTCGTAGGCCGCCGCGGCGATCTCCGGGGCCGGGAAGGTGCCGAGCCAGATTCGGTTGGTCTTGCGAGGCTCACGGATCTCGGAGACCCATTTCCCGCTCCGGGAGCGGATGCCTTTGTACTTGGAGTGCTTTCCCGACGAGGAAGAAGAAGAAGAAGAAGAAGAAGAAGAAGTTGGGGTGTGATGATTGGAATTATTAGGAAGAGGAAGTTGGTCAGCCATAGGAGTGGACTATCGAGTAGCTAGCTAGGGTGGGGTTAGAACCGTTTTTTTTTTCTAGGGAAATAAATAAACATATAAGATAATATTATATCTTATTTTCGTAATAGAATGTCAAAGAAAATGTGGGTTTAGGTGGAGGGGAGGAGGATAATAAGCTAGGTAAGGCTAAGGGAATGTTTGGGGTTATATACGAAAGAAAAGTAGTGTCCATTTGGTGTTTATGCGTGGCCAATTCGCGGGTCGGGCGGGCAGTAGGGCACCCTCCATCTTAAATTTTTGGCTTGCGTACGTGGAGCCTTTTGGTGGCTGCCAGTTGTGTTTTTTTCTGTCTTCTGGGCTAAATCTGCCATCACTTATACAACCAACTAGGGTCTAATTAGTCTCTGAGATAAAAACATGTCACACTTGCTCATATATATACATATATGGTGCATTCTACGGTACCCCGGTGAAATTCGGGGTACCGTATACCTTGAGTATGAAAACTCTATCTAGACCTCGAATTAACAGGAATTTTGGACCTGATACTATACTCTAACTCTTAATGAGTCAACCTTAGGTCCTAGTTATCTAAATCATAAAACATACATATGTGTTCACGCCTATTACATGTACTTCGATATACTTCCACAAATCAAAAACTAGCTACAACCCCTTCTAGTTTCGACCTAACTCCGATCCACCACTGTTGATGTGACCGATCAACTTCAATTCAGTGCGATACTACTGCTATATATGTTTTTCCTGGGTTTCAGACTTAATTTTAAGGTAGGTAGCTAGGTAGTAGTGATTTCCGTGGGGAATTATATGTTTGATGTTGATGGGAGTAGTGAGCGATCCGCGGAGTTGGCCTGGTAAACACCAACGTACGTACAGAGGACTTGGTCGGACTCCGATCGACATCATGGAAAAACCTCAAGGAAAAGCATTAATGATCAGTAAGGCTGGCTGGATCATTGATTAGTTAGTTCTGAAATATTGGTATCACATTACAAGTAAGTAAGTAATTAAGACTATCAACATCAAGATTAATTAATTAATTAAGCCGTTTCCTACTTTCATTGTCTTTCTGCTGCTCTCACTGTATACAAAACGTGTGTGCCATTGATCCAACAATTTCCAGACACGGTCAATGCGTTTGATGATGATAGTGAGATCGGCAAAACCCTAGCTACATGCTCCCGAAATTAATGTTTGAGTAAGTATAAAGTATATAAAATTTTATGATAGATGCTTTGAAACTTCAAACCGGCCTAGCTAGTGATTGAGAGACATTTACTGGAAATTATTCAGCATTTTGAATAGCGGGCCGGTTCGACCGGTAGAAATGGTGACCGGTCATAAATCTGACCCGGGTGGTGTAATTAACCGGCATTTAAGAATCGGCTGGATGGACGTTTCAAACGGTTAACCGCTAGAGACGAGGATACCATAAATCGATCCAAATGTCAAAATGATTTTTTTTTCCTTATAATTGGAGGTTGTTAGGTTTCAAACACAGTACCTTCTGAACAACCCAAATATTTATATTTGCAAACTATATATAAAGGAGGAGCACTTCTACTATGCTATATAGTATTAGTGCTTTAATGTACAACTTGAAGTTGTACCATAACATTAAATGTATAAGTTTAGGTTGTACCATAAAAGAATTTGTATCTTTATGTTATGGTACAACTTTACAACTTGAAGTTGTACCATCACATAAAGATACAAGTTCAAGTTGTACCATCACATAAAGATACAAGTTCAAGTTGTACCATAAAAGAATTTGTACAAAAAGTATAGGTACAACCTGAAGTTGTACCATAATATAAATGTACAATTCAACCTGTACCATAAAGACAAAAACCTATAGCACCAATACTATATAGTATTGTAAAATTCCTCATAAAGGAGCAACATTTTTTTTAATTGAAGAAATCCTCCATTTCAATGTTGTTTTTGTTCAAACAATATCATTTTCAAAATTTCGCGATAAAATCCGGCATGCTAATGCAGATACGATCTTCTAAAATTATTCTCCGTCATTATAATTAACTTTTGGTGAATGATCTTCTCAAATAATTTGTAGCCTAACTTCTAAGTTTTTCATGTAGTCGATCGTCGATCTTTCTGTTCTTCTTCTGCTGCTATGCTGATGAATCTGGTCAAATGGTGCTCGTCATCAGTGCTGCGAAGCAAATGAAAAGGCATGAATTGGACATATATTGATAGATAGATACGTAGCTTAAAGCTAGCGGCCCACTGGCCGGCCGGCCAGCCCTCCCAACAACTATGTGCAGAAGTGGAGGGTCCTTCCTTCTCCAGCCGGGCTGCTATCAGTTTAGACCTTTTCTTTTCTATGTACGCCATTTATAGTTTGGTGAACGTACACCTTCCATTCCATGGCTGGCACAGCAAAGAAAAAAAACGGCAACTATGTCCTACATGTTGCCACACGTTTTATTGTACCACAATAATGTTCTACTCCCACCCTTACGAAAGGGCTATATGATTTATAATTAAACACTTTTTAAACAAGTCGAGTTATTGAGACTAATTGGTTCTTGACAACCGCTTTCTTAATTATATTACTTTCTCATGGATTTTTTTTTATTAGTATTACCGGGAGGTATAAATATTCCAAGTGTGTTGTCCGTACAAAAGTCGATAATGAATATTAGATGAGAGGAGCTATCATACTGGAGATTCAGATGTTGCCATCATCGTTTCAGTGTGCTACGTTTCATTTCGTGTCTAAGAGGTATAACAATTATGCTCGTTCCATAGGCAAAAATGCTCTTGTATGTTGGGTCATACACTTGTCAAGTGTCAACCAATGCTTTTTTTTATTTTCATTTTGTGACCTGACCTGCACACGTCTTGTATATTTCATATTTATGTTGTTTCCCACCTATGACAAAAAAAAAAAATAGAGTTGATTTCGGGAATAGATTAAAAAAAAATGTAAAGGGTATATATATAAGTTCCCATGAGACAAATATATCCTACGGCTACCAGCACCACAATAGTGACGGCGAACTAATAGTAACGGGAAAGTTTCGGTTTGCGAGACGCCCGGTCCAATCACGTAGCGCGACAGAGCCCCCTAGTCCGTCAGCTGAGAAGCCCAACATATAGTTTGGGCACCTAGATAAGCTTCTTATTGGGCTTTTAAACAGACCCGGACACGACTTCTCTCTCGTTCACTCCACTAATCTCATCAATCAAGCAATCCTAGTTTGGGCCAATACTATGGTGCCGCAATAAAAAACTGCGGCACCGGTAACGCCGATTATGATTGGGACACGTGACGCTGATGTGGCAAGATATTGACCGAGCAAGAAATGGCCTAACCCCAGGCTGACCAAACAGACGGAAATCTCTCTATCCCCATCTAAACAAACGACCACTACAAACCAGAGCCCGTCGTTATCTTTCCCGCTCTTCCCTCCGACTGACTTTGAAAGAAACAACAACGTTCCGACGAACTTCTCCACCGCCTATGTAATCTCCGATACAGCCTACCCAATTCACCTCCACTAACTTTCATCATCATCTCCGTCCTCCTCCAAATCTCATCTTCCTATGATTTTGCCCTGATTCGAGGTTTTGCCCTGATTCGAGGTCCTCGATCCAACTTCCCGTCGGCTTATCCATTCGCTCTGTCTTGGTTTTTTCCCCCATCTAACCTCCAGGAACAAACGATCACGACAAACCCTGAGCTCATCGAAATTCTCTACCGCCGATGCAATCTCTCATACAACCTATCCGATTCACCTCTCCTGAATTCCGTCTCTGCTCCATCCTCCTCGAAATCTCATATTATCTGATTTTGCCTCTAATCGAGGTCCTTGGTCTGATTACGTCTTTGCGTCGGTTTATCTGTTCGTTTGGCTCCGTTGGCTTGATGGGGTCGTATTCCCCAATCCAAGGTTGGGGTTCAATTCACATTTAGGATTCTCCTTTGTTTCTGGGTTACAGTGAAGCGAATATTTTTAATCTTGAGAATGAGAGGGTTGTTCTGTGATTGTGATTCAAGTAGGCTTGTGTTTGCTTCTTCCTTAATCAGTTCCAACATTGTAACGCGAGCAACATGGTGAGTTTCAGCTTCTGGGCTCTGTTTCTCAAATTCAAATTTTAATGTTGATTGCATGTGGTCTTTAATTCTATGTACATGAATGTATCTTTTAATATGGTTTTTAAAATGTATTAACTTGCTGGGGGCTTCTTGGTGATTTAATGTCGTAATTTTGTTGGGATTGTTTTCCTATGAATGTTTGAATCTGTAGGTCGTTAGTTCAATGGTTATTGAACTGAAAGTCACGAAATTTCTTGTATAGTGACTTGTTTTCTGTTGATTGATTACGTGGGGAGAAGGGAAGAACTTATGGGATCTTTTTTTTATAGTGTGAATAATGCATTAGAAAAGAAAGAATGAAACAAAAGGGTTAGTTCCCAACAAAGGGATCAGGAAAACCAGGAGTGAGATACCCTAACAAAGCAGAGCAAACGGAGAAAGAAAAAGATGAAGGGGGAAATCTGTGCAGCAGCAACCAAAAAGAAAGCTAAACAACAGCAGAAAAGCACTAACCACAAAGTGGCTTTAACACCATTCTGGGATCATACATTCTGTCGATGTTCATCGGTCGAGAAAGCACACTTGTCTGGTAAGATATGAATACTTCTTTGTAGTAGAATGAATATGATGGTAGGGAATCGATAGTGGTAGTATAAGTTTGGAGGCTAAAGACTTATGCTTCTTCTACATTGAGATATTGCAATCATATTCTTACTTTCCTTCCTCAGAGATTTGCCCTTAAAATGCCAGCTTCTAGGGCCATGCATCATCAATAACTTAGTTTTGTCTAGTGAGACATTTTTTGATCTGCTGAAGCTGTAGAGTTAGGGAAGAACAACACTGTGTGAGAAATTGGTACATCCAAGTAACGATAAGCTGTAATGTTTCCATCTTTGATCAATAATTAGGGTATTAGAGGTGCTTCGAGGGTCTTTGTTATTTGTGCAGCATGTGGTATAGGAATTGCTTGTTCATTGTTTAGTCGAAGGTGTGCATGTGGTATAGGAATTGCTCTCTCATTGTTCTACCTTGTAGGCTAGAGGTTTTGCTGGAACTATATTTGCATGGGACTTAAGATACTTAAAGAGCCCAATGATTGTCCCTCATTTCTTAAATTCCAAAGTTCCATCAACGCTACAAGTACAAGCTTGATAAGATGAATAAACAATTCTTTATTCCTTGGACCAATAACTGTATGCAACATCCACATCTAAAAAACAAAATCAATAAAATGTCCTCTAAGTCTCAATTTGCTGCAGTACTTTATTTTTTTGTGTGGTAATGGTGATATAATTTATTAAAGCAAGTTAAAATAAAGTAGATGAGAAATGTTTAACAAGTATAACAGCCATATCTGTAGATTCTCTCAATTAAGTGCCTTCAACTGCTTTCTAATAGTTCACTTGTAATATCAGAAGCACCTTCACATCACATAGTTTGGAATGATATTAATAGAGTTAGGAAAATATCAAAGCTAAATGCAAGCAGTGGGATGTGTGACCCTCATCAGACCTTCACCTTCCCTTTGTATACTGAATTCTACAAGTCGTAGTAACTACTAACTAGTAACACTCCTGAAATTCTGTAGCTCTTGTTCCGGCTTTATATCAATGGTCAGAAACTCTTCCACCTGCATGGACTAGCTGCAACAAGATACTCAGGACTCGCAGGTTGAACTCTTCCTTAAGGCTCACACATCGTACAATAAAGATGGGACACTTCGATTGTTCCTACAGGAATGGTGCAGAAAGAGGCCTAGGGACGCTGCAGTGGGAGGGTGATTTACACTTCCTTTCATCCTTTGCCTTGAGATCGCTGGTATCGGCAGAGTTCTTTGACGGAGACAGAGGGCCGCTTGGAGCCTGAGATTTTTGTTTTGTTTTGTTTTATACCACCAATGAGGGAGGAATACAGCGAAGAGTTTAGTACAGGGTATGGAGTTTGGAGCGGTGACTATGGAGTTCGTCGGAGCACTTCTCATTTTTCAGAATCAGTAGAGCGAGAGATAGATAAAGGCGTTTATGGCTTTGCTTTTCGTTCTTTTTTTATTTGTAGGAGAATAATAAATGCAGTTAAATGTTAAATAAATGCAAAAATGAAAACAAAATAATCAAACGTCCAGGCCTCCAGGGAAGAGAACTGTTAGTTTGACGGTAGTTGGGGTTTGGCCACATTTAATTCCCGGGCTACCCAGTATGAATCGATTTAATAAAAAACCTTGCCACATCACCTCCACATGGCCCAATCATAATTAGCGTCACCGGTGCCGCAGTTTTTATGACGGCACCATAGTATCGGCCCCTAGTTTGGCATCTTGGATTTGGCTACTATTGTTAGAAACTAACAGGGATAGACAGACTTGTTATGGATCAACCATAAAAACCTTACCGAAAGCCCAATTGAGAGTGAGAGACCATTCGGGCCCATTAGTCTGTGACCTCTCTATGTATCAGAATGAACCACTCCAATCAACTGATGACCCAAATTATCTTCTTGTTTGAAAATATAGATTTTGGGCCAGTAAATGGGCTGCTTCACCTTATTTTTCTCATCTTCAGATCAGATGGCCAGTGGCCACAGGCCAACACCTCAATCTCTTCATAAACTTACAGTAGACTCGTTAAGGCAATCATAATTCAAGATATAGCCGCACTTTGGATTGAGCTTCTCCAATGTCGCAGTTCGTTCACGTCTTGTATTATAGTCCTCAAATGTACACGTTATGTAGTTATTGTTGGAGTAAGCAATTACTAATTAGTCATTAGTATATGGCCTAACCCTAGTAGATTTTAAATGGATGTAGACTAATATACATATACGATTTCCAGCTGCTGCTGCTGCAGATTGTATTGCGGTGATCGATTATCAATAGTAAACACTAAATTGAGGGTTGCGTTTCTCCAAGACTAATCATGTTCGTACGAAACAGAAAAGTCACACAAATGGCAGTGTCCTTTATCGTTCCTGACGTGTGAATGTTTCACGCATCGGGATTTCGTAAACGAGAAACTAAGAAAAACTGAAAGAACTGGTTTATTATTTTCTGGTGAATAAAACGTAACGTAGAGGTAAAGTACATATTTATAGGACAAGTCCCATAACCCTCTCCCTCTCAAACAAGGAAACCCAATCCTAAACCAACTCCTACCGATTACTTCCTTATCAAGAAATAATAATAACACAAAATAATCAAAAGAATATCCAAATAAACAATAATAATAATAACAAAAATTAGTTTAATGACCCAGACGGTCATAAAACATGCACTCATCAGTTCCACATATCTTTTTCTACATCTAATAATAATAATAATAATAATAATAATAATAATCAAAGATCATAGTACTTACCTCATAATGACGATTAGTAAATTGGTAAATTTTGACTATTTTCATTTTTCGGACATGGTATGGTAAGGTCAAAGGAAGACTAATTTCCATTAGAAAATAAAGGGTCAAGGAAGACTTTCTGTCACACATGCAAAAAAGCAGGACGAAGAAATTCAACGTTGAGTACAATGTTCTTCTTGGGTATGTCATTTTCGATGGTTAGGGAGACTGTTTGTTCCAAGTTCCAACCCTTCATATATCCCACGAACGTTTGCTTCGCTTTCCCGTAGTTTCCGACAAGCTAGCTAGCTGGGTCTTTTTGTAGGGCGATTAAGTACGATAGTTTGTACATTCTGTGTAGCCGAGTGCCCGACTCGTTGATACTTTGTTAAAACGGGGAAATTTCGTTCTGACTTCATACAATAAAAAAGAATAGTAACGAAAATTTCATTGACAAGAATGGATTTACCTATCTCTGCTATCTTTTAAGTTTTAAGTATGATTACTTGAATTCTCGGAATGCAGTCGTTCTTTTTCAACAACATTCATCCATTTCTCTTCTTTTGGTAACTAAGGGAAGTTTGGATTTAAACCTGAGTTCAAGTTATAGCAGCTCATGTATGTCATGTCTTATCCTCGTGAAAATCATCGATCGACTAGACTAGACTTTTGTATCAGTATGAACGAACGTAACTGCTTTCATGGATTTGTTGGGAATTCATGAAAATCCGTGCATGACCTCTACAATGGATTTTTTCTGGTAACGGAGAAATTAAATAAACCCTTTAAAGAGGAATTTTACAATGCTATACAGCATTGGTACTGCTATAGGTTTTTGCCTTTATGGTACAACTTGAAGTTGTATCTTTAACATTATGGTACAACTTTAGATTGTACCTATACTTTTTGTACAAATTCTTTTATGGTACAACTTGAACTTATACTTTTATGCAGTGGCGGAGCCACTTGGAGAGGAGGGGGGTTTGGAGAAAAAATTTCCTAGTAGGGGTATATACAAATTCGAACCAATGACCATTCAGTTGCAGGAAGGATTTCCTATCATTTCGATCGAGTGAGTTTTGTTATGCAATGCACTTTCGTCTTTATATATAGTAATAAATTGTTGTCTTTTGTTTAAACTCTCTCATTTTTTTTAGCTCTACAACAGAGAAATTTCTTGTATTTTGTTTAAACAAAGTTGAAAGTGAAGAAGTACCAATTGAAGTTCACTTGTTTGTTTCACAAAATTAATTCCAAGGTACTTCTGAGTTCTAATTTGTAATATTTGATGAATGGAAGTCTTGATTTGTATGTACTGAACTTATTTGTTTGACGTTGTAACCAGTGTACGTGAAACTATTTTAATGTAATTGTATGAATTTAGAGTATTGCGTTGTTGACTTTTTGTTTAATTTAAAGTTGACTTTTCTATTGTATAGGTGATTTTTTATGATATGATAAAGACACCCCCTTGGCCAATTTTCTGGCTCCGCCACAGCTTTTATGCGATGGTACAATTTCAAGTTGTAAAGTTGTACCATAACATAATAGTACAAATTCCTTAATGATACAATCTGAACTTATACATTTAATATTATGATACAACTTCAAGTTGTACATTAAAACACCAATACTATATAGCATAGTAGATGTGCTCTATTTAAATTCAAATCTCAAATGAGGGAGATATGGAGGTATTTTATGGAGCAAGGAGATGGCTATCGACCTAGATTCACCCACCCATCCCTAGCTAGAAGATTATTGCCATTAATGTAGATGCACGCCGTTGGTTTCAACTCCATGCTAGCTACCACTTCTTCTCCACTCTCTCTATATTCCCACGTTGCGACTGCTACCTATTTATGTGCATGCATGAGATAATTGGATCATAATTCATAAACCCCACTGATCGTCCAGTAGTATGCATTATCCTGCATTACAAATTTCACCCTTTTCCTTTGAACCCAAACAAATATATATATATCTTATGGATTCGGATCATATGCATGCATGATACTCTGTTTTGGCCTTCTTTCTCTGGTCCTAGACCTACTGATGATCTAGCTTGCTACCTCGATCGACCTCCTCATATATAGCCTGTGCGTCCCCCAATGCTGGCTACAGATAACATTATCAATTCCTCACTACTTTTATATTGCAGCAAGATTCGAGGATGCCAAATGGCGATTCTACTATTATCACTTAACGACGTGCATGAAACAGATACAAAGGCTAGCTAGTTTTATATAATGCGAAGAAGAAAATGACGGGGCTACAAATTTAAACTGATGACAGACCATTGTTTGAAATGCATCGATAATATGATAATGTTAGATTAATTATTTGAAATTCAGACAACTTTAGTTATTGGGATCAAATGATTTATCACTTATTATCATGAGCCAAAATGAGATCTAACTTATTTTCAGCCCATCCATTACATCGCTATGCTGCTTAATGACATGAATCATTGGTTACATCTTAAGGAGAACAAAGTCAATAAGTATACGTGCAGACCGTGTTGTTTATGTTCAGACCCCTTCCATTTACATTGTTGATATGATTTGAATCGGACTATCAGGCGCTACGTAGAACGCCACGGGGTCAATGTTATTTGGGTTCGAGTTCTGGGCCTGGTTGTAACCACTTTTCCTTTACCATATTGGATTAGGGTTAGACCTATAGGAGAAGTACTATAAATACTTCTCATACTCCTCTGTAATTTGTATCTGCTCAAAGTATAGTGAAATTGGCTCTCTCCTGCCAGTGGACTAGCTAACACACATTGTGTTAGTGAACCATGTGAATCGTGTGTCGTGTGTGTATACTTTCGTTTCTTACATTGTCAAATCCTCCTATTTCTCGATCCGCAGTCGTGACAAGTGGTATCAGAGCCTGGTTGGAAATCAAGCTAGGGTTTTGATTCTGAAGAATGACGTTAGTAAACATGATGATCGATAAGTTCACGGGAAAGAACAATTTCGCTATATGGCATATCAAGATGCGAGCTTTATTGGAACAACAAGGGCTGTGGGGGCCGATGTCTGCGAAACAGAAGAAGGCAGTGGTCGATGACGATGAGTGAAATACCCTGGAGGAGAAGGCCCACTCAACCATCATGTTATCACTGTCTGATAATGTCATCATTGAATTCGCTGCTGAGAAGACTGTCGCGGGCTTGTGGTTAAAACTGGAGAGTCTGTACATGACTAAGTCTCTAACCAACAAGTTGCATCTCAAGCAACAGTTGTTTAGCTTGAGGATGCAAAAAGGTGCACCTTTGAGGGAACATATGGAGCAACTTAATTCTATTTTGTTAGATTTACGCAATATAGATGTTAAGATTGATGACGAAGATGTTGCCAAGTTCATATGAGAATTTCATGGATTCTTTTATTGTTGGTAAATATAGCTTGTTGTTGGAGGATGTCAGATATGCTCTTCACACGATAGAGATCAAACATAAGGCGTTCGGATCTGGTATGGGTGGTGTAGCATCGAGGTTGGTTGTTACAGGCGGAAAGGGAAAGAAGAAATCTGGTAAAGGGAATTCAAATAGAAACTCGAATTCTACGGGTCCGGTCTGCAGCCAAGCGATGTCTGTCACATTTGTAAGGAAGTGGGGCATTAGAAGTACAACTGTCTCAGAAGGAGAGGGCATCAGAAGAATCAATGTTCTGTCGTTGCAGAAGTGGACAATAGTTTTGAAGACGATCTCGCCTTGGCTGTAGATGAGAAGGCACATTGTGGCGATGTGTGGTTTCTAAGTTCAACGATTTCTCCAAGGATGAAGTGATTCCCAGGACCGTTAGAGACGCACCACAGCGGAATGGCGTTGCAGAAAGGATGAACCAAACATTGTTGGAGAGAGCAAGATGCATGCTCTCTAATGCTAGACTAGAAAGGAGGTTCTGGGCATAAGTAGTAAACATGGCATGCTACCTCATCATCCGTGGACCTTACACAGGTATCGAGTGTAATAATCCTTATGAGGTGTGGTATGGTAAGCCTGCTAATTACTCTTCATTGAAAGTTTTTGGTTTTCCTGTTAACTATCATGTGGATGAGGGTAAGCTGAATTCAAGAGCAAAGAAGGGTGTTTTGTGGGTTTTGGAGATAGAGTTAAGGGATTTCGAGTCTGGTCACCTTTTGAGCAAAGATTTATACTTAGCAGGAATGTGATATTTGATGAGAAGTCTATGTTTAACCCCATGTTGAAGATTACTATTGTTGGAGATAGCAGGAATGTTGATAAACAGGTGGAGCTGCAAACTCTTAAAGGGAGTGAGTTTGAGCACCAAGGTGGAGAAGATCAACATGAGGATGTTTCTGTAGAGCCATAAGTTTCAAAGTCCAATGCAGGAGCTCAATAGTCTATAGCTTCTGGTAGACCGAAGATGGCAACTGCAAGAGTACCTCCACATAGGTATGACTTCGAGGACATGGTGGTGTATGCTTTTCAGGTTGCTGAAGAGGTGGATGCGGGTGAACCACAGTCCTACAGAGAAGCAGTTTCGTTGACGAAGTTGCTCAATAGCTTGCTACAATGAGGGAAAAGATGGAATCCCATGACAAGAATCAGACTTGGGAGTTGTTCAAACGTCCACAAGAAGGAAGATTATATGTGGATTATATGCTCATAGCTGCGAGGTCGAAGTCTGATATCCATAAGTTAAAGGGGCTTCTTAGTGGCGAGTTTGAGATGAAGGATTTGGGAGCTGCTCTGAAGATTTTGGGTATGGAGATTTACAGGGATAGAGAGAAGAATAAGTTTTTCTTGTCACAGAAGAGATACATCCAGAAGATATTGTCCAGGTTTGGCATGTCTTCAGCAAAGCCCTTGAATACTCATAGTGCTTCTAATGTTCATCAATCCTTGGTTTATGCATCACAGTCAGAGACTGAGAAGGAGTAAATATCGAGAGTCTCGTATGCTAGTGCAGGTGGAAGTTTGATGTACGTTATGGTCTGCACTAGACCTGATCTTGCACATGTTGTTAGTGTTGTCAGCAGGTTCAAGATACAACTTGGGAAGGAGCATTGGCAAGTTGTGAAGAGGATCTTTCGGTACCTTAAGGGTACATCTGGTGTGGGAATTAGCTTCGGAAGTGATACGGAGTGCTTAGTGGTTGGTTATTCAGATTCTGACTATGATGGAGATGTTGACACGAGGAGATCGATGAACGTTTATGTATTCACTTTTGGAAGTTCTGTAGTGAGCTGGAAGGCAACTCTGCAGTCGGCGGTGACATTGTCTGCTACTAAGGCAAAGTATATGACGTTGACAGAAGCTGCTAAGGATAGAATATGGTTGGAGGGACTGGTGGGTGATCTTGGTCTACATCATGATAAGGTAGTGGTGTATTGCAACAGTTTGAGTGCAATATGCTTGGCCAAGGATCAAGTCCACCATGAGAGGACTAAGCACATCGATGTGAGGTATCATTTCTTGAGGACAAATAAGAGGATTAAGGTGAAGAAGGTTGGCACTGTGGATAATTCCGCTGACATGTTCACGAAACCGGTTCCACGTGGCAAGTTCCAACACTACTTGGACTTGCTGAATGTCTTGAGTTGGTGAATCCGCCCTACGGGGCATTGATGGCAGGAGGGAGAGAACTGAGAAGGATCAGAGTACACCATAGATTTCAAAGGAAGAGGATTCAAGTCAAGGTGGAGATTTGTTGATGTGACTTGAATCGGACTAGCAGCCGCTACGACTGGAAGTCCCGGGCCCGGTCAGCGAGTGGGGTCCGGGTGCAACGCCTCCGACCCACGGTATATGGGTTCAATGTTATTTGTGTTTGGGTTCTGAGCCTGGTTGTAACCGTTTTTCCTTTACCATATTGGATTAGGATTAGACTTAGGAGAAGTACTATAAATACTTCTCATACTCCTCTGTAATCCGTATCTTCTCAAAGTATAGTGAAACTGGCTCTTTCGTACCCGTGGAGTAACTAACACACATTGTGTTGATGAACCATGTGAATCGTGTGTCGTGTGTACTTTCGTTTCTTACATTATCGAATACTCCTATTTCCCGATCCGCAGAGCAACCGTCGTGACATACATGTAAGTGTAACTGATGCAATAGTTTCTTGATGGTGTGACGTATCATTGAGCAGAAAGTCGACAAATGTGGAAAACCTAGCATTATACAGAGCTTCAGTTTCCTTGTTTTCCCATTTTCCTTATGGGCCACACTTAATTGATACGAGAATCTATCTAGCACAGTAGCGGTAATGTTGCGTACGGCATGCAATGAATTAATACCTTTGACATGTCAATTTTTTTGTAATTTGTTTGTGTACAAGAAAATATCTTTCATTTACATGCACCAGAAGAAAATGAGGTGCATGGAATATATAAGAGTCCTTTTGTTATTGTACTAGCTAGGTCGTCGTCGAGTAATATTCACAACTGAATCCAGATGCATGCACCTTGCACCATACGAAGTTAACTTGTCCACTATAATTCGCCGTCGGCAACTTCTTATCCCGTGTCTGTCAATTAGGTTCGGTTAACTCGTTAAATATGATGATCGAAAATCAAATCTATCAAATTTTCAAGAAACTGAAACGTTAGCGGCATAGTTGGTTTTGGGTTTAACAATAAGGCCCTTAATATTTTTTGGTTGGTTTGGATAACCAAAAAATCCATTTGAGAAGTTCCAAATTGATGTCACAAATGACAATAATAAGCATGAAGATAGAAAAGAAGTTTGCTACACATAAGTCGGTGACAACACATATTGTTGATGGGTATTGATTTAGTTAGGATTTTACCAGTTACTTACCAATTTTTTTTGTTGATTTTGCATTTAAACCAAAAGCAGGGCCGTCCCATGATATTTGGAAGCGTTGTTCGAAAATTTAAAATGTGGCCCTAATTTTTTTCTCATAAATTTATCAAAATTAAAAATTAGTAAATAATTGTAAAAAAATACTTAAGTTCAGAAAAAGATTACATCAGGAATAAACGATCTCGTTTCCAGTTTGACCAAGAAACCAAGACCGAATTCCCAGCCCTAGTAGAGAGGAAAGTAAATCTGGAAGGAAGAGAAAATGGATATAGCGCAAAAATTGAATGGAGAAATGAAAATAGTCTAAATTGATCGAGAGGTGAGTGCAGGGTTGTCTACTAGATCATGGAGGCCCTATTTCAAAATCTAGACGTGGTCCAAATCGACCTTTAACTATTATAAAACTAAAATGATTATAATAACATTGTTCAAAATGTAATATCTTTCTATATTGTATAAATTAAAATTATCTATTATTTTTCAGATTTTCGTAATCTCCATGAGATCCTTTTCAATTGTTATTATAGCTAAAATTATCTATTAAACACATCATCATACTCATAATGAATCAATTATATGCTAAAAATACAACCTACAATATACAATCGATAACTAATGAATCTAAGTAGAGACCCTGTGCCGGAGAGAGGGCCAGCACACCCTCTTGACCGGCCCTGACCAAAAGCATAAAATATTAAACGATGTAAAACCAAAATATAAAATCATCAAACATCTTATCGATTTTGTTTATTTTAAAAACCAAAACACTAAAATCAAACTGTCGGGTCTAGCCTTATCTTTTCGCGTACTCGTTCAAACTTGACCAAGGAAACATGCACACCTTCTGTTCAATTTATGTGACTTTTGCTTGGTTTACCTTTTCATCAAATTTCATGCATGTCATAATTGCGACATATAGTGATGCGATGATATCAACACCGTAACTAGTTATTACGTCATTAGTACTAATTAATAGCATGTGTGTACATAAAATTATATTTTGTCTCTTATCATTTTGTGTTTTGCACGTGTTAATCGGGGGCTAACTAGCTAGGTTTTCTCACATCCCTTCTGGGAGTGTTTTTTCCGTGTTCGCTACTTTTTCAATACAATCCCATTAGCGGAAATACACAATTTCATTTCATTCTTTATTATGTGATTTACATATATATCAAATGAAAGAGTTTAATGATTTAATTAACATTATATATAACTTTACTCATAAACAATCAAATTATGCCTATGTTTGGCCCGGCTTTTAGAAGTGCTTTTCGGCTTCAAAAGCTGAAGCAGAGCCAAACACCTCTAAAAGCTCGGCTTTTGAAAAGCCGAAAAGCGCTTTTGTATAACATAAAAGCAGAAGCTCCGATTAGGAGCTTCTGCGAAAAGCTGTTTTGAAAATACAAGATTATCCTTACCATATTTTAATTTTATTTCAGAAAATATAAACTTTCTTCATTTATATCATTTTAAAAATAAAATATAAAATCATATTATTTAATATAAAAGAAATCTAACAAGATCCATTTTTACTACTTTTTATTGTTTATAATTTTTATTCATATTTTATATTATAAGTCTTTTATAGTCATTGTACACAACCGCTTATATTAACAAGCACTTCTAATAGTTTTACAGCCAAACACTAAACTGCTTTTTTTGAAAAGTACTTATCTAAAAGCTCCAGCCAGAAGCTGCTTCTGCAAAAGCTACAGCAGGGCCAAACTAAGCTTATACCATTTTTGTGGCATAGAGATTTTTCAATTGTAAATGCCTCGTATATATATGGTGACTACTTCGGTCAGGGCCGATCAAGAGGGTGTGCTGGCCCGCCCTCCGGCACAGGGTCTCAGAATATTAGGGGCCTCTACTTAGATTCATTAGTTACCAATCGTATATTGTAGGTTGTATTTTTAGTGTATGATTGATTGATTGATTGATTATGAGTATGATGATGTATTTAATAGATAATTTTAGCTATAATAACAATTGAAAAGGATCTCACGGAGAATAAGAAAATCTGAAAATAATAGATAATTTTAATTTAAACAATATAGAAAGATATTACATTTTGAATAATGTTATTATAATCATTTTAGTTTTATTATAGTTAAAGGTCGATTTGGACCACGTCTAGATTTTGAAATAGGGCCTCCACGATCTAGTAGACAACCCTGCACCCACCTCTCAATCAATTTACACTATTTTCATTTCTCCATTCAATTTTTGCGCTATATCCATTTTCTCTTCCTTCCAGATTTACTTTCCCCCCTACTAAGGATGGAAATTCGGTCTTGTTTTCTTGGTCAAACTGGAAATGAGATCGTTTATTTCTGTTGTAATCTTTTTCTGAACTTAAGTATTTTTTTATAATTATTTACTAATTTTTAATTTTGATAAAATTTATGGGGAAAAAAATTAGGGCCACATTTTAAATTTTCGAACAGGGCCTTCAAATATCATGGGACGACCCTGACTTCGGTGCACTCACAAAAATGAGTGCGTTCAATGCATCCAACTCAAAAACTAGTCTTATTGTGTCAGATTTTGAATTTTAATTTGTAGAATTAGTGTAATATGATGATAGAACATATGATATCAACTAATTAGCGGATTACCCTAAGCCCTAGACCTCCAATTTTGAGTTATATCTCTAAACCCCAAATTGTAAACCCTAATCCTAAATCTCTAAACTCTCAATCCTTCAAATTAAAGTAAATCTTTAATGGTTTTTGTGCAAATCCATGTGCGTTATTGTTCATCACATCATAAGTAATGATTGACATTATTTTGACATAAATCGCATGTTTAAAATGACGGTTATGAAGCGAGTGCACTGAATGCACCCAAAAAAGTGAGTGCACCAAAGTAGCGTATATATGACAAAGGCTATCGTATATCATACGTATGTTGTACGCCTGTGTTCACACTTGTTTTTTTTTTGGATAAGGGTGACAATTATATTAACGAAGAAAAGAACAAAAAAGTTCAAGTGTTCACACTTGGTTTTTGCACTTCAATATATTTCGCTGAATCAGAACCTCGGTTATTATTTTTTTAGATTAAATTAATCTTGTGCCTTGAGTTAGAGAATTAGAGATAGGAGTTCACCCATTAGAGGTTAGGGTATAGTATCATGCCCCAAACTCCGGTTAATTTGTGCTCTAAATAGTAAAACTCGACGGTCGTACAATGTACACCTAATATACGCTAGCCTGAAGTATATATATTTCTCACTCCACCCAACCGGCCATAACTTTAAAGCATTTTCTGATGATAACATTTTTTAGTCCATAAGAACCTCTGGCTTATATATGGTCCAGACTCTCCGAAAGCCTAAAGTATGTATATAGGTATAGCATCTTAGCTTAGCCCCACTGTCTACATTGGATGATAAGATAATATATGATCCATGAACTTTTGTGTTTGTGCAGCATTTATTTTTGTATATCCATGTCAGTTGATAAGACAAAAGATAAACTTATTTTTATTCTCCTCTCATTTCCATCAGCCATTAGAGTGTTTGGCTTCAAGCACTGATACATATTTAGCAATCCATGATTAGGGTCAATGCATATGTAGGATTTGGGTATCTTATGCATTGACATGGAGAATTGGAAATTAACATGTACCGATACGTTTGAATAGCTATCGACGTATTTTAAGTTGTTTCATCAATTGTAGAGTCACTTTTGAGAGAGATCGGGGGCTACCACTACTAGTAACTCGACGACTTTCAAGTCAAACTCATATCTCCTCTTTGAATTGGCTTCGTCGAGATTCTCTAGACGGTGAGAAAGAGAAAGAGAGTTCGTCAATGAAGAAAGCATATTGATTGATAGACACCTGTGATAATTTCAAATACACATCCACTTAATTAGGTATGTGAGATGAAGGAAAAATAAAAAATGAACGACCAAAATAAAGTTCTCACGGTACGAACCCAAAAAGGAGTCTGCAACTTAACCTATTCCATAACGCCTCTATGCAAGAACACGAGTTTTTTTTTTTTTTTTTTTTTAGGGAAGTAAGAACACGAGTTATAACCCCTTCCAAGTTTCAAACTCTTGTGAACTTTTTTTTATTTGGTAATATTCCGCTAATGCGATCCCTACAACTATTACTCTCCAAAGTTAAGTTCAACCATTTGATTAGTTTGTGTCCGTTTCCACTACAATCCAACAACCAAATGAATTAAACAATGTCGGTCTTGCCTTTTATTTTGTTTATGAAACGGCAGTCATGCCTTTTTGCATTACAAAAAGGAAATCTCTGTTTGACTTTGATGCGTAAACCCACCCGGAGATTAACAAATGCCAATATTATTATTTCGTCTACCACGTACAAAGTCTTAATAGAAAAACAAGTATACTTTCGATAATATATAAACTATAGTGGAGGAAATGATAAGATTTTGAAAGGTAATGGTCTAATGGATCGGATACTATACCTAGTGTTGTTTTTATTTTGTTGCCAAAATATAACGTTGAAATGTGTTCGAGTAAAACTCATATCCATGAATTAAAATAAAACTCAATCCAACACATTTTCGATAAAGTAAAAACTCGTCGAATTCTATCCATTCATTTTATATTGGAATTTTATACTCAATCAATCGGATTAGATATGTAAATATTCATGGTTTGGATAAAATTGTCATCCAAACAGGCGGCAGGCCCCAACAGTGGCACCAGCTGTCGGCCGGTAAACGACGCTTGAATGCAGAAGAAAGAATTTCAGTTCTAAGAAGTTCAAAAGCCATGTTTTGTTTGTCCGGCGGCAATGCATAATATAAATCCTTCTTTTTGCCTCTTTCTTTGACAACATCCTACCATTCCCACAAACCCACCAATGAGTAAAACAAGCATACAAGAGCACAACAACCCCCCAAACCCAATGCTATCTTTTCTTTTTTACTCAACAAAAAAAGTTTACGTTTATTTTAAAACTCTCATTGTGAAAAAAATTCAAACTTCAAACTCACATGAGTGTTAATACTCTTTCCTCATAAATCAACCAAACATAGTCTGACTCGTTTAATTCAATTGAATTGACCATACATAAATTGTGAATGACGCATATAAAAAATGCCACACTTAAATCACAACAAACTAATACGACATGTTTCTCAAACCATAAATCGAAATATTTAACTCGTTCAAAGAACCTTCATTCGACTGGATTGCAAGGATTGACGAAGAATGATATCGAATAATCTAACTTCAAATATTGAATACGTATAATAAACCATCAAATCCAATGAAAATGTGTTCTTAAGCTTAATTGAATATAAACTCTACCTTCTCCATCCTCCCATATATAGTTATCAATGTATATACGAGATCTCGAATTACAAATTAAATCAAGAACAACACTAATTTAATAAGTAACTGATTTTTTTTATTCAAGTATAATTTCCCATTCGAATCGTCCATAAACGAAAATAAAATAAGAGGGCAAAAGAAAACCAACAAATTAGACAAATCCATCCAATGTTGTCAAGAATATGCTACACTCGGGAAGAAGAAGAAAAAAGAGAAACAATTAAAAAAAAAAAAAAAAAACCCCATCCCTAACCACGACAAAATGCCCTACCAATTTATAACCCCCACTCTGCTCCTCCTTCCCTTAAACCCCCGCCACCGCTCCTCCATTAAACCTCGCTTTAACTCCTCCGTTGAAACATCCTTAAAAAAGAAACCCTCCGCTCCGACAACATGTGCAAGTGCAACGCCTTATCATCATCCTCCCCTTCTCCCAACCCCGAATCTCCTCCTCCTCCTCCTCCTCCTCCTTCCCCAAGCAACAAATTCAACATGATCACCAAACCCCTAATCCCCAAATCCCATACTTCCCCAAAATCCAATCTCTCCCAAGTTATCCAGGAAGCCCATCGAATCGCCGCAATCTCCCTCCCCACAATCCTCACCGGCCTCCTCCTCTACTCCCGCTCCATGATCTCAATGCTATTCCTCGGCCGCCTCGGCGACCTCCCCCTCGCCGGCGGCTCCTTAGCCATCGGCTTCGCCAACATCACCGGCTACTCCATCCTCTCCGGCCTCTCCTCCGGGATGGAACCCATCTGCGGCCAGGCCCACGGCGCCAAACAGTACAAGCTCCTCGGCCGAACCCTCCACCGCGCCACTCTGCTCCTCCTCCTCACCTCCCTGCCCATCTCCATCCTCTGGCTCAACATCAAGCCAATCCTCATCCTCTGCGGACAGCAGAACGACATCGCATCGGAGGCCCAATCCTACATTCTCTACTCCTTGCCGGACCTAATCTCGCTCTCGATTCTCCACCCGCTCCGAATCTACCTCCGGACCCAATCCATCACTCTGCCTCTCACCTTCTGCGCCTCGTTTTCAATCCTCCTTCATCTCCCAATTAATTACTTTTTGGTCTCTGTTTTCCAATTGGGGACGAAGGGAGTCGCAATCGCCGCCGTCTGGACCAATTTCAACCTTGTTGGGTCGCTGATTGCTTATGTAATCATCTCGGGGGTTTACAAGAAGACGTGGGTGAGGGTTTCGTCGGAGAGCTTCAGGGGATGGAACTCACTGCTCAATTTGGCGATTCCGAGCTGCGTCTCTGTTTGTCTGGAGTGGTGGTGGTATGAGATCATGATTTTGTTATGTGGGTTGTTGGTGAATCCGAGGGCCACCGTGGCTTCGATGGGGATTTTGATTCAGACGACGGCGCTGATTTACATTTTCCCGTCGTCGTTGAGCTTCGGGGTTTCGACCCGGGTCGGGAACGAGTTGGGGGCCAACAACCCGGTTCGGGCCAAGATGGCTGCCCTGGTTGGGTTGGGGGCGAGTTTCTTGTTGGGTGGGTTGGCATTGGTGTTTGCCGTGATGGTGAGGAATGTGTGGGCCAGGATGTTTACGGGGGACGTCGAGATCGTGGCGCTGACGTCGATGGTTCTGCCGTTGATCGGATTGTGCGAGCTGGGGAACTGTCCGCAGACGACCGGGTGTGGGGTTTTGAGAGGGACCGCGAGGCCGAAGCTCGGGGCGAACATTAACCTGGGTTGTTTTTATTTGGTCGGAATGCCCGTGGCGGTTGTATTGAGCTTTTACCTGGGGTTCGATTTCAGGGGCCTGTGGCTAGGTTTGATGGCCGCACAGGGTTCGTGTGTCCTTGCGATGTTGTTCGTCGTGAGTCGGACCGATTGGGAGGTTCAGGCTCAACGGGCCAAGGAACTCACGACTAATAGTTGCAATGGCCCAATTGATGAGAACGACAACAACGTCGAGAACGTGGACGTTATTGCTGTGGATGACAGTGATAAGAGATTAGTTAGTGATCAAGTGGACGAGTCAAATAATCCTTTGTTATTGGTTTAATTTTTTAAGAGAGGGTTAGAAGATATTTGTTTATTTGATCGGATTTTAGATTGGTTTAGGTTAGAAAAAAATCTTTATTCAGTTTCGTGAGCAGACCGAAATTTTGTAATGTTTTGTATACTAACCGGAAAGGTTATATAATTAGATTTTTTTTTTAATTTTTGTCAAATGAGACATGGTTGGCAGCTGATTTGGTGCAAAACTAAAACGTTAGTTGTGTATTTGAGATAGATTAAATACTAAATTACGTTGGCTTTGAGTAGGGTTAAGCACCATGGAAACGTTTGTTGAGTAATTAAAGCCATTTTTGTTTAACGTAGGAAGTGATTTATTCGTTTATGTTTGCCGAATGGGGGAAAAGGAGTTGCTGTGTCTCCATTCTCCACGAACGAGCATAGAACAGGGCGTGAATCCCACGCGCGAACGGGGCGAGTGTGGCCGGCGGAGGGGAACAGTTGACCGGGTCATGTTTTGCAACTGTCGACGTAAAGTTGGAACTCTTCCGGTCATGCCTTTCTGCTGTGTTCTATTCCTAAGTCGGCCAGTCGGGTCAGCGCGCCGGTGTATACCCGTCGTTTTCCGGCGAACCCACACGAGCAATCCGTTGAATTCCAAATAAATATGTGAAGAATAGTATTAGTTTTGTGATGGTCAATTTTGTGGCTCTGATGTTGTGGAAAATTCTTTTGTGCTGGTTGGAATTGGAATTCAACTGGACATTTGTGTGAATAATTAATTGCAAGCAAAGAAATTAAGTTTTGGAATTTAACTTTTGAAAAAACAGTCTATCTTGCTATTACTTTTGTGCAGCCTTTTCTCTTTGTAACAACGGATAATTTTAATGAACAAGGAAACAATAATGTACGTTCAAGAAGTTGTTGCGACTGAACCACCCAATCAACTACGCTATTCAAGATTTAACAGAAGATTATACTTTTATTGTTTTTTGTATCTTAGGTGACACTCCCGTCCGGTGGTGCTAAGGGGCTTTTGCTTTTGGAACACAACACAGTTTTTTGCTGACTCCTCAAATCAAGTTTTTATTGTAACATGCTATGTTTTCTCCCTCATTGCTAGTAGGTTGATGCGTCACACGCTAGACACACATGCTTTGGCCTTGTATGTCCTTAACTCAAAATTGATGTGAGATTGAATGCAATCCAAAGAGAATAGATAAAAATCACGAGGTGAACACTTCATCCCCTCCGATAAAGAGGGTTTTTTTTTCTCATTCAATATATTATGTGCAATTAATGTTTCTGGATCTGATAAGTTAAATTCTATATCTGATTTTTGTGAGATTTTTTTCTTTTACTTCTACCTCTTCTTGGTTTATTTATCTCACTAAATACACTTATCTATGAATTGTTGGTACATTTCGAGTTACTCACATTCTTTTAATTAAGAGTAAACATGTCATTTGAGAAACAAATAAAATCTATATTTTTGTGGATTGTTAACAATACAAAACAATGAAAATTTTAAATTTTATAGTTAAAAACAATTATAAAAAAAGAATTAAAATCTTTGAATTATTTACGGCAAGAAGAGATAAAAAGTTATCAATATTTTTCATAGTTGACCGGGGAAGTGGGTTTCCTAAATTTATAGACCAATAGGAGCAATTACCTTGCTTACACAACGTATTAAATCTCGGCATCAAGTACTAGAGTAAGAGCCTTCAAAAAACTTGTTCTATGCTAATTGCTATGCTTTACTTTAAACCCAAAAACTATGATTTCAACGCCCTGTATCGTGCAAATTTCATAATCTTCTGTGATAGGACTTATGGACTTTGAACCTTATTCCGTCATAAAGAAATAATTTAAGGTTTCTCAGTGGTCCATTACCATGCATCAAAACCTTAGTCTATGTTGTGTGGTACTATAATTGTACCAATGATTGTTAGATTTGTGTTTTGCCAAGAAAGAAAATATCATATGCCGTTCCTTAGTGGTCCATTACCATGCATCTGATTAAACGGCATCGTTGACTTATTTTTTTGTGTTTTTTAAGATTACGTGTTTATTTGAGACATTTTCTTAGGAACACAAGTGGTGCTTATGAGTTGAAGTTTCTTTAGATCTTAATCCAAAAGGATCATAGAGCGAATTCATGTATGCAATTCTAATGTCGTACTATTGAAAATTGTTGGGACACCAAGATCGGTACTTGTTGATGATATGATCGCTCTATATTGATGTAGTAAATTACACCTTCAGAATACACGATATTATGAAAAATCTATTCTTTTTTACTTCTTTTAAACCTCGTATATCTTACAACGAGAAACAATGTATAAATTACTCACAATGCATATTGCTAGCTTGAGGTAGGTGTCGGCTTGTAGCACTAGATTCCATCATAAACAACTTTAAACAAACGACTCTATAAACAAACTAACGCATCATGCATATATATTGAATTTAGTATTAGTCAACGCCTAGCCGTCTCTTCCAATTAATAGACGCCGCGAATTAAAAGTCCATAATTAATAAAACTGACTGATTAAAGGAGAATCAAACGTACCATGCATGCATTTACTAATCTCTACATGTCTATCTCCCACTACTATAATCATTATATAAGCTAGTTAAGCATACATAAATAAATAAATAAAACTGATTTTAGTAAAACTAATGTTATTCGTAAGTGGCATCGCATGAGAATTGACATGGTATAGATTGATAGACATGGGCAGGGGCGGAGGGAGAGGGCAAATGGGTGGGTCCCGGGACCCACCCTAGCTCGGGGGAAAAAAGACTTAATTAGGTTTAACAATTAATTGATTTGGAAAATTAGAATATGTTTAATTGATAATCGTTGATCGAAAGATTTTGTGTTCTAGTTTTGACGACCTCATTCATTAAGCACATATAGTATTCGAATTTGTGCAAACTTAAATTCCACATAATTTGATTTTCTTATAACGGGGTATGTTGGTAAATGGTATAAAATATATTATTGAACTTCAACCAACAACTCTAGTTATTGATACTATGGTTATTGACAAAGAACACAATTCGAAAGCGAACAAATAACTAAATCATGAATAATTATTTGTATAAGATTCATTATTAAACCTATAGTAAATAATTATTGGCAAATAACATCATTCGAAAGCGACCGAATAACTAAATTATGAATAAATGTTTGGTATATAGAGACAGTGATATTCTTAATAGTTTTGACTATTAATGTATTTTATTTTATCAAAATATTTAAATATAAAATTATATTATGAATAATTAAAAAAGTTAACAAAAAATATTTCATCATATATATTTTTTCAAAGTGGACCCAGCCTGGTCGAAATCCTGACTACGCCCCCTGGACATGGGCTCGATTTTGATAATCTTATCATTGAAAAACAATTTTCTGATGCTCATTGACGGAATCATAAATGCGATCGAATTAGCTGCTCACGTTAATTTAGTTTATCAGGGTTATCATATTTGCGAAGTATATATCCTTCGAGAAAAATGACACATATACAAGCTTTGCCGTCTCTCTATAGTTACTTATTCTGGCATAATAGCCGACGGTAGTGCTTGATGGAGAAAGAACAGCGGTCACCAAAGATCGACACGTGGAACCTCGTGGCCGGATTTGGGGTTGCCGTCGGCGTCGCCGGCAAATGTTGTAAGCACTAAGCAGCATTATCGTACAGACCACATGCAGCCGGCTGTCTCAAAAGTTAGGAGAGGAATATTAACAAATTTTTTTTTGTTTAATTTGGCTCTCGGAGGAATATTATTAACATAGTATGAACAAAATTTGACATTGGAAATAAAAACCTGGTGATTTATTTTACAACTAACAAAATCATTTCAAATCGTATACATCTCTATAGCATATATCAACGATTTTTATTCCCAGTTGGTGGAACATACACTATATAACCTTAATCAAACAAACCAAAAAAGTAGCCAATAATATTTCAAGCTGGAAGTTTGTGAAAATTTTGAATTCGAATAATTTTTGTTGTTTTCAGATGAAACCGTCATTGTTAGGATTAGGTTTAAAACTTTTGAGTTGTTTCGTGTACAAACGTTATACGAATCCAAATCCAATATGAGAACATCCAGGAATCCAATTTTCGTCCAGCCCAATTCTAATCCCATCAAATACATTATAAGTTAATTTTGATACAACCATCTAGAATAACTAATAGATGTATACCAAATTAATAATTTGATGAGTCGAGCCATGATCATAAGTTCCAATGAAAGCATGTTCCCTTCCTACTTCGCTTTTGGCATGCAGCAGCTGGTCAAGGGGGGGAGTTGACCATTAAATTTATGTAAATTTAAAAACGACTGAAAGGTTCTTTCCTTGCCTTCTTGGCATGGATCGATCGATAAGAACAATAAAACAGATACCATTGACAAAAATGCGTAAAATAAAATTAAAAACAACTGTTAAGGACGGCCGTGTCTATATATATGCATAGAGGGAACATGCCAAAATCCCCTTTTTTTTTTTTTTGGTGTTACTCATTTGTTTCTGAATCATTCATAAGCACGAATTAGACAAACGAGTTAAACATTAACACGTGGGGAATTGTAGTCTTCATTTGACTGCCAATTCCATTTCATTAAAATAAATACCCCTCTAGTTATTGTTAAGAAGTTTCTTAAATACATCTCAATCTAGTAAATGGAGGAGGAAAAAAAAAGTATGAAGGATATTTAGGGTAAAATATCTTTACCATATAAATATCAAATATTTATTATTTTATCTAATAAGTTGTAGCTGTTCCAGTGTGATAAAACTTTACCAAAAACCATTTTCCAATTGAAATTCGATAAAATGGATAAAAATATGGAGGGCGGTCATGGACAATATATACCTAGAGGGGGACAACAATGCAATGTCATTATCCAAGTCAGCTGTTATATTATCAATTACTAAATCAAATAAAGATTTTGCTTTGGTCTAACCTATCCAAAAAAGACTCTTCTTGTCTTCTTTGTCACTAAGTAATTTATTAATTAACATGTTGGTTTGAATTAATACAAAATTAAAGCGAATGGATGTAATGATGCCATTTGGATAGAAAATGCTCCATTGAAAACATGCATGCATTGAGCCGGCAGTCGGCCGATCGATCGATGTTTGATGTAAGAGCTGAGCTAGGGTTGTTTGTCCGGCAGCCACCCGCCACCGCCTGCCACCGTCATTTTGTCTTAAGCACCACCGTCAGTGCCCCACCGTGCGCGCGCGAGTCAAAAGTCAAAACACATCGTTTTCACTTCATTGCTTTCATTTAATTAATAATCTGAGGAACTTTCATTTAATTAATCGGTAGCTAGGCTGTCCTATTGTAACGAATTAAATGAGATTAACATCTCAGTTTTGATTTCAATAAGCATGATTCCTGCCATATATAGTTATGTTTTTTTTTTGTAAATATTACCACAGTTACCAAGGCGGGTGAAATGTGTATTTCAATACTTATCTTCAATTTTAATAGTATGGATAAGATGGGAATTGCATGGATCAATGCAGTTTAAATTTATCTCTGATATGTATAAAAAATCTCGGTTTATACAAAAATAAAAAATCGATTTATGAATAAAAAGTTAAGAGAACTATCTGGCTAGCACTAATTATTTGAAGAGGATGGCAATGGAGCTACATTATTTTATATAGGACTCAAAATATATAAAATTTCCTTATTGAAATATAATAAATCGTAACGGAGCCCCATGGTACGCAAATAAGACTTGCTTTCCACCCTACACCGAGAAAGATAATACTCGTACATAATGAGCTTGAACAAATGAGATTGTGAAATACCATCAAGAATGAGAATGTACATAATTATTACTTGACGGCTGAAGGCCCTTGGTTGACTCCGGCACGAAAATTAGCCCAAACTCTTTGGAAAATAGAAACTTAGAATTGGGCCTCATTCGTAAAGCTTCATAATGGAGTGATCCCCTCTGTCGTTGATACATCTAGGCCCTTTTTGTTTGGGCTTTCCAGCAGTCTAGTGTATGTGGCTCTTTGCATTTGCCCTTCTTTTTGGGCCCATGACTTACAAACATCTGAATTCTTCATTTGTTTTTTGTCCTTATTTGTTTGGGCTTATTCTGGCCCATTTTGTGTGAGTTAAGTTTACTACTGATCAGTAGTAGAGGCATGCATGATTTGATCGGTATTCGACTAATTCGAAATTTGAACTAAGCTCAAGTCAAATTCAGTATAATATGATTAGATTTTTCGGTTTAATGTGTTTTTTTCAAAACTTTTTAAAAAAGTATCGTATCGATATTTCAATTGGACCAAACTGAAGTTATGGTCACCTACCAAATTGATCACTATTATATGGTTTTTAACTAATGTTAGAATTTTAGAAAGTTAACTAGTTGCACGCTTCAAAGACCATGCTTGGCAATAAAGTAATGTAGAAGCATCCGAGGGACAGGTCATAGATGTATCACTTGCCTTGCAAACAATCGTGGGATCAGTGTGCACATGTTTGTTGCAGACAATCCGATTGCTAAAGGGAAGCTACTACGGTACGTACATTTAGGGGTGAGCATGCGAGTGGTTAATTCGCGGTTTAGTTTTGATCCACCCGCAAATAATCTGAACTGTAATGGGTGAGTGATTGATGTGGATGGATTGCGAATTGATAAATCTCCTACTCACATTTATGGGGGTGAGTGGATTGCAGGTCACCCAATCGACTTGCACCCTATCTGGCAAGTCAAAAGGTTGCTTCTTATTTTTATTATCGAATAATTATCATATATTCTAACTGCATTGCACACGGATGATCGAACTAAACACAAAAAAAATATTAAATATTTGTTAATTGTATTAACAAGGAAAAGAACTCTTTGGCTATTCGCATCCTCCCCAATTGAAACCTGCCACGTGGATACCGTTCATTGTGAACACACCTCATATCTTTCCACATATAATTCATTCGTTCATTAAAAGTCAACTCAATCACACACTACTTCGATATAGTTTACAGCATTTCATAATCTGTAAACTACACATTAATTCATGAATGGCTGTACTGCCCTAGTGGGGATTTCTTATCTTTTCCATTTTGTGACAAAATTTCATTCCGCTTACTATTGTTTTCTTATGAGCAACACAACTAACCTAAAGATTAAAAAGAGGACTACTTCTTTGTGATCCCAAAAATTACCAACTTTCAAATTATTTTACATGAAGAAGAGTGGAGGAATCAGATTTAGTCTTTTACATGCTATAATAATGTATGCTTTGTATTCTTTCTAGTAAATTTTGCAACTTTGGACCCATTTGACAGGAAGACAAATACTACAGAGTGGAAAAGTGGAAAAGCGAAAAACTCAACCAGTCATTTCTTACCCTTCTTCTTTCTGTAGCTAAAAGGAATAATCTGGAGTATTAGCTATCTGTCATCTGAACTCCACCACATGTTTCTGTGAGACTTGGATTTAGCTTAGCTAGGCCTTCTAGAAACAAGAAACCCAGCTCTGAGCTTTCTGATGAAATTCTGGACCCTTTTGGTATTCTGGCAGCTCCCTTTGTCTTCAAGTTAATCAAAAGTCTCCCATTTCGTTGTCACCACAACTGCATCACACTGCTTTACTACTGGCAATTGAAGAACTGTCACATCCTTTGCTTTGGCCTCAACTTTCTGCTGCTGCTGTTCCTGCTTCTGCTTTGTTGTTGTTTCTGCTTCCAAGTTCCCAACTTTGCTGCTTCCATTGCTTGAAGAGCCAATCTCCAGCTTCAACATATCAAGAATCTCAATGTGCTTCTGAACCCTCCTTTCCTGTTCCAATTAGCAAGAAAGAAATCCAGAAACATAATACTGTAAGAAAGAGTTGTGTTCTTGTGTTTGTGTATGCACGAGGGCTGTACGAGCTAATAACGTTAACCCATTCCACGTGCAATATGGAAAATTAGATGCTTGTGTTGATATTTTTGTAAATAATGTCAACACGCACATCCAATGATTTAAATCGTTCGCCCTTGTCGGCATCGTTGTGAAATTTTTGTGTATGGTAAACAAACTAATTACCTGAGTTGTTTTCTGCAACTTCAAGCTTCCATCCACCAAAACCCCATCCAACTCCACCAATTTGGACATCAAAGCTTCTGTCAAATCATCTATGTCCTTTTCAGCAACTATCCCACCTTTACCACTCGCTGCTTCCAGGGATATCACCTTGTGAACCAGTGAGTTGACCTCTGTGGTGATGTGGTCAATGGATTTGGAAGCCTTGTGCAATCTAGATGACTTAAGCATCTCCAAACACCGTCTTTCCCTGCTGGTGATGTCCTCAATTAGAACAATCTTGGATCCATTTTTCACCCTGGCAACATCCAAATACGCCTTGGAATCCCTCTCTTTCTTCTTGTACATCAGCTTCTGGTCTTCTGGGTGGACTCCTGTTTCCCCTGCCAGCATTTTCTTCAGCTCCCCTGCAAATGAAACAGCCAGACTCAGATAAAAAGCACATCAAAGACTGAAACTTTGGATGTGGTTAAGATTGGGGTTCTTTTTTTGGAGGTTACCAAAGCTTGCTTGGGAACTAATGGAGACATTGTGATATGAAGAGCCAAATTTGACTTTGACTGTAATCATGGGAACAATTGGGAGAGGATGTGAATTGTTGCTGCTCTTCTGAACCAACATTCCTCCTGGCCTCATTTCCCATTCCTCAACTCTCATTTCTTCTTTCACTGAGTCATTTTTCTTCCTCTCATTGTTGTTCTGTGCCATGAAGAATATTGCTTCCTTCTTCATTGACTTCATTGCCTCCATGTCTTCATGAAAATTTTCTTGTGAGGATGGAAAATGGGGTAAAGATGCAAACTTTGGTTGAGATTGAGGTGACCCAGATGGGAAGAAACATGGGTTGGGAATTTCTTCTCTTAAGAGCCACCACAACGTTGGTGGCAAAAAAATATCTTCAAAAAGAGCATGTGTTAGAGAGAGGAGGGAAATGTGCTTGTTCTCCGACTATGGAGAAAGCAGGAAGGTGAGGAAGTGGGGGAAGGAAAAAGGGATGAGAGGAGAATACAAAAATCAAAGAATGTTTCAACAAAAAAAAAAAAAAATCAAAGAATGGCCATCAAAGGAAAGAAAAGGAAAGGAAGTATATTTGGAGAGTAGGATGGAAACAGAGAGGTGGTTTACACCCAAAAAAAAAAAAAATAGAGAGGTTGTTTCTAATTATTCCTCCTTTTTCTCGGAATAATTTTATGAGATAATTAAGATATCAGTATTATATTAATATTGATAAGTAACTACTTTAAAATTTTCAAATTCAAATCATTTGTGATATATAAGAAAAATGTAAATGTTGTACACCCGTGTTCTACAACTTCCTTTATTTCATAATTTCTTGTTATCATCATCTTCCGAGTGAATGAATGAGTGATGGCTTAGGTGAAGAAATGCAAAAATGGAAATCTTGGCAGTTTCTTATACAAGGAAAATTGTAAATTGTTAGGGAACTGGACAACGGTGTTATCACTTATATTGCTATTATTATTACCATTATAGTTTCGATAGTAGAGTGTTATTTTTTTTATAATTAAATCAAAATGGCATTAAGAACGGGAAACCTTTAGCAAACCGCTAAGGCTCCTCTCAGCACAAACTGTTTGTACAAAAAACTTCCAGCACAAGGAAGAATCAAACAAAAACAACTACCCCAGCCCCCTCGACTCTAAACAATAGAATAGAGCCGTATCTAACTGGCACCGAAAACACAGATTCCTCTTCGCCTCAAGACAAAGCTGAACTGGATCCCTTGCACTTCTGACTCCATACATTCTGGAACAGCGTTCCCGCCACACGAGACTTAACACAATGCACCAGATCATTCTATTTAAACTAACCTCAGCCACTTTACCCTGCCATTTAGACACACACCATTGTAACACAGACGGCCAATCACCCAACTCTGGAGGACCTGCAGACTGCAAAAGAGAGGACAACATACATCTGACATATGAACATCTCACAAACAAGTGATATCTTGTTTCATAGCCACCAGGACAGAGTAAACAGAGCCCCGAAAGTTGCTTCCCCCACTCAATCAACTTATCCTGCAATTTCAGTCTGTCATGAATAATAAGCCATAAAATAAACCCATGTCTAGGCACAATGTGCTTCCCCCAAACCAGGTCAACCCATGGGACAGGGTTTTCATGCTATCTCATCGAGTTCCAAACTTTACTTACCGAGTAGACCTTCATTACATCACCATCCCAAGTCAGAGTAGTCCATGTCTGCATAATGAACGACCTAGCCAGCTCACGACACTTCAATATTCGCCGCCAAATCCAAGAACCAGCAGCAGATTCTTTAATGTCCCAAATAGAGGATTGTTTGACTCGGCAACGCTGAATTCAGGCAACCCAGATTGAGCCCTCCTCAGCAAGAATGGCCCAAAAATGTCGAAGCACACAGACCTTATTCCAGAGGGAAAAATCACGAATGCCTAGACCTCCTTCCGCTTTTGGACGAGCAAGGAATTTTCAGGAGGTGACTGCTCTCTTCCTAACAGAGGAATCATCAATGTCCCACAAGAACTTGTTGCACACTGACTCAACTTCTTTAATAGCAAACCGAGGCAACAGAAAAACACTCATCCAGAACTGCAATGTACTAGTCAAAATTGAGGAAATTAATTGAAGTCGACCAGCAAAACTCAATGTTTTTGCTCTCCAACTTCGAACTATGGCAGTGATCTTGTCCACTAACACTCTACATTCAGCTCGAGTGAGCTTCCCAGTGATTAAGGGAACTCCAAGATAACGAACAGGGAGCTACCCCAATGGGAACTTAGAGACAGAAGATAAAATCGTTGCTCCTCCCCAGAAATCCCCCCACAGAATAATTGACATTTCTCTGGGTTGCACTTTAAACCCGAAACAGTATAGAACGCATCCAGAACACGACATATACCAGCCACACCACGCACATATCCATTAGTAAAAACCAGCAAATCATCAGCAAAACATAAGTGTGTTATAGCCAATGGTTTACAACGAGGGTGGTAAGAGACTTGGTTCTGTTTCACTGCTAACTTCAGCATAGCATCTAAAACTTCCATGGCCACTGTAAACAACTAAACAAGTAAGGGGATAATGGATCCCCTTGACGAAGCCCGCGCTTCATTGCAAAAACACCACAAGAACCACCATTCAAGCCTACACTAATCTTTGAGCAACAGACACAGGCTTTTAACCAACTGATGAATTGAGCAGGAAACCCCGTTTTTTGTTGAATAATTACATTACATGAATTTTATTTTTGTAGACATTATTGGTTCTGTAGATCAACCATACTGAAGGCCCATCTTTGGATATTAATGTTAAGATGTTCAGTTGCCTGTGGCAATTTGCAGAGAACCTTTATGTGGGAGAATAAATGGATGGAGTTGATTGGTTCAGAAAATCTCATCAAATTTCATATCTAATAATAGTGAACATAAAATGGCTGGATAATTTATAAAAAAAAAAAAAGAAGGCTGGATGGAGTCATTACAAACATTAAATTAAAAGGGATGGTGGGGCTTGGGCTGGGCCACAGGCCAACAAGCCAGAACAATGTGGAGAGAAAAGCAAATAAATTGCCCAAAAGAGAAAAGGAAAAAATCAACAGCCAGTTGGCATCTGTCTGTCTGCCTAATTGTAATTTGTTTGGTTGGACAGACACTGTTTATGATGCTGTCTTTATTATTTTCTGTTTATATTAAGCCAAATAAAATCTTATGTTTGGTATAAACATCCACTCGATGATATGCTGCTAAGAATCTTTTCTTTACTGGACCCTAATTTGTGTAATTAAAGCAAGTCTGAAGTCTGATGAGGTTTATTTAACGAAATTGAACGGTGAATGACAAATAATGTAATGAAGTTTAATGGACTTTATGATGGAGAGTTTACACTTAACCAGGTCTGGATTACAAGGTCTTTTGATGTATTTTGGTTTTCTTTTCTTGTGATTTATTTTCTTGGTTCTGTTTGTGGTCGGTAGTTGGTACAGAATGTGATTTCTATTTTAGATGAATGCTTAATGACATTCGGAAGGAGAATAATACAAGTGGGTTTGGACAGTTGTGTCTTTAGCCTCATAAATGACCATATTGTTATGCCCATTATTATTCCTCGCAATGCAGATTAGCTGAAAGGTTCAATATCAGTCCAGTACAATAGATTATTAGCTGTAAATAAAGTCACAAGGACAAATTGCAGTTGGTACGTTTTGGAACTTTGATATAAAACGATCAGTCAATTCAATCTGGAAAAGCTGGCCCGCTAATTATGTCATTTCAGAAATAATTATGGGTTAGTCTGTTGACTGTGTTTCATTTCAAAACAAGTGAGTGGTTCCACCACTAACAGAAAAAATGAAAATCCAACATATTACCCTCCATTCATTAATCTCTTTGTCCATAACTCTAAAATATGCATATAACAAATCAAACACGACAGTAACAATTATCAAATTGATGTTTCATGATTGAGTTAGATTAAACGGATTTGAATTATAATTCAATAAAATTTGAAACTCAATAGTATACTGCATTGTGCGGTTGGTTGTTCTTTCATTTCCATCTTTTCTTTTATTATTTTTATCTACATCTTATATGGAGTTGTGTTAATTCTTGTTCAGACCGAATCGCAACCACCCTCACTTCTAATAAATCTTTATGAGTTTGAATTCGTGATATAGCTTTGTTAAAGAAGATCAAAAAGCATACAGAGGAAACTAACTAACTTCCATAGGCATGAAAACTATTTTTCGGTTTTTCCACCCAAATTGGTATGGGAGGTGACATGTTGAAGGGTATTCACAGCGGATTCAGGGCAAGGACTCTCATTCTTTTTTTTTTTGACAAATCGTAGAGCTTAGATTGCAAATCGGAATAACACGGTTACAAAAAGGGGAAAGCTCCCTGAACCCAGCAACAGGAAAAGAAATCCACATGTCCAAAAGAACATATTGTGCAGCAGAGAAAAGCTCAAGAGAAAAGAGCACAATACAACCAGAACAGACACGAGAACTCCTTTCCAAAGACCAATTCACAGAAAACAAAACCCCTCTTTGTATCCTCATCAATCCGATAAGCACAAAGCACAACACCAGCTCATCCAATACAGCATTGACCATGGAAATTGAGCAAAGCAACCCCATAAGCCGCCTCCTGGGAGTTGTTCAAAGACGACCCATCACAGTGAATCTCCGATTCGGGATTACGCGGCGGTGGACAGGACTGTGACCGGATTGCTCAAAGCATGATGCGGCCGCCACAGCAATCAGAAGAGACACCCACTTCAATCAACCGACACCTTAGGGGATGACGATGGAGAGGGAGAAGGTGAATGCAATCACCCGAGAGATGACCACACCAAACATTTGGAGAAAAGCAGCAAACAGGATCTCTGAAAGAGGCTTCCCCAAACGGCATCTTTTGGAACCATGGAAGAGCAAGGCCAGACCAGATCTAGAACCTCTAGATCAGAACCAACAAGGATCCATCTCCCAAAGAGAGGAGGCAAAAAGAACCCACAAAGGGAACAAGGAAGGCCACAAAGGGCTTGAAAGGCAGGAAACGAAAGGAGGAAAAAAACAACAAACAAACGGAAAGGAGAAAAGCTTGGGCCACCGCCGGTCACCCTAAAGTGCCGGCGGCAGCCCTGACGAAAAGAGGTTGAGTTTTAGAGAGAAGGGAGAGCGAATTTGAATTTGAAATAGAGAGAAGGTAAGGACTCTCATTCAAGTTTGTTAGAATGCATGTTATACACAGCGGCGGATTCAGAACGCAGTAAAGCACTGGGCCGCATTTCAATATTATATACCGTAAACAAAAATAGTCAACATTTTAAAATTTTAGTATTTCAAATAAAAAAATAGTTATAAAATTACCAACGGTAACAGACAAATGACTAATATTTTGATGCGTTACAAAAGATTTAGCTAATATTTTGTATTTCGAAAAGTTTGGCTAATAATTTGGAAAGTCTAAAAGGTTTGACTAATAAATTGTATTTACCCAAAAATATATGATAACAATAGTTTTCATTCATTACAATGCCAATTGTAATAAAAGGTTTTTTAATTTGGCAAATCCATCAATAATAATAGAATCTCCATCAATATCAATAGCATACTCTCTCAAAGAAAATAGCTAAGCAATCAACGAGAAATTCTTAGCATTTTGTTGCGCAAATTAGTTTTAAATATTTCACTGCTTAAAATGTTCTCTCCATGGTAACCGCTGAAACGGTCAAGGTCAACACTAGAAGAATCAACCAACAAATCAATTTGTTTAGTGGATTTTCTTATTTCAATGAAACTTTATACACTCTTTTACATTTTAAACTTTTAGGTTTCATTGTTTTTTCAAATGAAAATCATTCGGGCTAAAATTCCTAGACTAAATTGAGAGTAATGGTTTGGATATGTTCATCTAGACCATTTTTCTACTACACAAAATTTATTACCAAATAGCACTCGACCGACCATTAAATAATACTGGGCCGAATACCTAAAATCGAAAAATTTATAAACTCTATATTAGCTCTGAATCCGCCGAAGGGCTGGGCCAACCTGGGGTTGGCCCAGCCCTAGATCCGCCGATGGTTATACATTGTACTCACTGGATTTGTCCGGATTTTCGGATCTCGGTTAATTAATAACATAAGCTAGTGAGTAATTTTTGTATTCATACTCGTATAAGAATCCTCCCTAAAAAAAGCTGTCATTCTCAAATCTAGAGACTACTTAATTGTTTATCATCAATCATCACATTTGCAATTTTCTTTGCCCTCCAAAAGTTTGTACATTACACATGACTGTCACGAGGTCCTCTCTCCAATTCCAGTATACTTCCTCAGATTCAACAGTACACCCAATTTATGAATTTCTGTTAAGGAGGCCTTTCAGAAATGACACAACTTTATCGTCCAGCAAAGCAAGAAGGCTTGCCTTTCATCATGGCTAATAAATGTAAGCCCATGTGGGTTTTCCCAGTGAAGTGTTTGGTGGTGGGAAAGGAATTGACTGTCACAGCATTTACTTCAACCCTTCTGCTTTGCATACCAACTTAACTAGGCATGGCCATTTAAGAACCTCCCCTCCTTTTCTTTCAGCTCAAATCTAATGTTCCCCCTCAAACAAGAAAACTCTGCAACTCTTATCATCCTCAAAATGTAAACCCTATGCAGTGCAGAGACCTTGTTGATCTTTTTGGAGAACAACCTTCTACAAATGATGGAAAATAAGAGAGAAACACAAATCCAACAATAAGGTCTAATTTCTGCTGCATGCATTAGTGGAAGTAAGCAGTAGAGACCTGTAATTGGTTTACTATTCTCGATTTCTAGCACTAGGGCCCTTTGGTTTTCCCATCAATTGGAAGAAATACAGACTGCCACAGCAACAGAAGAAAGTATGACTTGGAGGATAAGCAACTAACATGAAACTTCAACAAGCGTAGCCAAATCGATGTAATGGTACAAAGCATTTTCGGCCATGAGTTCTTCCCCTTGGATTTCTCTAATCCTCACTCTTCCTTCTTGGGCTTCGATCTAGCCGGCCTTGCTGGTTTGATTACGGACCCCAGAAGGATCAAGGCTATGGGAATAATGGTTCCTACGTAGTATACGCTGCCGTAAGCAGCAAGAGTTTCGTGCAAGCTCAGTACCTGAGAACGAGAGAGATTCAGTAAAAGGCAATCCAATGTTAGGGGCGTCCAGTTTCGGCTTCAAGTTCATTGAACAGAATTAAGCCAGTCGACAACCCTTATCGGAATACAAATGTGCGAGAAGAGAATAGACTAACCATGAAGCCGACACACGAGTAGTTTAGGACCAAAATTGTGTAAGCGAAGTTTGTGAGAGTGAAAATCTTCTTGATTAAACCCTTTGAGGCTTGTTCCCACCTATATATAACTGATTTTGGAAAATGTCATCGAAAAACATGTTAATACTTCATGAATGTTTTTCTGTAAGTAAGAACCACTGAGATGAGAGATGATCATATTAGTTACCTCTAGATCCAGCAATCATCAATGCCGACTGAACGAAGAATATGAGGTAACCTGGATATAATCCCTGTTCAGTTGCAAGAGGCAACAAATGAAAAAGGTTAGAAGATCAGATCAAGTGATCACACCATCAAGAGATGTGACCCTAATGATATCATATCTCACTTATCAGATGCTTTTTATCACATCCACTTCCCACAGATTGATTGCCTATTCCAGCTTAGGACTCGCGTAATGAAAACAAATGTGCTCGTACACTGCAGCAGCTTATCATATGACGAAATTATTATCTTCCAAGATCGTAGAAGGGCAAAGTTGTAGAATTGGCTCAAAATCGAAACAACCTCAAATGGCTGAGCACACCAAAGAACAGATAAAGCAGCAGATGAGAAATAACTATTTAAAAGATATGGGTGTAGGTAAACAATCTCTGTTGGATGGAAAGGTAGTTAGCACCACTGTACCAATGAGGAATAAGTATAGCCCCCAAGTATAGAAGAGTTTCCAAAACTAATCCTCTACAGAGAGGCCATTTGGTTGGTGAACTTGGGATGATGGATTGTTCCCAAAGTCTATAGTTTGGCTGAGCTAGTTTGATCATGGATTTAAACATGTGGGAGTTGATAGAATTCAAAATCTTTGGGTCTATTTGACACTATTGTCCCTAATGCTTCTGAAAGATAACTCACGAATAAAAAATATTCACGATTTCAGTCTTTTCTCATTTAACCAGAGAACCCCCATAACAATTCACCTCAATAATCAAACCAAACAATATATCTGGAAAACTATACATTCCTACGATCCATCTGTTTCAAAATCTATCCACTTGCAACAACCTGTCCAATTTAATAATCCACCACTGAAACGATTACATCAACAGGAATCTCTTGAAGATGGTTTCCTTTCTCCTTTTGATGAACAGCTCTAGAAGATGGTATTTACTATCCAAGTTTAGCAGCAATAAACAAAATGGACAAACTAAGTGCACAACACAATGAACTTTCCTCGAATTCGTAGAAATATAAAATAACACTTAATAACGAATCCTCATCACATAATACTAGTGATGACAGTAAGATAAAAGTACCAAGATGTGCTTCAACTTTTCATACATGCAAGGTGGACCAAACAATTTGGGCAGGTAATGTGTATAGTATTTTGAGGAAGAAACAAAAGGCCTAAGCTTAAATAAGATGCCCGTGCCAATATTTTTTTTCATGATAGGGTAGCAATTTATAAGCTCAATTCCAAGTGCTTAATTCCATATGACAGTTTCCAGTCAAGTTTACCACCAATGCAGGGGAAAAGAAGATGTATAAGCAATATATAAAACAAGACATCTGATACTCACATGCCAAACAGCACTGGTAGTTTGTGTGGCCAACAACTGAAAGAAACCAGGCTTCTTTCCCTTTTGAATAAGTCTATCATAGACATCTGTTACAGCAGAAGCAAGCAATCTACATCAACAACTGCTCTTTCAATCATGGCAACATAATGTTTACATGGACTTTCAGATCACCTATAATTTTACCACTCAATCTATCATTATCGGTCAGCCAATTAGCCCATTAACCATGAAATCAGACATATCATGTATGCAAAAAAGTAATAACTTTCACAAGATTCTACCATCCATATGATCAACAATCAGACAAGTATCAAAATTCAAAAGCCATAAAGTATTATGCTAATGCTAACACAGTTTATGCAAGTTGCAGACACTCTTGGCAATCAGTTGCAAGTTATTGAAGCCAAGTCTCTTGCTCCAAAAGTAATCTTTGTCCTACTCGTATGCAATAAAAGGCTGGAAAGAGGAAAGCTTTTGCTGAATTTAGTAGTAAATACAAAAGTTAACTCACAGTGACGAAGCCAAGTGCTGACTTGGATGTTCCACACAAGAGGCAAGACAACCGAACTCTTAGCAAACTCAACACCAAGAACATCAACATTTATAGCATGATCCCATCGTGGCTTTGGAGGTGAGCTATCAGTCCAGCCACTGAATCCAAGACCTGAGATCACCATAGAAGCCTCTGAAATTGACCAGATAAAATAGTACTTCCATCTTGCCGTGAACCCCGACATGTACTGGTAACTCAATCTTCTCCAGAAACCCCATTCTTGGTATACTGAATCAGTGAAGCGGGACAAAGGATGGTAGGGCACCAAGTACAAGTATAGGCCCATGCAAATACCAGCTTGAATAATTGCTCTTAGTGTTGCTAAAAACGGTGATGGCCATGGTCCTGCCCATATCTACAAAGACCAGAATGTAAGAAACTAAGGATTTTGATTTCATAAACCAGGCCAGCAAAATCAAACAAGAAAGTAGATGTACTTAGTTCGCATACCCCTTTCCGTTCAGTCCACTCAATGTAATCCTTCATTTCATAAACCGGGCCAGCAAAGTGGGTACCACAGCAGAGACAGTAACCAAAGTATTCAATCAAAGAAGGCATCTTCACTAAGCGGTTTTTCTTCTGAGCCTCCCGTAAGTCATCTTCCTTCAGTATTCCATCGTTGTAGTTCATGGCACATGATATCACTTTGAGAGTCAACACCATTAATGCCCCTAGTTTTTCAAAAGACACCAAGGATTACTATGAAGCAATAACAGCAGAGATATGTTCAATATTATAGTACTGGCATCAATTCATTTTTCTACCTAAACATAGGATGTCAACACAGTAAAGTTGCACTTACCGGTGGCATCAATGCCTCCTTCTTTCCATGCGTCACCACTCATGTAATATACATGGCTGTATGTACACCAACAGTTAAAAGAACTCTTAGTAAGTTCTTTACTTCCATCCACACTTATTTTGCATCAGTATGTATACAAATAAAGACACTTTTGCTGAATCTAAATCACGAAAATATTATCCATGAGAGGTATGCAAAACACAGTATATTGTCGATAGATCTCACACTAGGAGTAAAGCAAAAGAGTACCATAAGTGTTTACCCCCAGTCCAAGTACTACTAGAGCTCATCCATTTGAGAATTAATACAATCACGAACAGTAGGCATTAGTTAGGTCCACAATTCTAGAATGGATAATTGTTTCCAATTTGAGAAGGAGATGAAAGAAAGGAAGAGCTAAAGATAAACACTCTTCCATGCCTCATCTTATCTCATAGAAACCAACTTGGCCAAAGAAAACCCAGAGTTTAATTTTGTCTGATATGCAAATTTGTCCCCTTAGAGTCAGAGAAGTGAGAACCACAACAAGCAAGCCGAAGAGATTGGACACACTTCTGCGCCAGAATCAAACAAACTTCATAGACTGATTTTTCTATTCGAATGAAACTGAAGGAAACAATGCAACTTAAAGATTCAGCCTCAGTGAACCCAGGATAAAGGCATCAATAGAAAGAAGGGAGGAAAAAGCTCAGAATTTTCAAATTTAACAGTCTTCCTAGTTCAAGCAGGACTTAACCAATGCACGAATTTAGACCTAATGCCCAACGATCAAGCGCTACAGCTCTTAACATTACTAACGAAAAACCAATGCAGCAAGCACAAATTTCAAAAATATGCCTAATAATCAATCAAAAACTCCCACAACGGATCAGTTGGAAATCAAATTAGGCAATAGAAAAGTAACCCAACTCACCATCCAATGAGATAACCGAATCCCATAACAAAAGTGATGATTCCACAGTGAGCGCGAGACAGGGCCATGGCGGCGTAGCCCAACAACATGGGCACCAAGAAGTGGAGATTGGAAGAGAACCCAAATGAGAGGTAGGACAGAATAGCCCCTGAGAGGGCGGCGTAGATGTGCTTGGGGAGAGAGCCGGGCACAACTCTGTGGAAGAAACTGACCGGAATCGTCGCCGCGAAGCAGAGAAGGAAGCGGAGAACGGGGACGGAGACCCCGATCGTCGCCGCCATGGATTGCATGTCTAAATCCATGGACGGAGATTGCGTGACGATAGCTCTGCCGAGTTCAGAGAACCCCCAAGGAAGAAGAATTTAGATTGTTTACTTCCTTTGTTTCTTTAATCTTTCTCCTTCCTTGTTTCAGTTGTTTTGGCGATGCAATGGCGAGAAAACTTATATAAATGCCCGAACTTGCGAACCGTAGGCAGGCAGGTAGCTCAGCTCTCCTCCGAATGTCGTTGTCTTCCTCGCTGGTGCCGAATTACGTTTTTACCCAAGTGTCCGGCGACTTCGGATTCTTGTAGGAAATTGATGAATTGATAATGAGGTTAAATTCACCATCATCAACAACAACAACAACGTAATGTAAAAAAAAAAAAGTGAGGTTAAGTCTTAAATGTTGAGTAGAATATGGGATTTATAATAAAGCGGTCACTTTGCTATAATTCTGAACATAAATTTTATTAAGTGATTTGTAACAAAATAATTTTTACTTTTTCTAATTGCATTGAGTAATGAGTAGGTAGATTAAATAAAATCTTCTTATAATTAGAATCTCTTACTCAACCCAACTATTTACACTTTGATGACAGGATCAAATTCGTGGCTTGTGTGTTTGCTCGCATGACAAGTCGAGTTTGTAAATTGGGACTGAGTTGGGGAAAAATATGATTTTATCGAGTGTGTTTGGAATACTGATGAGTGAATTTTGTTGACATAGATTGAATTTATTTGGCTTTAGGACTTAGTGAAACTAATCGTAAATTAAGTGGAATGAATGAAGGGATTGTTCAATAAGTGACATTTGTGTCCCAAATTATTTAATATGACAAATCTGACACGAACTATTTTCCGTTAATGTTGATCAGCGTTGACCGTTAGTAAATCACCGAAAATCTAATCACCTTCTATGTGGTTTGTGCCAAATTTGTCATATTTGAATAGTTTATTGCATAAATGTCACGAAACGCATATAGTTTGTGTCAGATTTGTCATATTGAATAGTTTAGCCCACAAATGACATTTTTTGGATAGTCTGGGCTTGCTAGTGGAATTAGCCCTTTTTTAAACTATTTTACAAGAAGCCATGCTACAGCTATACTAATTAACATTATGAATTTTATTTATGAGTTTATTATAGTAAGAAACGGTATTGGAACGATGGTGTGTATTTTCTTGTTTTTAGATATAATGCTATCGGATTCCGAAGTATAAGTCTTAAACTATTTCAGTACATTTGGATACCAAACAAATCAATGAAGGCGGTCGTTTGTGCATACAATCTTGCTGGTGTCCATCAAATTTCCTCAGTAATGGAAGGTTGTAAAGTTTGAACATAATATAGCACAATGTATCAACCTCTTGCAATCAATTTTTCTGTTCTTATAGCCCTCTCGGACTTCTCTAAAATTAAAATCGGAAAACCGTTGTGAGTTTCAAAATTAAGTTTTTATTTTATCATTTTCACATTTATATGGAGGATTGACCATGTGATTAGGACACATTAGATTCGTTGTGTGATTAGAGATGACTTTGTGTTTGAGTTAGCTTGTCGTTGATTCTTAGCCCTTGTTTGTTGCTCACGAAAAGGTAACAAGGTTTTGGAAGGTGGAGTGCTTTGTTCAGCCTCCCTGTTCTTAATGACCATTTATATTTTTCTGAAGATGTAGAAGGACAGATGAAGTTGAGTGACCATTCTTGTAGTTTATCCCCAACTACAAGGATTGCGAAATCGTACTGGAGGTTGTACCGAAAAAATTAGTCATAGAATATTTTGTTCTAGAATATTTTATGTATTTCGGTTGTGAATGCCATCAATTTATTAATAAGCATTCAAAACTGATACTACTGCCACAATGACTACTCACTACTCACTAGTACTGTCACGCACGGACCGAGACACAGATTTACGTGGTTCACTAACACAACGTGTGTTAGCTAGTTCATGGACGGGAGGAAGCCAACTTCACTATACAACGAGATCCCTGTGACTTCCAGTCGACGACAAATAATCCGATTCAAGACAATATCTACGAATAGTATAATGAACTGAGAATTCCTACAGCTGGTTAGGCATTGTTATGATGTATCATTGGACATTAGTGATCATTCACCATATGCTTCTCATTATACGCAAAGAAGCATATTCTAGCTAGGCACCTGGAGTCATGCATAGCTATTGTAAAAAAAAAAAAAAAATGACCCATGAGTCCAACAAACCTAACATACGAGGCAGTCAATGTCTGGCATGGATTGGAGGGATCGAATTGAAGGCATTTCGATTCCATTAATTGATGAATAATTGGCTTTTTCTGTTGTCGATGGGAATCATTGGGGCCTTGTTATAGCAGATGAAAGTGAAAGCAGGTATATTACTTGTTCTCTGGATGATAATTCCTTACTCGATCAGAACTTGAAGCTTTAGCAAAGTCCAACGAATCATGGTTGTTTTCGAGTGACTAATTATATGATTACTGTCACTCCAAAATCAGCGGGCGGATGCAGAAATTTTATATAGGATGTCATCTACTAAAAATTAAGTTAAAATGATAATTAAATAATTATTAAATAAAAAAATATTTAACTTGTCCAAAGGAAAACAAAACACATGACGTGTTTCGTACTTTGGAAAAATTGTAAAATACAATATGTGTCTAACAATGCACTATAAATCTCTCTCGATATATCCTACTAGACCAGGAGAGCCCGTAATTGGGTTTAATCGTTAGCTTTTGAAAATAATTGGGATAAAAAATAGTTTTCTACTATTATATTTGAATTTGAAATACAAGAACAAATGAGTTATAGTCTAATGAAAAATATGCTTACTAATAGTAGCATCGACCCAAGTTCAAATCACATAGGCAACCACTTAAATATTTATATTTACCCATACACAAACTACTATTGGGGGATTATAATAGTTTTTCCAAATTTTAGGAGTGTCTGGCCACCACTTAAATGTTTTTGTTTTACTAATAAGCAAACTACTATCAGGGGTTGAATAATCGTGTTCTCAAATTTAGGAGTGTCCCGGGACACTCTAGAGCCCCATGGATCCGCCACTGGGGTATGGACTTATAGGTGTCAATCGGGCGGGTTCGGGCTGGGTTCAATAGGGTTCGGGTTCAAACGGGTTGCGGGTTAGTCGGGTTGCGGGTTCGGGTTCATCGGGTTCGGGTTCAAACGGATTGCGGGTTAGTCGGGTTGCGGGTTCATCGGGTTCGGATTCAATCGGGTTGCGGGTTCATCGGGTTTTGGGTCGGGCGGGTTGCGGGCGGGTCGGGTTTCGGGTTGTTCGGGCCAGCGCAGCAAGTAACTTAACTCATTACTCATTACCAACTTACACATTTTATTACACTAATTTAAAATATTTTCTCAACTTTTTAATCAATTTATTTCTACCTCGTATATATATACTTTATTTTTTTGAAAAAAAACTAGTCAAAATGTTAAATCAATTTGTATGACTTGCAAACTTGTTATGTAATTAATCATAATAGGTAAAGTATTATAGCTAATAGTAATGGTGATATCAATATTTGCAACCAAAAGACACCGTTAATTGTTTATTTGATATTTTAGTATTAATTCAGTAGTAATTGGATTAAAGTATCTCGTTTAGTATAACCATGCAAATATGGTATTTGGCAAAAGCATAGTGATAAAAAGAGTTATTTCAAAATAACTCATTGCCCAAATAACTTTAATAAACTGTTGCCAAACGAGTTATTTGTAAAATTGTTCGAATTATCCTAAAAATTGAACCATTAAAGATTAGCTATCAAATTTAGTAAAATTATTGTGACTTCAATCATAACTTACTCAATAGCATATATCCTATACACTTAGCTTTAACCTCAATCAACAATATTAAGTTAGTATATGTTGTTGATTGTATACCCTAAACCATCAATACATTATACACTAACCACATAACCTATACCCTAACCATATGTCCTTGAGTTGTGATTTTGCTAGTATAGTTAATTTAAAAGTGAAATTCATACTTTGATTTTCAAAACATAGATAAAAAGTGATATTTGCTAATTGTTATACCCTAACCATATATCCTATACTTTACACCACATATCTTGTACCCTAACCACGTACCATAAACATAAATTAAAAAGGGATCTCCTGCCGTTAAAGACTTCAAATGACTTCAAGTGAACATATGTTAATAAAAAGGGTTATAGGTATAATATGCCCCTCTACTATGACGTTTTATCAAACATGCCCCTCTACTATTTTTTACATCAAATATGCCCTTGTACTTTGAAAAAATTATCAAACATGCCCTTCTGTTAAAATTTTCATTGAAAAAATCGTCAATCGTGGTTGAACCGAGATTTAGATGACCCAACATCGACAAATGGGAGGAAAAATGTTAGTTTTGTCCCCTGTTTTATTTCACTGGGTCTTTTCAAAGTGAAATTATTTGAATGATTTGATTATACAAAAGAACGAACAAAAATTTAAAGTGAATTTATTATGGATATTTTAGTCATTTGTGTCACCCAAACTAAAGTTCGGCCTTGGTTAACGGTTTTTGGATGAAAATTTTAACAAAAGGGCATGTTTGACCATTTCTACAAAGTACAGGGGCATGTTTGATGTAAAAAATAATAGAGGGGCATGTTTGATAAAGCGTCATAGTAGAGAGACATATTATACCTATAACCCTAATAAAAAGCTTAGAACCGTCAAAACCATCAATATCTTATACCCTAACCATATACACCCTAAACCATATGTACCTTATACCTTATACCCTAACCATATACTTTATATCCTAAACAACGAACCGTCAAAGATTACTTATCAAGTTTAGTATAAATTGTTGTAACTAATGGTTAATTTATTTATTAGCCCATAAAAAATTACATACATATATACATATTAGCCTTCAAAGCATATAAGAATAATTTTAACTAGTCATGCCCTCCATATAAAAGTTAAAGATTCATATTTCAAAAGCTAAAATTATGAAAAACCAAAAAATTGAAAACACCAAATTTGTTTCCTTATTTCTTTTCACAAAAATACTAAAATTTCCCTCCTTCTTTCTCCTTCCATACATTAGAAAAACTCAATTTTCCCTCTTCTTTCTCTTCCATAAAATTGAAAGAACCAAATTACCCTCTTCTTTCCTTCTACAAAAAGTTGAAAATTCAAAAGTTTACCTCCTTATTTCTCTTTCATAATAAAAAGAAGGGTTAATACCCTAATTTGACCCGAAGTTTGGCGTAAGTGACAGTTATGGTCTCATTTCTCAAATAAGACAATTATGGCCTATTTTTAAAACTATTGGACAAATTTGGCCCAAAATTTTCTTTGACCATTAATATTGACGGTCAAACAATATTCCGTTAGTGACTCAGCAAACAACCACTGATGTGGCATGCCACATTATTAAATAATATAATTTTAATTTTATAATTTAATTAAAATAAAAATTAAGAAATTAAGAAAATCTCTTTTATTATCCCAAAATTTCAAAGCCCCAAATCCAAACACTAATTCACTAAACTAAATCAGCATCAACAACGCCTCCTCCTCCTCCTTTCTCTTCTTCACTGAATCCCTCTCTTCCATCTAACTGCATCCTCCACAACCATTGCCCCTTCCAACCCACCATTAAAAAACAATGGCCAAGATCTCCGGTCATTCCCTCCCCCAACAACAGCATGCCGCGACCACCGCCACTCGTCCCAAGGAGAAGAGGCGGTGGAGCTTCGTCAAGTCCTATACCGAGAAAAGGACCACCTCGGCAGCGCCTCCGTCCGCAGTCTCGGCTAGGGTACTGTAGGGAGATCGTGATGGTTCCTCTTTCGCCTCCGTGATGCTCCAACGGATTGCGGTCGCGGATGACTACGACGCCGACGAGGGCTGCCACGAGGAAGATTAGGATCCGAGGGAACTATCTCCATGACGGCGGCGGTGGCGGCAACAACGAAGGTGGTGGAGGCTGCGGTTGTCACTGCAAACGCCGCCGCGATGTGAAGAAGAGGAAGGAGGAGGGAGGCGCCTCCTGCTGATGTTGATTTAGGGAATTAGGGTTTGGATTTGGGGCTTTGGGGATTTTGGGATAATAAAGGAATTTTCTTATTTTTTATTTTAATTAAATTATATAATTAAAATAATATTAATTAATTAAATTATATAATTAAAATAATATTAATTAATTAAATTATATAATTAAAATAATATTAATTAATTAAATTATATAATTAAAATAATATTAATTACTGACGTGGTATGCCATATAAGTGGTTGTTTGCTGAGTCACTTACGGAAAAGTGTTTGACCGTCAATATTAACGTTTAAAGAAAATTTTGGGCCAAATGTGTCCAATAGTTTCAAAAGTAGGCCACAAATGTCTTATTTGAAAAATTGAGCTAGAACTGTCACTTACACCAAACTTCGGGCCAAACTAGGGTATTAACCCTAAAAAGAATCAAACTTTCCCACTTTTTTCTCTTCCCACATATCAAAACCACCAAAATTCCCACTTGTTTCTTTTCTAAAAAATTCAAAGAACCAAATTTCCCTCTTCTTTCTCTTCCCAAAAACTTGAATACACCAAAATTTCCCTCTTCTTTTAAAAACATCAAATTACCAAATACATTACTTTACTTTATTTATATTTAATTGATAATTTTAGTGAATAGTTAAATTAACCAAAATTTTAATTTATATATTATATTAATATTGTCATGATCTCAAGTGACCTTCATGTTTCAATTTTTGTAATTTTCTTTAAAATTTCTTGTACGAAATGAAAAAATAATTTTACTTAAGTTTAGAATGAAAAATTTTATTTTGAAAAACTATGTATTGTATATTTTTATAATTATTCAAGTGGATTAGATGAAATTCGGGTTGAGTCGGTCAGGTTACAGGTTAGTCGGATTCGGGTCAATCGGGTTCGGGTCAATCGGGTTGCGGGTCAATCGGGTTGCGGGTTAGTCGGGTTGCGGGTTAGTTGGGTTGCGGGTCAATCGGGTTGCAGGTCGGGCGGGTTACGGGTTGTTGACTTTTAGTCAATTCGGGTTGCGGTCGGGTTGTGGGTTGGGTTGATCGGGCGGGTTAATCGGGTCGGGCTATGTTTTGACACCTATATGGTGATGGGTTCTTCTAGGGATGGCAATCGGGCGGATCGGGGTCGGATGTATATGGATCCGTCACCCGCCCGCCGAAACTTCGGGTTCGGGGAATCCCCGGCCGAACTCTGTTATCGGATGTAAAATAGAAACCAAGCCCGCCCGTTTTCGGATGTCGGGTTTTTCGGGGGCCCGAAACCTATACGACTAGTTCATTAATTAAAAAAAAACAACCAAATTCTTATGTGAAGCTGAAGCATGAACTTCATAACGTCAAATCCAGAAACCAGTGCAGCAAATTGCCACTGCTCATTCGATGGCAAGAAATTATATTGAGCATCACGTTGCTTCAGTCTAGTGAAAACCTCCTTGTAAGGAATAGCAACAGATAGCATTTTAAAGGTGGAGTTCCACCGAGTAGGGCAATCCATAACAAGTCGTTTCTCATAAGTGAATTTTAACTGCTTTGCAGTTTCAAGGAAGAACTCTAGCCTTTTAGGGGTAGCAGACCAGTAAACAACACTGCTCCTATGTTATCAATTCCCTCTTTAACAACATCCATACCATCTTTCACAATCAAATTCAAGATGTGAGCAGCACACCTCATATGTATCAAAGCACCATCACTTATCAAGTCAGGTAACACTAATTTTGACTGTATGACACGAATCATAGTCATTAGTGCTACAATTGTCTAGGGTAATGGTGGATACCTTACTGTCGACATTCTAGTCGAGCAAACAGTTAACCAACACTGTCCCCAACCTTTCAGCAGTATGAGGTGCTGGTACATATGCAAATCTGCACAAGAACGAGCAGACAAAGAAACAATTGCAATTAGGAATGAAACAAAAACTAAGAAACAGAAACCAATGATTTAAATAGATACAGACTACATGTCTTACCTAAGCATATGGCTCCTAAGCACCCACGACTTGTCAATATAATGAGCTGTAACAACCATGTACCCCTTCTTTTGATTGGTGGCAATCCACAAATCAGTAGTTATTGCAATTCTACCTTTGAATCTTAGCTCTTTCAATATAGTATTCCTCGATGGAACAGTGAACAATGGTTGAAGAGAGCAGACAAATCTCTTGAAATAGAGATGATCAACCATCGACAAAGGATATTCATGCATTGTAATAGCAATTGCAAGCTCCCTTTTTGAAAAATCAGAGTTGAAAGCAGTAGCAACCAAGTCTTGATTTCCTTTAGCCAAATAGTGACGGCCGAGAATCTTTTGACTACCATCCCTAATTTTCTTCTGAACACAAATTTTGGTGTGATTCTTTAGGTGGGTAGTACCATTATTTGATTCCCCACCTAATTTCTTCTTACAATAATTGCATTTAGCCTTGACAATTCCATTAATTCGAACTTTGGTATAGTGTAACCAAACAGCACTCTTAAGCTTACCAACGTCGAGTATTTCCTCTACAACATTACCATTCCCAGCATTGCCATTGTGCTCATTTGTAGTTGCTGCCTGCGGAGTTGGGTTTGTGACAGTCCCATTTCCAGTAGGTGCAGACAGAACTGGATTTGCACTATTGCCATTATCTTGTGGAGTGGGTTGAACTCCCTCTGTTGACATTGTTCCTGCCGAAAAAACAGAGGAACAAGGATTAGTAGGATATCAAGCGACTCCCTCAATCATTAACCAACACCAATGATCAAAATTGAAACAAAGAAAGTGGATATTTACCTTGAACAAACAGAATGAGGCACAAACAACGGGTGGGAATGGATGTGAAGATGATTCTCGCACGCACAAGGCCACAAACCACACAAGCAGTAAAAGGATGAGAAGTCAGTCTGAGAACTGAGAAACAGAGTACTAAGATTGAGACTTGAGAGAAGTATGAACAAAAAAATAAACCCCACCTCGTATTTATACTCCAACTTCAATCTCCAGCCGAATCGACTATTCGACTTCACTGCGAGAAATTCTCTTTGAATGCGCCAAGCCATGATCGAAAGGGAAATGATTATCATCATCGGGAAGGAAAGCAGATAATCGATGGGAGATATGCGATCGATATGTTAGGGATTCGATGCAGCGGGAGCAATCGGATTGCTAGAATCTAGCCTAGGGTTGGAGGCGGAGAAGAAAATGGGAGAGGAAGAGTTTAGTTGAGGGGAGTAATCTAACCTAGGGTTTCCGATTAGAGGGTATATATATATGTACGGGGCGGAGTCGGGGCGGATAGTTTCGAGTCCGAAGCCCGCCCGTTTCTCTTATTCTCGGGTTAATCCGAGTCCGGCCCGGAGCCCATCATCAACGGATTTTGCCTGATTTTGTCGGGTCGGGTTCGGATCGGATTTTCGGGTTTCGATTCAATTTTCCAAGCCTAGGTTCTTCGACTACGGGCTAAGAAGGAAAGAAACTTTCATTTTATCATTTGTAGTAGGTATATATTAGTAGTGGTTTGTAGGTAGTAGTTATGTGTTAGTGATTCTTATTATAATAGTATATAATGTGCATTGATTTTTATCAAATATTAGTAGTGCTTTTTTCCCGTTGGTAGTACTTATTATAATTTTTTTGTAGCGATTTTTAGTAAAACTAGACAATTGTTACAGATTTAAATTGTCAAATCGCTCTAGTTACATGAAAATCACTACTAAACATTATAAAAACACTACTAACAACTTTCAAAATCATCCATCACTGTTGATTAAAAATTCTTAATCACTACTACACACAATAAAATCACTACTATAGGCCAAAACCACTACTAATAGAAGCAGTAATAGATTTAGTAAAAAAAAGTTTGTTCGTAAGTGGCGAACACAAACGGGAGAGAGCAAAGATATTTTAGATATTAATTAATTAATTAATTATCTTTTAATTATTTTGAAATTGAAAAAAGAAAATCCCCAGCAGTCAACAGAGGCATTTCCTGTGCATCAAGATTGCTTTCACTGCACATCCAGACTCACAAATACTGTTTCAACTCGGATGGGGCTCCAGTGCGGGGAGGTGCAGGGGAACCCTGATTGGTTCCTGCCGAGATTGTGATGGTTCAGTTGCTTTTGGACAATCGTTTGCATTCTGGTTAGGGATCCTTTCTGTATCCCTCGCACGCGTTGATCACTCTGCTCCATTTTTGGTTGCTTGGTGGATCCAAATGCCACGATAGTCTTTTATTTTGATCCATTCATTTAACCTACCCAACTCTACATTTTCTCTCTCTCTTTGGAAACTGAAATAAGACTTGCGAGGTGATAATCTTAGCCTAGCCATCTTGCTATCCCCCTCTCTCTCTCTCTCTCTCTCTCTCTCTCTCTCTCTCTCTCTCTCTCCCCTCTACTTCCAACAGAGAGGAGTATTTGGATATGGGTAATTTAACCGACGACAACCACCAAAATCCATTCCACCCCCATCAATCAGAATCGGAGTGATCACCGTGATTTGCTTCAAAGCGTTAACCGAAACAGAGGCGGCAACAGTGGCCTCTATATCCTAATCTCGACAATCCTCTCCGATGGAGATCCAGATTCCAATCTCCCCGCTAATCGCAAGTAAGTATCAGAGGTTTTGTTTTTATAAGGTTGTATTTTCCTTCATTCAATTTCCCCCATTTTTTACAATCCTTTCTTTGCTTTGTTATTTCACTCTTTCGTTTAGGGGTCTACAATATGGAGAAGACCACCGTGATGCAAGTCAAGTCCGCTCGCTATCTCTTTGTCCAAGAAGACGATCTAAAGCTACAGATCCGTATCGGTTGAGGAATCCTTTGTCTTATAGAAACCGGTAAGCAAGTCATCTGATTTATTTCTTTACTCAGTTTCAAGTAGCCTATTTTCTTTTCTTCTCAGACTTGCAAGGCCGGGAATACACGAATCTCGAGCTAATAAGCTGGAGTATTACGGTTGGCAGTTGATCAATCTGTTGTTGTTGAGAATGGTGTAGGAAAGAGTACTCTCAAGGCGACCGTGATACTGATCAAAGAAGGTTTGAAGGCTTTCAGCTTCTCCACAAAATAGTAGGAAATTATTGTATTTGGATTTTATTCCCTCTTCATAATTTTTCTGGCGATTTACGGATTATTCCTTTTCTTTTCATGTATTTGTGGTGTCTGGGTTGGGGATCTAATGCTGCAAGGATGGACAGAGGTTGCAGGTGGAAGGTAATTCTTAGTTCTCCTTTTATGTTGATTGCAGTTGTATGTCGGGTCAAGTATTTGCCTTATGATGCTGATACCAAATTCATCATATTTCCTAGGGTCATGTTGTCCTGTTCGTTGCCCGATGAGTTCCATCTGTTCATAGGTACTCCATGCTTTCAACTTCCTTGAGTGGAAATACCTTTTGCTAATCTTTTCGGTAGGTTTTTCCTTCTCTTTTAATTATTTGAATGGTGGTCCACGAGTTATTGCACCTTGAGTAGAATTAGAATACACTCTTACTATTTGTTAACCTTTTTCATGTATTGTACTTGAATGGTGACCCATGAATTATTACACCGTGGCAGAACAGGTGTTGCCTTTGCAATTACTACTGTTTTGAATATATGTATAGAGATTTCACTTTGATTCTTCTATGTTTGCAGTTGGGGTGCTTTGAACGATAGGGGAGATGGTTACATTTTGTGGGGGAAGGAACAATTAGTACTAGGAAGTGTTAGTGTATCTAATGAGCCTCTTTTGTACAAGGAAGGTAGTTAAGTTTTGGGGCGAAGGAACAAAAAGATCTATGTAAAGTTAGTGTCTGTAATGGTGTTGGTTTTGTATTTTTATGATGTCAAATATAATGTTGATTGCCTTGGTGCACATCTCTCTCTCCCATGTTACTTATCTTTTGTTTGATTTTCAGCTTTTACAAATACATGAGGCGCACATTTGAGTAGCTTGAGTATTGACTTTTTCAAGTGTTGTAGAATGTAGGCAAGGTTTCTATCCGATTATAGGTCACAACGATTTTAGAATGTAGGCAAGAAAAGAGGAGTAACCAGTTGATGGTTGTTGTTTATTTTAACAAGAAATTGCAGGTGGAAATCACTGCTTTAATTTGAAATTTGACATGTTCCATTTTGTTGCCTATTGTAGATGTTTGTAGATAGTCATTTAAATATCAGAACAGTCTGACCCTAACAACATCAAATTTAAGGATGTTTTTTACCGAGAGAACGTTCATTCATTACCAAAAGAAGCGGTTTCAAAAGTCTCAGGAAACAACAAGGAGGGGGGGAAATGAGATTTAGGATAACAATCCAGTCCTGAGGGAGCTCATCCCACGCAAGCGTTCGTGCCACCCAATCCGCTCGCGCATTGGACTTCCTTGGAAAAAAGAAACATTGATTAGAGGGTTCTTGAGAAGGATGCCAGCCATAATCCCCAACCATGCAGCGATTCTCCAAGGCTAAGACTCTGGCGGAGCTGAAAGGGCCAGAACCAAGGGAAGACAGTCGGGCCGGATCCAGCATTGAACCGCTCGGTTGCACGCCAACAAGAGAGCTTCCAAATTTAAGGATTGTATGATGTTTTTTCCTACGTTGAACATGGCCATAAATGAGGAACCAAGTACAACCCATGTTCTAAATATGCAGCAAGAGCAAACTTTAGTTTAATTGTGTGGTACAACCTGGCCCATTGACGATGTTAAAAATGAATGAACAATAACAAACTGCGATTACATGATTAAAGTGGTCTGAAATGAAACATTTGTGTTTTCTCAATTTGCTTCAAGTCCCGACGCGGAGCGCGGGCAATGAAAACTAGTACCAAATAGGCTCTTCGTTACCCATTACCGTTAGATTCAACTTAAAATAATGAACGATAATTAGGATAATCGGGTGACGGATTAGGGCTCGTTAGCGGTTATGTGGAAGAGTTTGGGGTGTCTCTTTCGAATGAGCCCATTTTCTCAAAACAAAGGAATGGTTAATTACGGTCCAACCCATAATGTGACCCTGAAAGTTTTGTTTATTGGAAAAAATAACAGCCTTCTATTTTAGGGATTTGGATAGGCAAGAACAATTTTAGGGATTTCAATCTCGGCTTAGGATAGGGTGAGTAATCATTGGTTACTAACTTATGAGTAACTAAATCTGGACCTTTAGATCTAAGTGGGTCCAGAAAATCCAGATATAAGAGTTGTCAATTAAAGACATTTTATTTTTCCTAGTTTTCATAATCGGCTCTTATCTTCTTCGTTCTAACTCGGATTTCAATTTTTTTTTTTTGCACACATGGAACGAGTTCGTTGTGCTCTACAAAATGAGATAAATTTTCAATATATTTCGAGAAACCTTTTTTTTACCAACTACATACCTTATGGTAACTTCTTCGTTTTTAAGTCGTTTTTGAAAACGTTTGCTCAGAAGGAACGAGTTCATGATGATCTATTGGATCTACAAATTTCTAGGTGAAAAAAATACTAGACCAAAAATTACCATACTTTACCACTATGGTATGTGGGTGGTAACTTATGGTAAACAATGATGAAAGTCATAAATGACAGTTAGTATACTCCTACTATCATGTATTCAACCTTCTTACCATATTGGTATGTTCATACCATCATGGTATGCTTTATTACCATATGATATTAAATATGAGCATACCATATGGTAATGACTGGTAAAAAAATTATTCAATTTTTTTTGTACTAAAAATATATCAAAGTGGATATCATTTTAAAGAGCACATTTAATCTGATTTATCTGTGCAAAAAAATTTAAATTTCGACTTTAAACGAGAGAGAAATCGTCCGTTAAAAATTAAAGGGGAAAAGATAAAAGACTTTCCAGGAGAGAGGGCATGCTGATGTCATGTGGATGTGGACAGGTTACTGACCTGATCCGCTCCCTTCAATCTCTTTCCTAGTTTCCTGTCGTCTCATACTGTGGGTTGGGATTCGCCTTCCTTGCTCATGTTCCCAATTCCATCCATGTCGGCCTCTAACAGTACCTCGGCTTCGGATCGGCAGCTGAGCTCGCGGTTTTTGCCTTGCAGCACCACGAAACGATGGCGGATACATTCAACAGAATCCGACCCTCCGCCGCCGGCGACGGCCATCGTTCAACTGGGAGATGATTTCCTCGTAGAAATCGTGATTCGCCTCCCTAACCCTAGATCCGCCTGTCGCTGCAAAGCTGTCTGCAAGAGATGGAAGTCCCTTATCTCCAATCCAATCCGCTTCAACCGCCGTTTCGTTTCCCACCACCAGAGCAGGAACCGGCAGCCTGTTCTCCTTCTACCCTCAGACGACCCGCAAGCGATCATCAGGAGCGTTATCCCCATGACTACTCTATTAACCCAAAGCTCCTTCGCAGTAATGGATTCTTACAAGGACTTGGTTCTCTGCGGGTTTTCCGATGTGGGTCCCGCCGGCAGCCGCAGCGCATTGGAAAGAGAAATTTACAGATCCTACTTCCTCTGCATTCCGCTTACGAAGCAGTGGGTCGCCCTCCCTTTGGCGCCATAATTCCCGTTGGATTGTGGGATCTTCTTTACAAGGTTAGTTTGTGAACCCCAGATTTCTAATGATCTTGATCTCGGAGAGGAGCAAGTGTTTGCATATTCTTCTGAGTATCGATTTCGAGTGGTGTGTTTATACCTGTATGTACATGGGCGTTGGGCCGTGCTTGGGCCGGCACGGCACGGGCACGCTTCGGGCCCATTTATTTCGTGCCGTGCTTGGCACGACCCGTCAGTTTTCGTGTCGTGCCATGCAAGCCCATTTGTTAACTTTGCTAGGCCCGGCCCAGGCCCGGGCATGGTTCGAATCGTGCTGTGCCTATTCGTGCTTGTGTCATGCTCGTATTCGTGTTTAATGAAAAAGACAAAAACAAAAGAAATAATGAAAAAGAAGGTGAAAATAGGACGGAGGAAGATAGTATTAACCGATAATGTTTGAGAAAAGTAACAAATAAGGGGGGAAAGAAAACTGGAAGTATAGCGAGTGTGATTTGGCTTTGTTTAATTATTTGTCCATTTTTACTTATGTTAGTAATTACATATATATATTTATGACATTTCTAACAACAACAAATAATTATTTTTCTCCTTATGTTTTGTAATATTTGAACCTATAATTCTTTTTATATTTATTTTCTATAAAATAAATATGATTTTTGTGCCATGTCTGTTCTTATACTCAAGAAAGTCTCGAAAATATTAGGCCCGACACGGCCCACTTATATACCGTGCCGTGCCCATGCTCGTGCCCGTGCCCATGAAGTTTAGGCCCGGCACGGCCCATAAATTATTCGTGCTCGTGCCGGGCTAGCCCATTTATTTCGTGCCCGTGCTCGTGCTATGTTCTAACCGTGCAACGGCCCGGTGCCCACGTACATACCTGCATGAGGGGTGTACAAAGATAAATATGTTCTGTTCGGATACTGGCGAATGGACGAAGGACATTCTTGTTCTTCGTGAGCATTGTCAATGCGAAGTTCACACAACCTTGGCCCCTTGCTGGTCAACTTCAATTCTTTAGGGATGAATAAGTCTATTAAACAAGGTTTCGGGCGGAAAACTTACGGGGCAATTTTTGCCAGTTTCCAAAGGGGTACCATCACCTATTTCGGGCGATTTTATGGAAAGTCCATTTTCCTTGGATTTTGAATGCGATGGATCCCATATTCGTCCTTAGGGTACTCTCCACTAACGATGAAGTCTAGCAATGGCCGATTTGGTCGGAAATTTGTTCGAATTTTTCTGGAGGGCATTTTCGTAATTTTTGGGCGCTTTTTTCGGAAGGCCATTTTACTTCGATTTTGAAAGGTGCAGATCACGGATTCAGTCTGAGGTTATTCTTTAGGGATGAATAAGTCTATTAAACAGGGTTTCGGGCGAAAAACTTCCGGGGCAATTTTTGCCAATTTCAAAGGGGTACCATTACCGATTTCGGGCGACTTTATGGAAGTCCACTTTCCTTGGATTTTGAATGTGATGGATCACAGATTCGCCCTTAGGGTACTCTCCACCAACGATGAAGTCTAGCAATGGCCAATTTGGTCGGAAATTTGGTCGAATTTTTCAGGAGGGCATTTCGTAATTTTTAGACGCTTTTTTCGGAAGGCCATTTTCCTTCGATTTTGAAGGGTGCAGATAACGGATTCAGCCTGAGGCTATTCTTTAGGGATGAATAAGTCTATTAAACAGGTTTTCGGGCGGAAAACTTCTGGGGCAATTTTTGTCAGTTTCCAAAGGGGTACCATCACCGATTTCGGGCGATTTTATGGAAAGTCCATTTTCCTTGGATTTTGAATGCGATGGATCACAGATTCGGCCTTAGAGTACTCTCCACCAACGATGAAGTCTAGCAATGGCCGATTTGGTCGGAAATTTGGTCGAATTTATCCGGAGGGCATTTTCGTAATTTTTAGGCACTTTTTTCATAAGGCAATTTTCGTTCGATTTTGAAGGGTGCAGACAACGGATTCAGCCTGAGGCTATTCTTTAGGGATGAATAATTCTATTAAACAGGTTTTCGGGCGGAAAACTACCGGTGCAATTTTTGCCAGTTTCCAAAGGGGTACCATCACCGATTTCGGGCGATTTTATGGAAAGTCCATTTTCCTTGGATTTTAAATGCGATGGATCACAGATTCGGGCTTAGGGTACTCTCCACCAACGATTAAGTCTAGCAATGGCCGATTTGATCAGAAATTTGGTCGAATTTTTCCGGAGGGCATTTTCGTAATTTTTAGGCGCTTTTTTCGGAAGACCATTTTCCTTCGATTTTGAATAGGGCAGATCACGGATTCAGCTTGAGGCTATTCTTTAGGGATGAATAAGTTTATTAAACATGGTTTCGGGAGGAAAACTTTCGGGACAATTTTTGCCAGTTTCCAAAGGGGTACCATAACAGATTTCGGGCGATTTTATGGAAAGTACATTTTCCTTGGATTTTGAATGCGATGGATCACAGATTCGGCCTTAGTGTACTCTCCACCAACGATGAAGTCTAGCAATGGCCGATTTGGTCGGAAATTTGTTCGAATTTTTCTGGAGCGCATTTTTTTAATTTTTATGCGCTTTTTTCAAAATGCCATTTTCCTTCGATTTTGAAGGGTGCATATCACGGATTCAGCATGAGGCTATTCTTTAGGGAGGAATAAGTCTATTAAGCAGGGTTTCGGGCGGAAAACTTTTAGGGCAATTCTTGCCAAATTCCAAAGGGGTATCATCACCGATTTCGGAAGGCCAATTTCGTTCGATTTTGAAGGGTGCAGATCACAGATTCAGCCTGAGGCTATTCTTTAGAGATGAAAAAGTCTAGTAAACAGGGTTTCGGGCGGAAAACTTCCGGGAACAATTTTTGCCAGTTTCCAAAGGGGTACCATCACCGATTTCGGGAGATTTTATGGAAAGTCCATTTTTCTTGGATTTTGAATGTGATGGATCACAGATTCGGCCTTAGGGTACTCTCCACGGCCGATTTGGTCGAAAAATTGGTCGAATTTTTCCGGAGGGCATTTTTCGTAATTTTTAGGCACTTTTTTCGGAAGGCCAATTTCCTTCGATTTTGAAGGGTGCAGATCACAGATTCAGCCTGAGGCTATTCTTTAGAGATGAATAAGTCTACAAAACAGGGTTTCGGGCGTAAAACTTCCGGGGCAATTTTTGCCAGTTTCCAAAGGTGTACCATCACCGATTTCGAGCGATATTATGGAAAGTCCATTTTTCCTTGGATTTTGATTGCCATGGATCACAGATTCGCCTTAGGGAACTCTCCACCAAAGATGAAGTCTAGCAATGGCCGATTTGGTCGGAAATTTGGTCGAATTTTTCTAGAGGGCATTTTCGTAATTTTTAGGCTCTTTTTTCGGAAAGCCATTTTCCTTCAATTTTGAAGGGTGCAGACCACGAATTCAGCTTGAGGCTATTCTTTAGGGATGAATAAGTCTATTAAACAAGGTTTCAGGGGAAAACTTCCGGGGCAATTTTTGCCAGTTTCCAAAGGGGTCCCATCACCGATTTCGGGAGATTTTAAGGAAAGTCCATTTTCCTTGGATTTTGAATGTGATGGATCACAGATTCAGCCTTAGGGTACTATTCACGGCTGATTTGGTCGAAAAATTGGTCGAATTTTTCCGGAGGGCATTTTTCGTAATTTTAGAGGCACTTTTTTCGGAAGGCCAATTTCCTTCGATTTTGAAGGGTGCAGATCACAGATTCAGCCTGAGGCTATTCTTTAAAGATGAAAAAGTCTAGTAAACAGGGTTTCGGGCGAAAAACTTCCGGGAACAATTTTTGCCAGTTTCCAAAGGGGTACCATCACCGATTTCGGGAGATTTTGTGGAAAGTCCATTTTCCTTGGATTTTGAATGTGATGTATCACAGATTCGGCCTTAGGGTACTCTCCACGGCCGATTTGGTCGAAAAATTGGTCGAATTTTTCCGGAGGGCATTTTTCGTAATTTTTAGGCACTTTTTTCGGAAAGCCAATTTCCTTCGATTTTGAAGGGTGCAGATCACAGATTCAGCCTGAGGCTATTCTTTAGAGATGAATAAGTCTACTAAACAGGGTTTCGGGCGTAAAACTTCCGGGGCAATTTTTGCCAGTTTCCAAAGGGGTACCATCACCGATTTCGAGCGATTTTATGGAAAGTCCATTTTTCCTTGGATTTTGAATGCGATGGATCACAGATTCGGCCTTAGGGTACTCTCCACCAATGATGAAGTCTATCAATGGCCGATTTGGTAGGAAATTTGATCGAATTTTTCCGAAGGGCATTTTCGTAATTAATAGGCGCTTTCTTCGGAAGGCCATTTTCCTTCGATTTTCAAGGGTGCAGATCACAGATTCAGCTTGAGGCTATTCTTTAGGGATGAATAATTCTATTAAACAGTGTTTCGGGCGGAAAACTTCCGGAGCAATTTTTGCCAGTTTCCAAAGGGGTACCATCACCGATTTCGGGAGATTTTATGGAAAGTCCATTTTTCTTGGATTTTGAATGTGATGGATCACAGATTCGGCCTTAGGGTACTATTCACGGCCGATTTGGTCGAAAAATTGGTCGAATTTTTCCGGAGGGCATTTTTCGTAATTTTAAGGCACTTTTTTCGGAAGGCCAATTTCCTTCGATTTTGAAGGGTGCAGATCACAGATTCAGCCTGAGACTATTCTTTAGAAATGAAAAAGTCTAGTAAACAGGGTTTCGGGCGGAAAACTTCCGGGAACAATTTTTGCCAGTTTCCAAAGGGGTACCATCACCGATTTCGGGAGATTTTATGGAAAGTCCATTTTCCTTGGATTTTGAATGTGATGGATCACAGATTCGGCCTTAGGGTACTCTCCATGGCCGATTTGGTCGAAAAATTGGTCGAATTTTTCCGGAGGGCATTTTTCGTAATTTTTAGGCACTTTTTTCGGAAGGCCAATTTCCTTCGATTTTGAAGGGTGCAGATCACAGATTCAGCCTGAGGCTATTCTTTAGAGATGAATAAGTATACTAAACAGGGTTTCGGGCGTAAAACTTCCGGGGCAATTTTGCCAGTTTCCAAAGGTGTACCATCACCGATTTCGAGCGATTTTATGGAAAGTCCATTTTTCCTTGGATTTTGAATGCGATGGATCACAGATTCGGCCTTAGGGTACTCTCCACCAATGATGAAGTCTATCAATGGCCGATTTGGTAGGAAATTCGATCGAATTTTTCCGAAGGGCATTTTCGTAATTAATAGGCGCTTTTTTCGGAAGGCCATTTTCCTTCGATTTTCAAGGGTGGAGATCACAGATTCAGCTTGAGGCTATTCTTTACGGATGAATAATTCTATTAAACAGTGTTTCGGGCTGAAAACTTCCGGAGCAATTTTTGCCAATTTCTAAAGGGGTACCATCACCGATTTCGGGCGATTTTATGGAAAGTCCATTTTCCTTGGATTTTGAATGCGATGGATCATAGATTCGGCCTTAGGGTACTCTCCACCAACGATTAAGTCTAGCAATGGCCGATTTGATCAGAAATTTGGTCGAATTTTTCCGGAGGGCATTTTCGTAATTTTTGGGCGTTTTTTTCGGAAGGCCATTTTCCTTCGATTTTGAAGGGTGCAGATCGCGGATTGAGCCTGAGGCTATTCTTTAGGGATGAATAAGTCTTTTAAACAGGGTTTCGGGCGGAAAACTTCCGGGGCAATTTTCGCCAGTTTCTAAAGGGGTACCATTACCAATTTCGGGCGATTTTCTGGAAAGTCCATTTTCCTTGGATTTTGAATGCGATGCATCACAGATTCAGCCTTAGGGTACTCTCAACCTACGATGAAGTCTAGCAATGGCCGATTTGGTCGGAAATTTGGTCGAATTTTTCAGGAGGGCATTTTCGTAATTTTTAGTCACTTTTTTCGGACGGCAATTTTCCTTCGATTTTGAAGGGTGCAGATCACGGATTCAGCCTGAGGCTATTCTTTAGGGATGAATAAGTCAATTAAACAGGGTTTCAGGCGGAAAACTTTCGGGGCAATTTTTGCCAGTTTCTAGAGGGGTACCATCACCGATTTCGGGCGAATTTATGGAAAGTCCTTTTTCCTTGGATTTTCAATGCGATGGATCACAGATTCGGCCTTAGGGTACTCTCCACCAACGATGAAGTCTAGCAATGGCCGATTTGGTCGAATTTTCCGGATGGAATTTTCGTAATTTTTAGGTGCTTTTTTCGGAAGGCCATTTTTCTTCGATTTTGAAGGGTGCAGATCACGGATTCAGCGTGAGGCTATTCTTTAGGGATGAATAAGTCTATTAAACAGGATTTCGGGCGGAAAACTTCCGGGAACAATTTTTGTTAGTTTCCAAAGGGGTACCATCACCTATTTTGGGAGATTTTATGGAAAGTCCATTTTCCTTGGATTTTGAATGCGATGGATCATAGATTCGGCCTTAGGGTACTCTCCACCAACGATGAAGTCTAGCAATGGCTGATTTGGTCGGAAATTTGGTCGAATTTTTCCCGAGTGCATTTTCGTAATTTTTAGGCGCTTTTTCGGAAGGCCATTTTCCTTCGATTTTGAAGGGTGCAGATCACGGATTCAGCCTGAAGCTATTGTTTGGGGATGAATAAGTCTATAAAACATTGTTTCGGGCGGAAAACTTCCGGGGCAATTTTTGCCAGTTTCCAAAGGGGTACCATCACCGATTTCGGGCGATTTTATGGAATGTCCATTTTTCTTGGATTTTCAATGCGATGGATCACAGATTCGGCCTTAGGGTACTCTCCACCAACGATGAAGTCTAGCAATGGCCGATTTGGTCGGAAATTAGGTCGAATTTTTCCGGAGGGCATTTTCGTAAATTTTAGGCGCTTTTTTCGGAAGGCCATTTTCCTTCGATTTTGAAGCGTGCAGATCACGGATTCAGCTTGAGGCTATTCTTTAGGGATGAATAAGTTTATTTAACCTGGTTTTGGGCGGAAAGCTTACGGGGCAATTTTTGCCAGTTTCCAAAGGGGTACCATCACTAATTTCGGGCGATTTTATGGAAAGCCCATTTTCCTTCGATTTTGAAGGGTACAGATCACGGATTCAGCCTGAGCCTATTCTTTAGGGATGAATAAGTCTATTAAACAGGGTTTCGGGCGGAAAACTACGGGCGCAATTTTTGCTAGTTTCCAAAGGGGTACCATCACCGATTTCGGGCGATTTTATGTAATGTCCATTTTCCTTGGATTTTGAATGTGATGGATCACAGATTCGGCCTTAGGGTACTCTCCACCAACGATGAAGTCTAGCATTGGTCTATTTGGTATGATATTTGGTCGAATTTTTCCGGAGGGCATTTTTGTAATTTTTAGGCGCTTTTTTCGGAAGGCGATTTTCCTTTGATTTTGAAGGGTGCAGATCACGGATTCAGCCTGAAGCTATTGTTTAGGGATGAATAAGTCTATAAAACAGGGTTTCGGGCGGAAAACTTTCGGGGCAATTTTTGCCAGATTCCAAAGGGGTACCATCACTGATTCGGGCAATTTTATGGAAAGTTCATTTTCCTTGGATTTTGAATGCGATGGATCACAGATTCGGCCTTAGGGTACTCTCCACCAACGATGAAGTCTAGCAATGGCCGATTTGGTCGGGAATTTTGTTGAATTATTCCGAAGGGCATTTTCGTAATTTTTAGGCGCTTTTTTCGAAATGCCATTTTCCTTCGATTTTGAAGGGTGCAGATCACGGATTCATCCTGAGGCTATTCTTTTGGAATGAATAAGTCTATAAAACAGGGTTCCGGGCGGAAAAATTCCGGGGCAATTTTTGCCAGATTCCAAAGGGGTACCATCACCGATTTCGGGTGATTTTATGGAATGTCCATTTTCCATGGATTTTGAATGCGATGGATTAGAGATTCGTTTTTAGGATACTCTCCACCAACGATGAAGTCTAGCAATGGCCGATTTGGTCGGAAATTTGGTTGAATTTTTTCGGAGGGCATTTTCTTAATTTTTATGCGGTTTTTTCGGAAGACCATTTTCTTTCGATTTTGAAGGGTGCAGATCACGTATTCAGCCCGAGGCTATTCTTTGGGGATTAATAAGTCTATTAAACAGGATTTCGGGCGGAAAACTTCCGGGGCAATTTTTGCCAGTTTCCAAAGGGGTAACATCACCGATTTCGGGCGATTTTATGGAAAGTCCATTTTCCTTGGATTTTGAATGCAATGGATCACAAATTTGGTCTTAGGGTACTCTCCACCAACGATAAAGTCTAGCAATGACCGATTTTGTCGGAAATTTGGTCAACTTTTCCTGTGGGCATTTTCGTAATTTTTAGGCGCTTTTTTCGAAAGGCAATTTCCTTCGATTTTGAAGGGTGCAGATCATAGATTCATCCTGAGGCTATTCTTTAGGGATTAATAAGTATATTAAACAGGGTTTCGGGCGGAAAATTTCAGGGAAATTTTTGTTACTTTCCAAAGAGGTACCATCACCGATTTAGGGTGATTTTATGGAAAGTCCATTTTCCTTGGATTTTAAATGCGATGGATCACAGATTCAGCCTTAGGATACTCTCCACCAACAATGAAGTCTAGCAATGGATGATTTTTTGGAAAATTTGGTCAAATTTTTCCGGAGGGCATTTTCGTAATTTTTAGGCGCTTTTTTCGAAAGACCATTTTCCTTCGATTTTGAAGGATGCAAATCACGGATTCAGCCTGAGGCTATTCTTTATGGATGAGTAAGTCTATTAAACTGGGTTTCGTGCGGAAAATTTTCTGGGCAATTTTTGCAAGTTTCAAAAGGGGTACCATCACCGATTTCGCACAATTTTATGGAAAGTCCATTTTCCTTGGATTTTGAATGCGATGGATCACAGATTCGGCCTTAGGGTACACTCCACCAACGATGAAGTCTAGCAATGGCCGATTTGGTCGGAAATTTGGTCGAATTTTTTCGGAGGGCATTTTCGTAATTTTTAGCCGCTTTTTTCTCAAAGCCATTTTCCTTCGATTTTGAAGGGTGCAGATCACAGATTCATCCTGAGGCTATTCTTTAGGGATTAATAAGTATATTAAACAGGGTTTCTGGCGGAAAATTTCCTGTGCAATTTTTGTCATTTTCCAAAGGGTACCATCACCGATTTCGGGCGATTTTATGGAAAGTCCATTTTCCTTAGATTTTGAATGCGATGGATCACAGATTCGGCCTTAGGGTACTCTTCAACAACGATGAAGTCTAGCAATGGCCGATTTGGTAAGAAATTTTGTCGAATTTTTTCGGAGGGCATTTTCGTAATTTTTAGGCACTTTTTTCTAAAGGCCATTTTCCTTCGATTTTTAAGGGTGCAGATCACGGATTCAGCCTGAGGCTATTCTTTAGGGATGAATAAGTCTATTAACATGGTTTCGGGCGGAAAATTTCCGGTGCAATTGTTGCAAGTTTCCAAAGGGTGTACCATCCTGCATGAGGGGTGTACAAAGATAAATATGTTCTGTTCGGATACTGGCGAATGGACGAAGGACATTCTTGTTCTTCGTGAGCATTGTCAATTTTCAACCAGAAATGTGGGTTTCCTGCAACGGGGAGGTGTTTTGGTGTTATGGCGTTCCAAATCAAGAGCCTTTTTCATTGCTGCTTTTAATCCTTTCCATCCTGATATACCTCCCACTGCTATTGAACCTCCACTAGTCTTTGGGAAACCGGGGTGGGATGTTGGTGTCTCACAAGGTGCCTTGCACATAATTGTATTTGAAGATCGAATTGAACCGGGTCGTTCACAGATTACATTGAGCGTGTGGAGACTGGAAGATGACCGTAAATCTTGGGGAAAAGTATGTGACGGGTCAATGAAGGGACCAAGGTTGTGTGAACTTCGCACGAACCTTCGACCTTGTTTGCATCCAGAGAAGCCGCAAGTCTTGTACCTCCGTCATTCTGATGGTTCTGGTGATATTTATGCCTTGTCCTGCGATTTGGGGGGCAGGGGGAGAGCTGGAGCTCTTCGCCAAAGTAAGAGGATTCTTCAGTTATTGGTATTTGTTCCGATCTGATATCCCTTGCTGGTCAACTTCAATTCCTAGGTACAAGCAATTGCGAGTTATGTATGATGGAAGCTACAACTGTTGGTTTCAGAGCAACAACGAACCGGCAACAACTCCTCCAATAGCTGGCAATTACTTTGCCTGGCACTCACTTTTGCCTGTGAATCGCTGACAAGTGACAAGGTAAGGTATGCAGTAATGAAAATAACTAGGAATGCACGATTCTGAAGATGAGAGAGTCAGAAAGAATGATGTTAGCCATGTTAGGACTAAGACAGCCTAGAGAGAGATGTTCTATTGTATTCTTCTCTCATGTGTTTTTTTTTTTTTCTGTGGCCTGCTTTCTAATCATATATCCCGTCACTTTTATGGGGTGCTGAAGCAACAGAAGAAGCGGAGGATGATGAAAGGTTCAGAGGTCCTAAAATGGCGGTCGCCGTAGACCGTAGTAACGGTGGGTCTGGAAAGTGGCGGACACAATTCGGTCCGGTTCCAAAACCAACCCGCAGGAAACTCAATCGGAGTGAAGTTGAAATTATCATTGCTAAGCCCACCCATATTCGAAGAGGAGTGCCTGTCTATGGTAAGTCTGTAGCCATCTGAAATGTTTTCCAAATATGAGCCACAGGCTATTGGGCCAGAGCCGGCAGAGGATAGAGTCAGTAACCAATAGTTACTGACCTGTCAGTATTAAATCCGGACCGTAGATTTAGGGATGACATTATTATATGGTTGGACTGCAAGCGGAGTGAGGAGGGGCATTTGTGTCCGATTTTTTGATTTTGATTTCTTTCCTTTTTTTTTTCAGAATTTATATGTTTGTCTTTTAATGGAGGAAAGAGAGAAGAAGACTTCTCTCTTCCTCTCACTTTTCTCTTTCTCTCTTCCTTTCTCTCTTCCAAATTCCCTTTTCCAGATCTAAATCTCCTTTCTTCCTTGTTCTTCATTTTTTTCTCCAACAATCGATGAAGAAATTGCAGCCTCCCACCTCAAATTCGGTGACGCTCCAAATCCTTCTTCTCTCAAGCTGCTCCTTCCTTATGTTTTTTTCTTTTCTCAGCCTCAAAATCGATGATGCTCCATATTGTCAAAGAGGGGCTAAAATACCTTGGATACCACTTAAGTTTCAGAATTGGGGCATGCATACCACTTAAGTTTGAATAGGGCGTCGGGTACCACTGAACTTTATTATTTGTGCACCCGGTACCACTTAAGTTTAATGTTAAGTGCATTCCGTTAAAGTTAACAGAATATTCTTGGAATATTCTGTTTTCTAAATTTATTAATTGGTCCTTCTACTTTTCTTATTGTAAAAAATCATTTTGACTTATGAAAAACATCAATTTTTATTATTTAATTGGTATCCTCTTTTGAAAACTTGATACCAAATTAATTTATGAATAGAAAATTTAAAATCAATATTATTATAAGTATTTTCAATTATTATTATGTTTTCTAATAATTGAATTATTCTCCTTTTTTTTTTTTGAAGATTTTGATAACAAACCAATTTTTGAATAGAAAATGTACAATCAATTATCATTATAAGTACTTTAAATTACCATTATGTGTTATAATAATCGAATAATTTGCTTAAGCAAATATATCCTATGAATTCTATATCGATATAAATATATGAGGATGTTATATTTAATTCTCGTACATCATTTGGATGTTGTATAATTTTCTTGGTTACTTTCGTTCTATTTTCGTTCGAAATTTTCTTCAATTACTGTAATATGTTTAATTCTTTCTAACTATGTTCCATTTATCATTCTTTGGTCTTGATGTATTGATGATCGATTAGATTCTATTTTAACTATGTTTAATGCTACTTCTTATCGGATTAGTGATTTAAATAGATCTTCTAATATTGATTTTAAATATTTATTATTATATTCTATATATTTATTCTTCTTCATGATATTTGTTTACTATTTTTACTAACTTATCTATTTTATTGAAAATTTTGATTAGTCATTTTAGTAATATTATGTTTAGAAGGTTTGTTAATTTCTCTATTAGATAAAAACTTGTTGAAATATAGTTTTGGATGTTTTTAAAAGTTTTGGGTACCAAAAAGTAATTAAAATTTTGGGTTGGATGGAAAACTAGACGGATGCACATTTTGGTGACTTTAATGGTACCCGACGCCCTATTCAAACTTAAGTGGTATGTCTGCCCCAGTTCTCAAACTTTAGTGGTACCGGAGGTATTTTACCCTCAAAGAGGGGACAGATCTAGGTGAGTTGAGTTTGCATCTTTTGTGTTTTAGTATTTGTTTGTGAATTAATTCCGATCTTCTTCCTCTTTTTCTTTCTTTTTGCATTTGGTGTTCTTGATTGCGGAGGAGTAAATGAGAGGAGACAGAAGACGAATTTTTTTTCTCTCTTACTCCTTCTGTTTCCCCTTCTTTGAGAATATATATTGATATTACCACACTATACCATATGGTAATGTGTGCTAACTAAATTTATTTTTGTAGGCACGAGTTTTATCATGGTATTGGGTGGTAATCGACACCAGTTCCGAGAAAGAAGAGTTAGAAGACAATGAAGGGAGAGAAGAAAGTGAAGAAAGTCGTAATTGTATATATATATATTGAGATTACCACACTATACCATATGGTAATGTATATATACCATATGGTAATGTGTCTATACCATATGGTAATGTGTGGTAACGAAATGTATTTTTATGAATATAATATTTTTACTATGGTCGTAGAGGTTTGTAATTAGATTTACATGGTTTTACATTCTCATACCATGTGGTATTATATGGTAATTATAATTAATTTGTGGTCCTTTGATTTACCATGTTCTACTATGGTGGTATTGTATGCTAGTTAGATTTATAATTTTCTGTAGCGTGGTTTACCAAGTTATACCATGTGGTGGTAGTTTGATTTGTAATTTTATTTTAGCATGTTATACCATATGGTATGGTATGGTAATTAGATTTGTAAATTTCTGTAGCATATTTTACCACGTTATACCATATAGTATTGTATGGTAGTTAGATTTTTAATTTTCTTCAACATATTTTACCACGTTTTACCATGTGGTATTGTATGGTAGTTAGAATTGTAATTTTCTTCAACATGTTTTACCATGTTTTACCATGATAGTAGAAAGTGATAATCATATTTATACTTGTAATTAGTGTCTTTAACAATGTATTATTTAACGAAAAATCATCATTCAATTTGAACTGGAATTAGTTTAGAGATAGTTAGGATGGTTAGATTCATTTTTGTTGTAGATGAGAGAGAGAAGAAATAATATGTTTTTTCTTTTAATAATAAAATAAAACAAAGAGAGAGAGAGGAGGAACCAGACAACCAGTGTGGGGTGGGTGAGTGGGATCCGCATCTGGTCAAAAAGTCACCTTCAGCGCGTCAGCGTCATCATTAAATAGGGGTGCAATTTTACCTTAGTGCCCCTCTATGTTTAATTTAAATAAAAAGAAAAAGCAGACACGTGGGGACAGATGATTGGATTACTGACAATTACTGATAGCAAAGATACTGACATGATCTGGTCCCGCCAGAGCCATATAAACCCAATCCATCTCTTAAAGCAAAATTGGAACTGCCTCAGCCTGCCCAGTTCACGACCCCCCATGTCTAAGCCTAGTTCAGGTAGCCGACAGTGCTGTCTTCAGAAAGCATCAGGATCGGAATCCGTCTCCGACTCGTTCGGTAGCGGCGACGGCGTAGGACGACGCCCAGAGCTGTTGCTTCCTCTGGCGGCGAGCGTGGCGATTTTGCCCCATTTCAGCGAGACAGGGAAGTTGTGGAGCGACTTCGGTTGTGGTTTCACCGGTGCCGCGCCATTGAAGAGAAAATAAAACCCTTCCTACAGATTCATACGCGATATACACTGGCCGTGTTCGTACCAAAAAAGGCTCTTTACAATCTAGTGATGTACACTAATTGATTATGAACAAATAATCGGAAGGTGAGGAGAAGGAGAAACCCTAAGGGGGAGAGATGTATCATCGATTTGGGGTAATAGTCCAATTCGACTCCCAATGGGTAAAGGGTTTAAGCTGGCCGGTTGGATTGCCGGGTTAAGTGGGTTGATTAGCCATTTTTTATTATTATTTACACTAACGTGTCATGCTGCGGGGTGATCGGGGACAGAGTTTTGGACGGAATTGGACGGATTTTTTATTTTGTTATTCGCTCAAACTTTTGTTACCGAAACGTGCAAAATTAAAGGATTGTTACTGTTTTGTACAAAGTAAATAGGTTTGTAACCATTTATGATAACTACCCTGAAATGTTTTCCAAATATGGGCCACAGGCTATTGGGCCAGAGTCATGTAAACCCAATCCATCTCTTAAAGCAAAATTGGAACTACCTCAGCCTGCCCAGTTCACGGGCCGCCATGTCTAAGCCTAGTTCACGTTGCCCCACCAGGTGGCAGGTGCCAATCGTTTATCGCCTTTCCTTAGACTAGGTTCCCGGAGACATCTTCCCTTCCCAAAGCTTCGAACTTTGAGGCGCCTTTCTGTGTCCGTCCTACCACTTAAAAAATTCAATTTTTTTTATTTTTATCTTTACGATTTCGTCAATCGAAAATAGCTTACTGCTTTTTGATGGGGTACTCTCCACCAACGATGAAATCTAGCAATGGCCGATTTGGTCGGAAATTTGGTCAAATTTTTTCGGAGGGCATTTTCGTAATTTTAAAGCGCTTTTTTTGAAAGGCCATTTTCCTTTGATTTTGAAGGGTGCAGATCACGGATTCAGACTGATGCTATTATTTAGGGAGGAGTAAATCTATTAAACAGGGTTTCGGGCGAAAAATTGCCTGGGCAATTTTTTCCAGTTTCAAAAGGGTTACCATCACCGATTTCACGCAATTTTATGGAAAGTCCATTTTCCTTGGATTTTGAATGCGATGGATCACAAATTCGGCTTAGGGTACTCTCCACCAACGATGAAGTCTAGCAATGGCCAATTTGGTCGAATTTTCCGGAGGGCATTTTTGTAATTTTTAGGCGCTTTTTTTTGAAAGGCCATTTTACTTCGATTTTGAAGGGTGCAGATCACGGATTCAGCCTGGGGCTATTCTTTAGGTATTAATAAGTCTATAAAACAGGGTTTCGGGCGGAAAATTTCGGTGCAATTTTTGCCAGTTTCCAAAGGGGTACCATCACCGATTTCGGGCGATTTTATGGAAAGTCCATTTTCCTTGGATTTTGAATGCGATGGATCACAGATTCGGCCTTAGGGAACTCTCCACCAACGATGAAGTCTAGCAATGGCCGATTTGGTCGGAATTTTGGTTGAATTTTTCCGGGGGCATTTTCGTAATTTTTAGGCGATTTTTTCGAAAGGCCATTTTCCTTCGATTTTGAAGGGTGCAGATCACGGATTCAGCCTGAGGCTATTCTTTAGTGATAAATAAGTCTATAAAACAGGGTTCTGGGCGGAAAACTACTGGGGAAATTTTTGCCAGTTTTCAAAGGGGTACCATCACCGATTTCGAGCGATTTTATGGAAAGTCCATTTTCCTTGGATTTTGAATGCTATGGATCACAAATTCGGCCTTAGGGTACTCTCCACAAACGATAAAGTCTAGCCATGGCCGATTTGCTCAGAAATTTGGTAGAATTTTTCACGAGGGCATTTTTGTAATTTTTAGGCGCTTTCTTTGGCGGGTCATTTTCCTTCGATTTTGAAGGGTGCAGATCACGGATTCAGTATGAGGCTATTCTTTAGGGATGAATAAGTCTATTAAACAGGGTTTCAGGCGGAAAACTTCCGGAGCAATTTTTGCCAGTTTCCAAAGGGGTACCATCACCGATTTCGGCCGATTTTATGGAAAGGCCATTTTCCTTGGATTTTGAATGCGATGGATCACAGATTCAGCCTTAGGGTACTCTCCACCAACGATGAAGTCTAGCAATGGCCAATTTGGTCGGAAATTTGGTCGAATTTTTCCGGAGGGTATTTTCGTAGTTTTTAGGCGCTTTTTTCGGAAGGCCATTTTCCATCGATTTTGAAGGGGGCAGATCACGTATTCAGCCTGAGGCTATTCTTTAGGGATGAATAAGTCTATTAAACAGGGTTTCAGGCGGAAAACTTCCGGGGCAATTTTTGCCAGATTCCAAAGGGGTACCATCACCGACCGATTTCGGGCGATTTTATGGAAAGTTCATTTTCCTTGGACTTTGAATGCGATGAATCACAGATTCGGCCTTAGGGTACTCTCCACCAAAGATGAAGTCTAGCAATAGCCGATTTGGTCGGAAATTTGGTCGAATTATTCAGGAGGGTATTTTCGTAATTTTTAGGCGATTTTTTTGGAAGGCCATTTTCCTTCGATTTTGAAGGGTGCAGATCACGGATTCAGCCTAAGGCTATTCTTTAGGGATGAATAAGTCTATTAAACAGGGTTTCGGGCGGAAAACTTCCGGGGCAATTTTTGCCAGTTTCCAAAGGGGTACCATCACCGATTTCTAGCGATTTTATGGAAAGTCCATTTTCCTTGGATTTTGAATGCGATGGATCACAGATTAAGCCTTAGGGTACTTTCTACCAACGATGAAGTCTAGCAATGGCTGATTTGGTCGAAAATTTGTTCGAATTTTTCTTGATGGCATTTTCGTAATTATTAGGCGCTTTTTTCGGAAGGCCATTTTCCTTCGATTTTGAAGGGTGCAGATCACGGATTCAGCCTGAGGCTATTCTTTAGGGATGAATAAGTCTATTAAACAGGGTTTCGGGCGGAAAACTTTTGGGGCAATTTTTGCCAGTTTCCAAAAGGGTACCATTACCGATTTCGGGCGATTTTATGGAAAGTCCATTTTCGTTGGATTTTGAATGCGATGGATCACAGGTTCGGCCTTAGGGTACTATCCACCAATTATGAAGTCTAGCAATGGCCGATTTGGTCAGAAATTTGGTCGAATTATTCTGGAGGGCATTTTCGTAATTTTTAGGCGCTTTTTTCGGAAGGCCACTTTCTTTCGATTTTGAAGGGTGCAGATCACGAATTCAGCCTAAGGCTATTCTTTAGGGATGATTAAGTCTATTAAACAGGGGTTCGGGCGGAAAACTTCATGGGCAATTTTTGCCAGTTTCCAAAGGGGTACCATCACCGATTTCGGGCAATTTTGTGGAAAGTCAATTTTCCTTGGATTTTGAATGCGATGGATCACAGATTCGGCCCTAGGGTACTCTCCACCAAAGATGAAGTCTAGCAATGGCCGATTTGGTCGGAAATTTAGTGCAATTTTTACAGAGGGCATTTTCGTAATTTTTAGGCACTTTTTTTGAAAAGCCATTTTCTTTCGATTTTGGAGGGTGCAGATCACGGATTCAGCCTGAGGCTATTCTTTAGGGATTAATAATTCTATTAAACAGGGTTTCGGGCGGAAAATTTCCGGTGCAATTTTTGCCAGTTTCCAAAGGGGTACCATCACTTATTTCGGGCGATTTTATGGAAAGTCCATTTTCCTTGGATTTTTGAATGCGATGGATCACAAATTCGGTCTTAGGGTACTCTCCACCAACGATGAAGTCAAGCAATGGCCGATTTGGTCTGAAATTTGGTCGAATTTTTTCGGAGGGCATTTTCGTAATTTTAAGCACTTTTTTTCGAAAGGCCATTTTCCTTCGATTTTGAAGGGTGCAGATCACGGATTCATCCTGAGGCTATTATTTAGGGATGAATAAGTCTATTAAACAGGGTTTCGGGCGGAAAATTTCCGGGGCAATTTTGGCCAGTTTCCAAAAGGGTACCATCACCGATTTCGTGCGATTTTATGGAAAGTCCATTTTCCTTAGATTTTGAACGCGATGGATCACAGATTTGTCCTTAAGGCACTCTCCACCAATGATGAAGTCTAGCAATGACTGATTTGGTCTGAAATTTCCTTGAATCTTTCCGGAGGGCATTTTCGTATTTTTTGGGCGCTTTTTTCGAAAGGCCATTTTCCTTCGATTTTGAATGGTGCAGATCGCGGATTTAGCCTGAGGCTATTCTTTAGGGATTAATAAGTCTATTAAACAGGGTTTTTGGCCGAAAATTTCAAGGGAAATTTTTGGTTTTTTCCAAAGGGGTACCATCACCGATTTCGGGCGATTTTATGGAAAGTACATTTTCCTTGGATTTTGAATGTGATGGATCACATATTCGGCCTTAGGGTACTCTCACCAACGATGAAGTCCGGCGATGGCCGATTTGGTTGGAAATTTGGTCGAATTTTTCCTGATGGCATTTTCGTAATTTTTAGGGGTTTTTTCGAAAGGCCATTTTCCTTCGATTTTGAAGGGTGCAAATCACTGATTCAACCTTAGGCTATTCTTTAGGGATGAATAAGTCTATTAAACAGGGTTTCGGGCGGAAAATATCCGGAGCAATTTTTGCCAGTTTCCAAAGGGGTACCATCACCGATTTCGGGCGATTTTATGGATTTCCATTTTCCTTGGATTTTGAATGCGATGGATCACAGATTCGGCCTTAGGGTACTCTCCAACAACGATGAAGTCTAGCAATGGCCGATTTGGTCGGAATTTTGGTCGAATTTTTCCGGGGGCATTTTCGTAATTTTAGGTGCTTTTTTCGAAAGGCCATTTTTCTTCGATTCTGAAGGGTGCAGATCACGGATTCATCATGAGGCTATTCTTTAGGGATGAATAAGTCTATTAAACAGGGTTTCGGGCAGAAAATTTCCGGGGCAATTTTGGCCAGTTTCCAAAGGGGTACACCATCACCGATTTCGTGCTATTTTATGGAAAGTCCATTTTCCTTGGATTTTAAAGGCGATGGATCACAGATTTTTCCTTAAGGTACTCTCCACCAACGATGAAGTCTAGCAATGGCAGATTTGGTCTGAAATTGCGTCGAATTTTTCCGGAGGGCATTTTCGTAATTTTTGGGCGCTTTTTTCGGAAGGCCATTTTCCTTCGATTTTGAAGGGTGCAGATCACGAATTTAGCTTGAGGCTATTCTTTAGGGATGAATAAGTCTATTTAACAGGGTTTTTGGCCGAAAATTTCCGGGGAAGTTTTTGGCCGAAAATTTCCGTGGAAATTTATGGTTGTTTCCAAAGGGGTACCATCACCGATTTCGGCGATTTTATGGAAAGTCCATTTTCGTAATTTTTCCTTAAGGTACTCTCCACCAATGATGGTAGTTAGAATTGTAATTTTCTTCAACATGTTTTACCATGATAGTAGAAAGTGATAATCATATTTATACTTGTAATTAGTGTCTTTAACAATGTATTATTTAACGAAAAATCATCATTCAATTTGAACTGGAATTAGTTTAGAGATAGTTAGGATGGTTAGATTCATTTTTGTTGTAGATGAGAGAGAGAAGAAATAATATATTTTTTCTTTTAATAATAAAATAAAACAAAGAGTGAGAGAGAGGAGGAACCAGACAACCAGTGTGGGGTGGGGGAGTGGGATCCGCATCTGGTCAAAAAGTCACCTTCAGCGCGTCAGCGCATCATTAAATAGGGGTGCAATTTTACCTTAGTGCCCCTCTATGTTTAATTTAAATAAAAAGAAAAAGATGACACGTGGGGACAGATGATTGGATTACTGACAATTACTGATAGCAAAGATACTGACATGATCTGGTCCCGCCAGAGCCATATAAACCCAATCCATCTCTTAAAGCAAAATTGGAACTGCCTCAGCCTGCCCAGTTCACGGCCCGCCATGTCTAAGCCTAGTTCAGGTAGCCGACAGTGCTGTCTTCAGAAAGCATCAAGATCGGAATCCGTCTCCGACTCGTTCGGTAGCGTCGACGGCGTAGGACGACGCCCAGAGCTGTTGCTTCCTCTGGCGGCGAGCGTGGCGATTTTGCCCCATTTCAGCGAGACAGGGAAGTTGTGGAGCGACTTCGGTTGTGGTTTCACCGGTGCCGCGCCATTGAAGAGAAAATAAAACCCTTCCTACAGATTCATACGCGATATACACTGGCCGTGTTCTTACCAAAAAAGGCTCTTTACAATCTAGCGATGTACACTAATTGATTATGAACAAATAATCGGAAGGTGAGGAGAAACCCTAAGGGGGAGAGATGTATCATCGATTTGGGGTAATAGTCCAATTCGGCTCCCAATGGGTAAAGGGTTTAATCTGGCCGGTTGGATTGCCGGGTTAAGTGGGTTGATTAGCCATTTTTTATTATTATTTACACTAACGTGTCATGCTAACGGGGTGATCGGCGACAGAGTTTTGGACGGAATTGGACGGATTTATTATTTTGTTATTCGCTCAAACTTTTGTTACCGAAACGTGCAAAATTAAAGGATTGTTACTGTTTTGTACAAAGTAAATAGGTTTGTAACCATTTATGATAACTACCCTGAAATGTTTTCCAAATATGGGCCAGCCATGTCTAAGCCTAGTTCACGTTGCCCCACCAGGTGGCAGGTGCCAGTCGTTTATCGCCTTTCCTTAGACTAGGTTCCCGGAGACATCTTCCCTTCCCAAAGCTTCGAACTTTGAGGCGCCTTTCTGTGTCCGTCCTACCGCTTAAAAAATTCAATTTTTTTTTATTTTTATCTTTACGATTTCGTCAATCGAAAAGAGCTTACTGCTTATTGATGGGGCAACCAATTGAGGAACTTGCTGCTCCGATCAAAACCCGGTCCCCGGAAAGCGAAGACGACGACGAGGAGCTCTCATGTTCTTCCTCTTCAGAGGAGGAAGAGGATGGCGACCTAGAAGTGAGCTTTTCACTTGCTCCTCAAAGTCTGTCAATTTCTCCGCTGGAATATCCTGGAAATTAATATAGCTGTGCGTTTGTGTTGCAATTCGGAGCAGGAGGAAGAGGAATTAGAGAGAGAACTTGCGGATGTTACGTTTGAGGAGCTGCAGAAAGCTAGGTCTAATGGGTCCGATTCAGTCTACCGAAAGCCCATTTTGGAGAGGAGGGCTAAGAGAGCCAACAAGAACAGGCACTATTTCCTCTTCAAAATAATAATTGATTGCTGATTCAGTATTTTTTCTGCATATGCTTTAGCTCTCGTATTGGTTTTCTGGTTTCAAGGTGATTGTAATTGCCCTGTGCTTCTTTGTTTTCCCCTGCTATTTTTGCAGGCCGGTGGAGGTCACTTGCAAAAAACCAGTTAGTAGGTTTCGAGAGGTCATTCAAGTTCCTAAGAAGGTATTTTCAACGACCCTTTCCTCATTTTCACTACTTTAGCCTTTCAAGGTCCAACCTTTTGGCTAAAACCATCCTTCATTTGTGCCATGGAGGATCCTTTATGATCATTGGGAACATTTTGTAGTAGCTGCTAGCTTGTGCGGCTTTCATTTTGATATTCTTGTTCGCAATATTGGGTATAGCACGAGCTCATATTTGGTAAATCAGTGTCACTCTTGTTCACTGGTCGATGTAGCACTTTAATGCTGCATTTACTTGATTTGGTTTAAACAAGCAGCACCGACTATCTGCGTTGGAAGTTTGATGACATTATTACAAGTTGCTTGATGTGTATGTCCTGTTCACCGTTCATAATTTTGTAATCTTTCAGTTGTTTATTCATGTTTCTGAATATTTTCTCTACGTGTTTCCTTTCTGTGAATCCAAAGCTTGTGTCTTGATGGGCCTGATATGTTGCAGGTAGTACGTGATCCTCGCTTTGAGTCATTGTGTGGTACGCTTAATGTGGAAGGGTAAGTGTATTTCCTCGTGATTCCATTGTCCAGTTAATTATGTGATTGCTGCTGTTTATTGTTCCGTGTTTGCCCTACTTGACGATTCCTAGGCCATCCTAAATAGAAAGTAGCACTTGACTTGGCCAATGCTTTTAGTACTTGAACTTCATAGCAAGACTTTCTAATTAATAAGTTCTGTTCTCTCAATAGCTATAGGAAAAGATACGATTTCCTCTATGAGAGCAACCTGCCAGCCGAAAAAGAGGTAACTTATTTCATCGAAGGCTAGCATGTTCCACTACTCACTTGGTGTTCTGTTCCTTAATATATTCCACTCCTCACTTCCGTTTGATTGATATAGGAACTAAAGAAGCAGCTAAGGAAATCCAAAGACCCAGTAGCCGTCGATCAATTAAAGAAGCGCATAGAGTGGACTGTAAGAAACCTGCTAACTAAGTATGAAGTTCTTTTGAATCTCGTGTGTCTATCTCTTTTGCTGACCTCTTTCCTTCCTGCTCTTGACAGGACAAGCAGCTGAAGTTTGACACAACAAAACAAGTGGAATCATCGATTCTTATTGAACACAAGAAGAAAGAGAGGGAGGCTGCTAAGCGAGGCAAACAGCCGTTTTATCTCAAGAAATGTAAATCTCTGTCTTTCCTTTCAATTATTAACCCCCTAGATTCCCAAGCATACAAAACCCTGAATTTACCTGTCATTTTTCCCCCAGCCGAAATCAAGAAACAAAGGCTCGTCGACAAGTATAACAAACTCAAGGTATGCTTTTATTCATCATCGATTCAAAGTGAAAACATAACCTTCCAAAGAAAGTTGCTTCCACAGATTTTTTTGTTAACTGATGAAACATCATAAATTGACTATAGGCAACTGGAAAGCTTGAATCTTTCATTGAGAAACGGAGAAAGAAGAACGCCTCGAAGGACCACAGGTTCATGCCATACCGAAGACCATCCTCGACAGGCGAATAAGAGCAATGAACCGGATTCAGATTCAATCCCCAGGAAGGAAGAAGCCATCTTTATACCATTTCTAGTTGTTGTATTGTTTAGGTTTTGGGGTAGCCTCGATTGGACTAGGAAGGATGTTGACTTCCTGTTAAAATCTCTGGCCGCAAATCTGAGGAGATCATGCCTACCATTTTGATATTTATCTCGTTGGCTGGAAGTTGCTTTCATGTTCAAAACTTGTCGAAAGAACATTCATCCCATTCCTTTTGTACATCCGATGATGTTGCAATAACAGCAGACAGCCCATTGGAAAAGGCCAAATGCTTGGCCCAGGCAGGCAGTGGCGTTGGTGTAAATAATTCTGAAGTCCAGGGGTGGAAACACAAAGAAAGGTAGAAGAAGACACAAAATATCCATCTCTCCAAATCTGAACAGTAATACATGGCTTGTCCCAGCGCGACGCGTGTCCCTTCTGTCCTTTTCATTACAGTGAGCCGGTCACCGACGGAGAAATTTCACCGCCACCAGCCGGTCACCACTGGTCGACTCTTCCCTTTCCCTCGCTAGTCGCTAGCTCCGTGTGACTCTTTCCCGCTCTCCCAAATGAACGACACCTCGAGAAATGGGACAAAACTAGGAGAAATATTAAAACAAAACGAAATATTTTTATAACAAAAAACGCGAAACTCTTTTATAAAATTTCTTCCTATTCACTCACAGTCTCACTGCTATTGCTTTGCTGCCATGGCGGTTCCGTACAAGGGCAATCTGTGGTAGAGAAAGGGAAGGGGCTGGCGAAGAATCGAAGTATTGGGTACATGGTAAAAGAATCTCATTCCCTGTGTTCTATGCGCCACTTTCTTCAAAATTTGGCTCCTTTTTCTTTTTCCCCTTTCCTTTTGCGGCTTTTCCTTCACTGCTCAATAGTTTCCGCAGTTGCTATAAGCATCGAAGAGACCCACAAATCTGATTCTTTGCCTTATTGTATGCTATCCATGGGGAATGGGCATTTGGGTCTGTCGAGAAAAAACAAGCAAAGCGAGCAAAAGGGAAATAAAGCTCAAGGTTTTTGAAATTTGGAGCGCCCCAGTTTAGTGAAGGGCGGTGACTGCTTTAGTGTGTGGGAGCCCCGCAAAAAAACCATAACTTTGCGTCTCTTTTTCTTTTCCTTTTCCTTTTGGGAATGGGTTTCTGGCGGGGTCTTCTTCTTCTTCAGTGAAATAGTGGCTTGTGTCGGTTTCGGGAAGGTGATACAGTCTAGTTGGCGGAGTTGTGATTCTTCAGAAGTCTCGAGAAAAGTTGGTGGCTTTGGAGGAGGTCGAAAGCTTCTATGGAGCAGTTATAGTTTATATTATGGTTCCTAGTTGAAAAAGTTCTTGGCTTTGAGTTAGGCTAATCGGGTTTCTTGTCGGTAGAGCGTGTGTTATATTGTGTAAGCGTATGCTAATCCTAAGCTGTGAAATTATGAATTCTCGATGTGGTTTTGTTGTATTTCAATCCTTCAATGCATATCGTATTTGCAATATGCTTTTTCCAGTTCGTGCATTTGGCTTTCTGTATGTTGGTTTTGGAGGCCTATATAGTTTTGTTCATGAGGAGAATCGTTCTAGTAGTTTCTCACTGTCCCAAAGATAAGTGTTTGCCGTACAAAAGTTTGAAGAAATACTGTTGTCTGGTATCTTGTAAAGTATTAAGAAGGAATGGTTGATTTCCTCTTTGTGTGCATATGTAGACTTTGTGGCTTATGGAAATGAGGACTGTTGCTCTGTGCTTCTGCAGTTGAACATTTGGATTTGGGGCCTTTTGCCATTTGCTTGTAAATGTTTACAAATTATGTTTGCTCTGCCTAATGCAGTAAGAGAGTGATGGCATCAGAGGCCTTTTTCGACTCCAATTATCTCTTTGCAATGCGATGCATGGCATCAGCTGAGGCCACTGGAGATTTGGTGCAGTCTTTGAATTCTGGGAATAAGCTGCAGAAAGAAGGACATTTCCATGATGCAGTGACTTCCTTCCTCAATTCGTCGTCATGTGGCGACATTCCAGGTATGCTGGAGAAAGTTTTCAGATTCAAATGGTTTACACAACAATCCATATATTCATGCCACATCCTTTGACGTGTTTCAGGTTCTTCCACCACCAGTGACTCCTCCATTGTGCAGCAAGAATCACATTTAACCCAAAACCGAGCACAACCATCCAAAAGAAAACAGCAACAAAGTAGTACCTCTCAGCCTAGATTGCCGAAAAAGAAGAAGTCAACTATTGACCCCAACAAAAGAGAGCAGCTTCCTAATCAAAGTCAGGCACACAGAAAAAACAAAACTGAACCCAGACAAGACACTGCTCTACAACAACGACAAGCTATGCAGCAACTGCTACTGCAGAATCCGGTTTCCTTTCAGTCACAAGGTCATCATAGTCCTATCCTGGAGACTTTGCCTCACAGGCAGAGGAGAACTTTTCAGCCAATGCAGGAACTACCTGTTGGAGTTGACTTAAAGCAACAGCAACAGAAACAAGTAAAGGAATATCTTCAACAGCTCGCACTCAGGCGCACACAATCACATCCGCCTGCTCAGCTTTTTAATGCCAATGTGTGCTCTCGCCGGCTGACACAGTATCTGTATCATCTTCAGCGTAGGCCACCGGTGAGAGTTGCTGTTTTTCTTAAACTGACTACTTCCTATTTGTTTCCTGTTTTGATGCATGGATTGCTTCTCACAACTAGCATTCATCTTTCCGTCTCTGTGTGTGTGAGTGTGTGTTTTTTGTAGAGCAATGATATTTCATATTGGAGGAAGTTTGTGGCAGAATATTACGCTCCTTGTGCCAAGAAAAGGTGGTGTTTATCTTCTTGTCCCAGTGTTGGGCGTCATGCTGTTGGAGTCTTCCCTCAGGCTGCTATGGTTAGATTATATGACCCTCCTCTATCACTCTTGGTGTTCGTTACCATATCTACACAATTCAAAATATATTGTGTGGTGTGAATGGATTGTAATTTATCTCACTTGATTCTATTTTGTGATTTGTGTTTGCAAATACATTGGATGGTTTAGCAGATTAGTGTATGAAGTCTGCATCAGAAAATTGGATAAGCAGATTTGTGGAACTCACTTCTCTGGAATTGAGTTTGCTAATATTTCCTTCCTCTCCATTTGAGATTTTATCATTTTGATGCATTGGAGAGTACATCTGCAATTTTAAATGTATGAAAAATGTCTACAGAAAACGATGTGTTTGAACATGCTATTGAAAGTGTCGCCCTCCTAACACATTTAACCAAACAAATTATGTCTAAATGCATATATTAAGGTTTGTTTCTTAAGTTGCCTGGGATGAGTCACCTTAAGAAAGGCATGTGATTTGGAGATGGGGCGGTCTAATGAGTGAATCAATGAATTTGATTGCTGTTTTTCCCCCCCAGGAGGCATGGTGCTGTGATTTATGTGGTTCTACCTCTGGGAGAGGTTTCGGTAAGCAAAAAAACTAATTGGCACCTGCTCTGTTAGGCCATTAATAATCCCTTAATCATCAGAAGTACGCCCATTAATGAGTCTTCTTTCTGATCTCTCTTCCTTTGGCAGAGGCAACTTTTGAAGTGCTCCCTAGACTTAACAAAATACAGTTTGAGACTGGGGTTACGGATGAACTTCTGTTTCTTGAATTGCCACAAGAGTGTAGGCTTCCTTCTGGATCAATGGTTCTTGAATATGGAAAGGCAGTGCATGAGACCGTTTACAACCAGTTCCATATTGTCCGTGAGGGAAAACTGCGGATTGTCTTCACTCCTGATTTGAAGGTGAAAAACTCATTTCAGTGAGTTTGTAAGGTTTGTTGGGGTGATGAATGTATCCCTGAAAAATGTCTACTTTATTGTTGCTTTTTCCTTCTTGCCAGATATCATGTTGGGAATTTTGTTCAAAAGACCATGAAGAGCTTTTGCCACGGAGTTTAGTCACATCTCAGGTACTCAGGGGTTCTGCTTTGGATTATATCTAGCAAGCTGGTCATGTGTTGGTTCTGGTAGGGTTTCTGCTTAGCAGTTAGAGATCGTAAGCACATGGGACACTCATCTTGTTTTCAGGTTAATGATTTCCTCCGAATTGCACAAGAATACCAGACAGCAATTGATGGTGGTGGACCGGGAAGGGCATTGCCTGATCTTCAAGAAAATTGCCACATGTAAGAAATTCCTAAGGTTCACCATTCATTCAACAACTGGTTGTAAATTAGGCCACCATATACCTGTAGATGATTAGATATGAACTACAAATTCTGAAATGATGCTTGACATCTTTGCACGTTCATCACTTTTCTCGCTTGAATATGGATCCTGGACAAAGGCATTGGCATTTGCTGGGGATTATCTATAGTAGCTCCTGTTTCACGTGACTGACTGTTTGAATCAATGTTGGAACAAAACATGATTGCTGATAGTGTTAACATTGGTGCAGGTTGTTAGCAGCTGGATGCAGTCTCGAAAAAAACTTGGAGTTGCAGCTTGCCGGTGACATGGGTTTTCCAAAGCGATACATTCGTTGCTTGCAGGTGAGGTGTAAACAGTGTATTTGCTGTTCTACCATCAGAATCATTTGAGAAGTATCATAAACACTCTATACTTGTTATTGCCATTTCCAGATTGCGGAAATAGTTAACAGTATGAAAGACTTGATGACCTTCAGCTGGCAGAACAAAACTGGAGCTATTGGTGAGTAATGATGTCTACTCTCAGTGAACGTTGATTTGGTAGATATGTGTAGGAAGGCTTGTATGATAATCCTCGTGTTTCAGAGAGCTTGAAGAGTTATACCAAGAAGTTCTCCTTGGACGCTCGGACACAAACCCAAGAGGAACTGGACTCGCTAGCAAAGGAGACAAGTCAGCAATTGTCATCTTCGTATTGCCAAGGGATCATGAATAAGGCGAATGGTGGAGTCTTTCCAAACTCTGACGAGGGAACGTTGTCTGATTATGGAAGCTACGGTAAATTACTGAGTCAGGCATCCAACTCAGCCATGGCTAGACTCGGGGAACCCTCTTACCTATACAAACAGTTCAATCAAGCCCCTTCCCCCAAGCCACTCCGAGGTTCTCCTCCCTCTGAAAGCAGTCCAGTACAAGAGCATATTATGAAGCTACTTCAAGGAACAAGCAATAAGAGCCAAAACCTCGGTTGGACTGAGAGGGAGGTAGTAAACCATACCATCGATGACATGCTTGCTGGTTTTCCAGCAACTTCGAATACCATGGATGCTTCTGGTTCAAGCAATAGATTGCCTTCTGACGATTGCGCTTCTTCGGCTGCCACTTCTTCAGGAGGAAGCAAACTTGCTGGCTTCCTGGGGAAGACAAGAAACAGTTGGGAGTCTTCTAGTCGTTATGCAGATCCCAGTTTCACCAGCAGCAACAAGGGAAGAAGTTCTCTGGAAAGGCTTGGTCCATCCAATGAACATGACTTGTTCCGTAAGTTACTTGAGAATGGAATGTCCGATGGTGCTTTTGGTGACTCCATGACCTTTGGCTGGAAGTGATGAAGCATAGCTATTCTGCCCTTTTTGCTCTAGTAGGAACAGAACTCTAGTGAAAAGCTTTACTCTGGAAATTTTAGGAAAAAGGCTTCAGATAGTATGATCTGAAGGTAAATTTTAGGACCCCTTTTGGCAGAAGTACTTAGTTTTGGAGACTAGAATGCTGTTGTACATGGTTCTTATTTGGTGCACAAACTGTAAATCGATAGCATCACAACAGTTAGATATGTTCAGATATGGAAGTTCTTTTCTCCAGTAATCAAAATGAACTGAAAGAATTACATTGTATTCGATTGACCAACTGACAAACAATACAAAACCGGACTATACACATTGCTCTACTTGAACACATATATGACACGGGATGATGAGCTATTTCTTCTCCTAAAACTATCTTCTCTCGCTGCTACTATCATCAAAAGGTATGAATGCGCCTCAAAAATGCTTCAACCTTTCTCTAAATTTACATGGCAATACTAGTACAGTGTCCAAACACAGACCACCCTTTGTGTGTGTGCAATCGATCTGTGTCATTGAGAACTTCAGCTTCTTCATTGATGCATCATTATCTTTGAGAACAACGAAATCACCAGCATGGTACAGGTTCCACTTCCCAGTATCATTCAAAAACCGCTGTGAAGATGCATACTGACCATCCGAAGTCCACAGTTCAAACCGAACCGGTTTTTTATCCCAACCGTGGACATGCTCGGTGTTGCAGATCTTTCGACCGAACCTCTTAGCAGTTCGACCCAGCTGTAGCCTGAAAAACAGACTGTAGGTACCTGCTGGGAATGGGAACTCGAACTCTCCACTGACCTCGAACCACCATATCTGCTGAAGATATGCAACAGAGGAGAATCTGTAGAAGAAGGGAAGCTTAGATTAGCTACAGCACTAAGCTCGAACTAGACAATTCAATTAACTAGAAGTTGATCATTCAATGTCCATTCTAAAGAAGAGAAGCAGCATTTTAGAACCTTTTACCTATATAACCATCAATGGTATTGAAACTCTACAAGATACCAAGATTTTGGTTGAAGCCCTCACCTTGACTCCTCAGTTGGAATATGGTTCCAGTATCGGCGATCATCGATGCCGGTTATCATCAAGCCCTTGGAAGCGAGGGATAGACAGACGCCACCAGTGGTTTTGTCAAGCCAGACTTTCTGCACAACAACATGAAGGTTTTTCAAGCTAATCAGTAAACCAATTTCAAAACACAAAATTGATGAGCTATTTCTTATATTCCAAGTTCCAACTATGACCCAGTATCAAGTTTCTCGTTAACATGACCTAAGATTTCATCTTTTAGACCCCTAGAACTTCTATTAGCCAAGGGAAATGAAAATCGAAACCTCGATAAGCCATAGAGTTGTAGGAAGCTCGAGACTTTTCCATTTCTATTAACTGCGGGATGAAAACCTTTCCCAGAAGAAGTGAAAGAAGGACGGAAGGAACAAACCTTGGAGCCATCATCGATTGTATTGGCGGCGCAAAGTCTGGTGTAAATCTCTCTCTTGCTAATCCTCTTCCCATCGGCGTTGTCAACGCCCAACACTCTCTCCATAAGGTCCCGATAATTCTCCGGCAACTTGGACTCCCACACGAAATCAGCCCAAGACGCGCCGCGACACGCCCTGTTGAGCGTCGCCAGTTTGCAAATCTCGACGGGATCCAAGTTAGCGAGAATCGGCGCCACACAGCTCTCCGGCAAGTCGCCCAGGGTCGGTCTCCGCGGCGGCTGTTGGATTGGAGGGGAAAAGGCGCCGAACAGAGAGCAAGTCGTCGCCGGATCCATGAAAATCGAAGAGAAGTTGGCACCCATCAAGGCACAGAGCAACCCAAGAAGACCCAGAAGAGGAAAACAGGTGGGGAACCTAGAAACTTCGATTCAGAAGAGGGCTTTCCCAATTAAGCTACGGAAAGGAACACGGAATCGACAGTATATGAAATGAAGGGGCGCAATAGGCAGAACCGAAGGAGAGGTGTCAAAAGGTAGAGGAATGGGTATTTGTAAGCGAGACGCGTATACAAATTGCACAGAGAGACCCCGCACCCAATTTGTTTAAAGAAGAAAAAGAAAGAAGCAGAGAACGAGCTTTTGTCGCGGATCGCCTGTTGTTTGAGAAGGGGTTTTCAGCTCGACCTTTGTCTGTTTGTTTGATGGGAAAATTTACAGAGAAGGTGGAAATTGAAGGGAAAAAGGAAAAAATAGTAAATAACGACTGATTTTGACAGCTTAACCCAGAACTTCAACGAACAATTAGAATGAGGAAAGGGAAAGCGCAGAAACCCTAGAAAAATCTTGGGACTTGACTTGTTTAACCGAGTAAAGACCCGATCTTTTTGCCGCCGCCGGGAAATTGGAAATCAATCTCTGTCTCTGCTCTGGTCTTCGGAGAAGGGATTATGGGTGATTGGGTAAAAAACTCGGAGCTGCTAATGGCTGCCTCCTTTTAAATTGAGAAGATGAAGAAGGGTGGGGGATAAAGGGGAATTAATTAATTAATTGAAATAAATTACAGGGGATGCGTTGAAATTATCCACTTAATTATCCTTTTGGGATAAATTTAAAAGAGTAGACAAATGGGTTTTTATTATGACACAAAACTAATTAGCCGAATGAGGTGGGGGATTTTTGGGTGGATTAAAAAACAAAATTTGGTCAAAAAACTAATTATTCCATTGTTTTTCCCTTTTGCCAAATCATCATTAAAATTCGTGAGCTGTTCTGTTCTTCGATGAGTCGTACACTGGTAACAGCACATCACCCACTGCTAAAGCAGAGGATAGGTTAAAAATTGTGATTTTCTGTTTACACTTAAGAGATGAGTTGTGAATTAATGTGACGAGAGGAGGGAGACAAATAATGGTAGAAATTTATGCTGGTGAATTTATTGTACTAGAGAGCACATATCAGTTGATTGAGCCATTTTTGGATTGATTTTTGTTTTGTTGGGCTATTATTACTTTATTAGCGTTCTTTTCTCCCATTCACCACCTCTTCGTCACATACCGCAAAGTACTAATACCAAAATACTAAAATAAATTTGGGGAAGTATCGATATTTCAATAGAGTCGAGCATTCATAGTCACTCATAAAATGATATATATTATAGTCAAAGTTGAAAACTTGCTTTCAACTGTCATTGAAGTATGACTTGCTTCTTGCATGTCTAATGCCACGATTACTTCGCAAGTCTCTTTAATGTTGTTGTTGTGTTAGGGTTGTCTTGGTCATACATGGTGCCATGAGTTCGACCAACGTGATGATATTGGAGTGGTCGGGCCGTCATCCATGGCACGATGGATAGTGTTCGGTTTATCGACGGCTAGTTACTGGTAATGGCATGATGACCTGAAATGTATGATAGAGTGATGATGTTGACCATCTCGTGACAACTACTACCACGATAAATTTGATTAGTTGGTAATGCACACTTGGAAGCTATCAATTATGAGGTTAATAACTTGAAATTGGTTGAGTGGTGTCATGGCAGATTGATGCCAATCACCATGGCAGGCTTGGGATGGTCGATCTGGCATCTGGTGTCAACTAGCGTGCATGTCATGATAATATGATTGTCACGGTGGTATTGTCTATAAGTTTTTTACCTTGGCATCATATTGGCATGGGTGACCAAAAGTCATTGAAAACAAATTCCATAGAAAGAATTTTTTTTTTTTTTTGCATTACAGGAGGCTAAGAGCCAAAGAAAGAAGATTATAGGGGTGGAGCCGAGAGGTGGGGAGGAGGAGAAGACTCTGCGACCACTCGTCGTTCAAAGGTGATGCCCATGTTGTCCTCTTGTACAATATTCCCTAAGCCTTGGTGCGGGTTTGCAAGCTCATGCACACCATAGGGATAGACGAGACTGTGCTTCGAGAGCCAGACCGCGACTCTATTCCCCTCCCAGTATGTATGAGAAATGATCACCAGCCATTCTTGGCTTAATTTCATGCGAATTGATGAGAGCAGAGTGGAGTAGGGATGAACCTGGTCCAGCCGATTGTTAATAAGCTCAATAGCTAATCTCGAGTCCGATTCAATCTTCAGAGAGCGATAACCTCTATTCCAAGCAACTTCAAGACCATGAAAGACAACCCGTAGCTCCGCAAGAGCAGCAGACGCCGTTCCTATATTGCCCACAAATCCAGAAATCCGACGCCCTGAGTTGTCCCGAATGCACCCTCCTGTACCAGCTGGTCTTGGATTACCACAAGACGCACCATCAACGTTAAGAGTAAACCAACCTTGAGGTGGGGGCTTCCAGCCAATATTCTGCACAACCCTTGTCGCCGGTTTAGCTCTGCTGCAAGGCAAGGTTGACGGAGCATGCCAAGCATCATGCCAAAGCAAAGCTTTGGCAATGATAGAGTGCGCCAGAGAAGGAGGAGAGAGGACGGCAACAAGACCCTTGAAGCAAGCCTCGCATCTACTCTTCCATAGACACCAGGTTGCGACACTAAAGAAAGCAGCCCACTGCATTCCTGAAGGACCAGCTTCTGAGTTGCTAAGGTTCTCTCGCAGCCAAACACACTGAGGGCAGTCGCGAAGCACATGGAGGATGCTTTCAGGCTGCCCCTGACAGCGCACACAATTTGGGTTGGGAGTTGATTTCCTGCAAAAATGGAGCTGGTTAGTTGCAATTCGTCCAAGGCATGTCAGCCAGAGAAAGCTCCTAACACCCTACGAGACCGGTAAGCTCCAAATAATCTTCCAGTACTTCTCGTCTGGGTCTGCAACATGCTGGTTAAGAAGACTATATGCGTTTTGCCGAAAATCTTCCATCTGAGGCCGCACTCCAGAAGATAGTATCATTCTCTGTCGAGATAGTGTCCACTGCTGTGCTAAGGATTTTCATCTGCACCTCCTGGGGAAGAAGATCAGAGAAGAGTTCGGTTCGCCAAGACCCCTCCTGGCTCACAAAGTCATCAACCACGGCATCCTCCATCCCCTCCGGAAGCTGACCTACCGCTACATCCTTGAGAGGTACCTACAGAATGCAAATATCCGACCAGAATTTAGTGCACTACCATTCTTAATGTTCCAGGCACAACTTTTCAGAAGTAGATCAACAGCCTTAGAGATGCTTTTCCAGGTAAAGGAACTTCCCTGGATTGGTCGGATGATTCCTAGGTCCATTTGATTGCGGTTGTACTTATCACGAAGAACTTTGCACCACAAGCTGTCTGTTTCCTTAAGAAGTCTCCAACCTCCTTTGGCGAGCATCGCCAGGTTCGCCTGTCTGAGGGATCTCAGCCCAGCTCCACCTTGTATCCTTGGAAGTATCATCTTCTCCCATGCTACCAGATGCATCTTGGCTTTGTTCTCCTCTTCTCCCCAGATGAAATCCATGTTCAACTTATCGATGCTTTTGCACACACCAATGGGGATTAGCTCAGTATTCATATTATAAGTAGGGAGAGAAGAGGTTACTGAGAGAGCAACAGTGAGTCTTGCCGCCAAGGATAGCCGGCGAGCTTTCCAAGGGGCAAGTTTTTTATGAATCCTCAAGAGGAGCCCTTGATATCGCCCTTTGGTGACCCGACCCTGGATGGTCTCAATTCCCAAATACTTCCCCAACTCCTACTTAAGAGGAATGCCCTCCTTCTTTTCAAGAGATTAGCTTTACTCCGATCAACGTTGGAGGAAATGTACATGATTGACTTGTTGTAGTTAACCCGCTGCCCAGAGCTAGTGCAGAAGTCCCCCAAGCATTCTTGAATCACCTTGATCTGTCGTGACTCAGCTTCTGCAAAGAGAAGCAGATCATCTGCAAAAAAGAGGTGAGTCAGAGGTGGGCCGTCCTTAGTGAGGCGAATGGCTTTCCACTGCTTACTAAGTACGGCCTCATCAATCCTGTAAGATAGACGCTCCATACAAAGAACAAAAAGATAAGGGGAAAGAAATTAAAACTCTATTTTGTCTCTCTATATAATGGTCAATTAATTCTACTATTTCAAACTACCCAACTCTACAATGAATAATGAATAGGGTTATAGGTATAATATGCCCCTCTATTATGACGTTTTATCAAACATGCCCTCTACTATTTTTTACATCAAATATGCCCCTATACTTAGAAAAAATTATCAAACATGCCCTTCCGTTAAAAATTCCATTGAAAATATCGTCAATCATGGTTGAATTGAGATTTAGACGACCCGACATCGACAAATGGGAGGGAAAATGCCAGTTTTGTCCCCTGTTTTATTTCCTTTGGTCTTTTCAAAGTGAAATTATTTGAATGATTTGATTATACAAAAGAACCAAAAAGATTCTAAAGTGAATTTATTAGGGATATTTTAGCCATTTGTGTCACCCAAACTAAAGTTCGGCTTTGGTTAACGATTTTTGGATTAAAATTTTAGCAAAAGGGCATGTTTGATCATTTTTACAAAGTACAGGGGCATGTTTGATGTAAAAAATAGTAAAGGGACATGTTTGATAAAACGTCATAGTAGATGGGCATATTATACCTATAACCCTAATGAATATGATAATTACAACCACGCGGCTTAAGAAACACATATTTTACTATTATATCGTGGGCTAGTGATGGCAATGGGGTGGGGCGGGACGGGTACCTCAATTCCCATGCCCCGCCCCACGCTACTACGGGGCGGGTAAAACCCGCGCGGGTACGGGGCTGGGCGGGTCGACCCACTCTTACATGTTATTTGAAAAAATACAAGTAAATTTTACTTTTTACGATAAAACGAAGGGTAAAACAATTTAAGAATGAAAAATAGTGATAATAGAATGGGTAATTGAGTCTAACAAGTTGAAAGAGCGACTTTGACTAGTTGAAGAAAAGTCAAAATAGGAGAAATATGTATAGAAATTGTAAGAAATTGAGATAAAATGAGTCTAGAACGGGGCGGGGCGGGGCAGGACAGGTCGGAAGTAGATACCCATGTCCCGCCCCACGCTACTGCGGATCGGGTAATACCCGCCTCATCGCGGGTCAGGTCGGTAATACCCACGGGGCGGGTTGAAATTGCCATCACTACCGTGGGCTAAATTGTGGGGTTTTTTTTTTTTTTGCATTCAATTATACAAACGTCAACTAGAATTGGAGCTGGAATTTTACGAGCTCCAAAGGAAATATCATTTTGATGTCGCTAAACCAAATTCAAAGTAGATACAAAGGGTGGTATCAAATCAAGACACATCAAGTACAGCGAAGGACCATAATTACCCCATATTGTTCATTTCCTAGTACAAAACGGATCCAATGTAAATACATATTCAACGAATCGCATACAGTTTCTTCCTTAAACAAAACAAGATTCGTGGTTTCGATAGCCATGTAGATGCATTAATCAATGGTTTTTATTTTGGTGTGGGCAGAAGAGGACAGTTACCCTCTGTCGCCAACTGGTAGTGGTAAATATAGGATTTGGGTATATTGATGAGATTTACTAATTTAGGTAGTGGATTGTGTCAAGAATTAGTTGATCCCAACAATTTAAATTGCTCGAGTTGTTGGAAGAGTTTCAATCGTGGATCAACACAAGACTTCTCGGCCACAAAATGCTTTGATACAATGTCAAGAATCAGTTAATCTCAAATAACTCGAATTATTGTGAGAGATTCAATCGTAAATTATATAACCCACTAACAAATTGATTATTACCCACAAACTCTAGCATTTAAACACTAACGAATCTCTATTTGTTAACCACCAAGGATGGTGGGGAGTAAAGGTGGATTTGGAGGTATTATCTTTGTACCACACCACTACTTTTTGGTGACAACTGTTATGCTTATGTGCTTGCTTTAGTTCATATGAGTTCATCGAATAATTTATGGAGTTCGATATTTAGTTTCGTTTTGATGTTCTTGCAGAAGTAGATTTTCGTTGGGTTGTGAAAGAGAGGGTCTGATTTTTAGTAGCAGCTTGATTGTTTGTTTAGTTTCCTTATTATTTCCTGAATTTTGTTATTAATAAAATGGTATCATAATTATCTAAAAATAATATTTTCAAGTAACCAAAACATTTAAGGATAAATGTTGTCATTGAATCTAAAATGAGATTATTATAATTTTTGTTGTCCATACCTGACGGAAGTGAAAATGTTGACGTGTGGAAAGTCATCACCACTATTTGTAATTTGTTTACTCTAATTGTATCTATTATATTATCATCATCATCATGTTGTTGTTAATAATAATCTCCAAAATTAATAACCCATCAAAATCAAGGCGGCCCGCCCCTTACACCATCTACCTAACTTGTCAAATTCTCCACTGCACTTTTCCCTTTACTTTTCCAATTGTTTTTTTTTTCTTCTTCTTTGGTATCATCATCAAAGCTCTCGTAATTAACAAACTACAAAAGAGCAATTAGATGAGGCAAGTGGGAGGTTGGCTTCCTTTAATTACAATAAATAAATATGGGAAACGTCGCTCTCTAGATTTTGGTTTTATCATTAGTACTAAGAATCCGTAATAGAGACATCAAATTTAACAATTGAATAATCAAACACCATTTCCTAGTTACTCCCACCCTTCGGTTATAGATGGAGCTAAACAAGTGGCTGAGGTTTCTCTTTCACAACTTAGAAGTTAGAATATAATATTGAGAGGGCAACAGGTGTGCCAATGGGAACACGTCCAGTCAGCAAAAAGTACATCCATTACGACGTGTGTCTGAGTCAGCACAAGCATGCTCGACCACATATGTAATTATGTATTAGGTTAAGGGGAAACCATGTCGTGTTTTTTTTAATGATGAGAGTGGATAAGGGACTGAGGAGGAGAAGGGGACAAAGCATGTAAGGTTAAGTGTTATAATTAGTGGGCTAAATTATGATGATTAAAGCGAGGAAATTGAACAGTTTTGTGTTTTTATTAGCGAAGGTTGGTTTTTGATAATTTGGGGGTTATGGAGAAATTATAAGGGACCTGGCTTCTTCCCCCACTTGAGCATTTTTGTGTCCATATTTGATGGGTGAAGTGTACAAATTGGTTTTCAATTAATCTGGATCTATGCCATAAATAGCTGAATTAGGAGAAGATGATCGATAATTGGAGAGAGGTATATGTAATAGGGTTTTATTCTTTGTTGAGAGGTGGTAGTGCTTATAAGAATCATTTAGTGTGGTTTGGAGCTCAAATATTGCCAAAAAGATTACAAGTGGTTAACAATTATTTGACTGAAATTCTCAATTATGCTACAACTGTTTTCATGTGTGTATGTCTGTATAACAATATTGAATGCATGATGCATTGATGAGGAACATATTCAAAGCAAGACAAACTTTTTTTTTTTTTTAGGGAAGCAAGACAATGAGATACTCAGCGAATGAGAAATGACGCCATAAGGAATGTATATGGTTTTGAGAATGTTTCGTGATGGAGGCACGTATAGTTAGACATTGTTAGAGAGTGTTATAAGATTCATCATAATCTTCTCCCAACAATTCGAATTATTGGGACCGACAACCTATAACCGTAAGGTCATGACTTCGAATCCTCATGACGACCCCCAATTTAAAAACAATGGTTTAGTACAAGGAATGGTATGTCCAACCTGTACAAAGTGAAAGTCGAATGGGTTTGGCATCACAAGGAATGATACGTTCAACCTATGCAAACTGTATAAGAAAACCCCGAAAAAAGATAGGCTTTCGTTTGAGGGGGCGTGTGAGAGAGTGGTATGAGATCCAACATAATCTTCTCTCAACAACTCGAATTATTGGGACCAACTGGTTTATTACAGACATGGACTAAGTTCTGCTCTTAGTATATTTGGTTTTGGGTTACAATGTCATGTATATAAAATATTGAAATGATGGTGGATAAGGGCTATAATTTCATTCCCTCCTTAAGACTAACTCCAACCCTGAAAGGGGAATTTAGCTCCCCAAATGGCCAAATATGGCTTTTTAGCTCCCCAAACCCACTTTTCACTCCAACCCTATAAAAAGCTAAATTTAGCTTCCCATTTCCATTTTTCAATTTATTTCAATAAACCATACTTATTTGACCTCTAATTTTTATATTTCACTTTAATATTTTCATAACTCGTTATTAGTTTTGAATACAAATTTTTCGATGTAATTTTTTTTAAATTCCGAGATAATTTTTTTTTTAAAAAATTAGTCGTTAAAATATTACCGTTAAAACTTCGGGACCACTCCAAATATGACCGTTTTTTTGTATCCGTTACTTTACGACCGTTTTTTTGTCATTTTTTGCACCAAATGTCTTTATAAATGACAGTTCTTCATTTTCATCAACTCAACTAAAACTTCTTCCCATTTCTAAAACAAACACATTCATCATGAGTATCTCAGATAGCTCATCGTCTGGAGAAGAAGAAAACGAAGAGTACGAAAGGTTTCACCACCTACGTTTGAGTTTGATCGGTCGGAGGCTGGCTGAAGGTGCATCAAGTCGCCGTCAAACTACAAGCCGACGTCACATTGATGCCTTTGTGCTCTTTGCAAAACTCCCTTCCAAGCATTGCAGTGATAGCAAATAATCCTCATTCGGGATTCCATTGCAATAGCAGTACGAATTGTAGTAGGATCCCATTTTTGATGTTCTGCCGCCACTCTTTCCCACAACCTTGTATACTTCTGGTTGGTGCCAACCGCTCCATCTTCTGATATCGACACCCAAGCTCTGCACAAGATTTCATCTTCATTCGGACGCCAATTAGGTCCTCTCTTGCCTGTCATATTTCTATTTTGAGAGACGATAACAATTGAATTTTGAGAGAATGCGATTTATGCTCTGAGAATGAGTGAAGAGAAACCTATGAAGAGTGCTGTAATATATAAGAAAAAATATGGCCGTTAAAATATGACCGTTTTTTATGGCCGTTAAAATATGACCGTTTTTTATGGCCGTTAAAATATGACCGTTTTTTATGGCCGTTAAAATATGACCGTTTTTTCGTCACTACATCAATTAAATTCCCACCCAACAAAACCAAAAGTTAAAAGAAAAAAAAAAAAAAAACAGGTCGGCTGGCGGGGGGAGGGCGCAGGACGCGCGCCTGGGCCGCACGCGTGCGGCCCAGGCGCGCGTCCTGCGCCCTCCCCCCGCCAGCAGACGTGGTATGCTTTTTTGGCTGCCAATTTTAGCTTCCCACCCCAAATCCCAGCCAATTTTAACTCCCAAAAACCCAATACCCATATTTTGCTACCCATTTTTTTGTGGGTTGGAGGGGGAAAAAAAGCCAAATTTGGCTATTTAGCAATTTAGCTCCTTGGGTTGGAGAAAGCCTAAAAATCTATAAATCCACTGCTTTGATTTTGGAAACTATCATAATATATTATGTTAGCCCTCCTCTCATTAGTTTTAATCTTGACTTCACCATTGAAAATGCTCGACTTGAATTCTTTTTGTTGTCGAAATCGATTTTGCAGTGCTCAAAACTTTTTTGTGATCCCAGAAATGGAGACGAGAAGAATTCATATTCTTAGAAACAAATGGCTGACTCATGTGAACTTAATCTATAATAAGTTCCAAATGGAAGGCGGTCAAAGATAATATTTTTGTGAAAATGATTAATGCATTTAATTAAATCACGGTTTAGCATCCAATCAACGGATGTTGAACTGGTTATTCGCCCATAGAGCTTTAATTAGTTGAAATTCGAAACTAATTATCTAATACTTGTTTGGAGAACCCCCCAGAAACTAACCATTGCATGCACATATAATATATATGTGCAACGTGAGAATATTCCAAAACCAGGAGCTCCGCTTCCATTCGGTTGTTTTCGACATTCCTTTTATGAACAACCTTGGACAATTGTACGCGTCATGGTAGTCAAACTTATCAATCCGAAATTGTTAGTGTCGTGGTGTATGATATCCACGATTGAACCTCTCCCAACAACTCGAGTTATTGGGACCAACTGGTTCTTGACATGGTATCAGAGCCTTCTGTGACCGAGAGGTCTTGTGTTTGATTCCCGATGACCCCCATTTGTTAAGCACATGGTATTCTTGTCTTCAGACCTGTGCAAACTTCAAGCCCTTGTGAGTGGCTTTCGTTTGAGGGGGCGTGTTAGTGTTGTGGTGTATGATATCCACGATTGAGGGGGCATTCATCAATGTATCTCGATAAACTTTTGATCATTTAAGTTGGCAGGTAATTAACATACAAGGCACAAATGAGATCCGATTTGGAATCTCAACCAACGACCCTATCAAACTATTGAAACCGACCGGGGAATAATGGTCCTCGAGTTCCAAGTAAGGTTAACTGAAAGAATATGGTTACTGACGTTGTACAATCGTACGTGTAATTAATTTGCAGGCACAGCGTACGACAGCACAGCACCCGAAAACAACAAACAGACGAAAATTTAGATTCAGAGGCTCACAATTTAGCAGCGAGAGTGACAACCAGAGATTTTGCTACGTATGTATTAGGAGTTCACGTACGTACTAGAGATGCTTCAGTTCATCGTCGTACGGCTAGCTGTAGAGTAAGAGTACTGAATTGATCCTTTATTTGTCGGAGCAGTTATATATGAGAAGTAAGGACGTACAGCTGCTTGATTCTACGTACGTACGGAGATGTCGTCAAAGCATGCGTACGACGGTAGGAGAGTTAATTTCTCAGTTTAGGGTCAACGTGAAACCTGGCTGGTCGTTGCCAAGTTTTGTATACGTCGGTATACATGTACGTTCAGCAAACATTGAACCGAATGAGTTGGAAACAACTATGTTCTACTTTTATGGCTTATAAGTTTTAAATACTACGCTTCCATAATTCAACCTTAGACCAAGGATTCACTAATTAAAAGGTTGAGAGATGGCACTGATTGCATACAAGTCAAGAACAATAGTAACTAATAAGGGACAATGTTTTTAGAATACTAACCGACAAAGTTAGTGTTTGTGGTTGATGGTTCAACAATTAACAATTAGTTAATCGTTGACAAAATCATTCACGCAAACATAAAAGACATGTATAACACACTAATTTATGACTGAAATTATCACTAACCATAAACAAATTCGCATCCATATAATCTATCTCCAAAAAATTCTTACAGGGTATTCAAACTATTTCACAAAGAACATCAATTTTTTTTAATTTATGACTGAAATTATCAATAACCATAAAAAATTTCGCATCCATATCATCTATATCCAAAAAGTTCTTACAGAGTATTCAAACTATTTCACAAAGGAAATCAAAATTCTTTTTCATTAAATTCAATTTAGTAATCACTAATCAGGGTGGCAATTCATAGTGGATCACGTAAGGCTGACACGGAGGCTACAAAATGAATGAAAGGAAGGATAAATAAAATTATTGATCAAGGTTGGATGATGTTAGTTTACGATATAATATATTTTTCTTAAATTTTCTGTATGAACCAGTCAAATCGAAATGGTTCATCTAGTTTCATGTCAAAAAACGTTGGGTCTATCTCTAACCATCCAATTAAATAAACCGAATACGTTATTGTAACTGGTTTAGAGATTCTACTAGTCCCTGTCATTCATCTGATTAGATTCTTATATGGATATTATTGAAGAAGCCACTTTCATGGGAGAAATGTAAGTAGAGGACATGAATCATCAGCCTTGTCAAAGCTTGAAAGGTCGCGGCTGGGCAGGCTGTTCTTTGCTTTGGCACTCTACTTTTGCATTTCACGGTGTATGGTCGTGGATTGTGGAGGGCCACCGAAAGCAAGCGAGCGAGCGAGCAAGTTTATAGAAAGAGTAGTGTCGTATGGTATCATTGCCGAAAGGAAGGTAGCCAGCGAATCAATTGGGCAGGTTCGTTGCTTAGTGGACCACTCACCCAACTCATTACACTACTTTGTTCTTATGTAGAAGAAAGATACGTACTTCCACCACAAATATTTTTCTTAGTTTTTCATTCCCTAAAACCATACCTACACTGTATGGGCCCTTCCAAGTTGATGAGCACCGACTTCCAACTTCAAATTGTGGAGTATTATGTGAAACCATAACGACATCCAAACACCAAACCCAATTGTGACCCATGCTATGCTAGTTCCTTCCAAGTGGGACAACTCAATGACAAAGGAAACGTGCTAAGAGATTTCAAGATTCAAAAAAGTAGTAGCTCAAAATCGTAAGTGGAAAGAAGATTGACAGAAATGGATCCAAATCCAACCACACAGTCTGTGAGAAGGCATATTACAAGCCCAAGTAGCAAAAGGAGATCCAAGAAGGCCCAACACCAACCACTTGAAATAGGGGGTGGAAAGCCCATATCGGTAATGACGACGACAACAACAACAACAAAAAACAAAAGAACTCCACATCGGCTTTCTTTATTCTTTTTAGTGCCAACCAAACCGCTAGGCTAACAGTTCAAACTGTAACAAAAAGATACTGGCATACTGCCTTGGTCATCCGTTTGGTGTAACTCATAAAACCAGCCTATGCGGACGGGTATCCCAAACCATGGTCATGGGATTACATGATCCTCAACATTCCATACCCATATCACAGTTAAAACTTTTTGAGCTAATGCGTCTTTCTAAGTATATGTGCACCTGCAGCTTGGAGACGATCATAAAGGGTGAAAACTTCATCAGCTCATAACTTTTTCACCATCCTTCTTGACTGTACTTTCTAGGCATTCTTTAGCTCTGAACACCTTGGATTGCAGGTAGAAGCTGCCATTCTTGGCATTGTTCTCAAACAATGAATCGTATTTCTGCACGCAATAATTACCAACCTCTAATTAGATTCAAACGATCATGGTTTACATGATTCCACGAAAAATAATGGGGACCTCAGTTTCATACCTTTATAATCTCTTCCCACGATGCATTTTCGGAAACTCCTAGAATCTGCCTGGCCTCTGACTCGCTCATCGCCTTACCCACTTTCTTCATGTTCTCCACTGCTTCACGTGCAACACCGTTCTTCGAAGCATCTGCCATTGATCACAAGGTGAGTAGCCCCATAAAGATAAGGGAACAGCAAACTAAAAGAACAAACGCATACTTTGAAGCGCTTGACGATAAGCCTGAGCAAATGCCCTCACCAACACCCCAGAGCCTACCACAATCAAATTTGCAATGATTCTGCCAGCCTGAATTCAAAAGATAAATAATAATACATCAGAGACATATCATATGTTTGTAAATACGTTCGTACCTCAAGGCTACGAAAGGCAGAAAAAAAGAAACACATAATCATCCAGGACAAATCAGAAGTACAAAACTCTATTTACAAATGTGTGATAACAGGAACTTCAAACAGTGCTACGGAAACAAGAAAGGGTCTAGATACCAAGTCTGAAATGCATGAGCATGAAGACAACAAATACATTATTCCCCTCCCGCTAATATTAAGTAAGTTGGCATTCAAGTAAACAGAATTAAGCTCACTTATATGACAAAATTACTACATTCACTCTACTATTTCTCCGATACTATAACACAAGCCAAGTTTTCTACAGTACCAATTAAGTCCAATGGCCCCCATGCATGGGCGAAAAGTCCACATTTTGGATTTTGGTACATCCCACAATTTCAAATTAGGCTCATGAAGTGTTTTGAGAGGACGACAACATGAGGATAACGTCTAACAAGTAGTTCTTATGATATGTTACTGCATGGGTGAATTTAGTTATTAACAAAGTCAAGAGAGGTATGTACATAGTGCCTCAGAAATTTATGCAGGTACTCAATCATCACTATAATTATGCGCTAAAAAGTCAAGCCATAGCCCACAGGCGCCTCATATCAAACTAGAAATCGGACCCTGCAACTTGCCCCTTCAACTTGAGAGAACTCAAAATAGAGGTGCTGACAAATATCTTCTGTCTATCTATCTATAAAGGATCTCCTAATTAGAACTCGGAGCAACTCCATTCATCATGTCATTCGTCGAACAAACAAGCTTAATCAAACAAACAAATCATACCCATCATCTAGTTCGAATGCAAAATCTCTAAATTCTATACGAAATCAAAGCGCCCGTACCATCGTTTATGAGGAAGCAACACGATCCTGATAAGATACCAGCTAGTATCAAATATTTCAGAGACCTGCAACAGCATAACAATACATTATGTAAGCGAAATGTAATCGCCTTCTCTCTGTCTTTCTTTTATTCTCCACCAATTCTAGCTAATCATCTCAGGAATGCTAAAATTTCAATAGAGGCTTGTAATTTCTGAGCTACTACATTAAGATTAGCGGGACAGGAGGAAAAAATGAAATGGGAAACCAGAAAAGTGATATCTACCTGAATTAGCAGCAAGAACAAAGAGTTGGCAGTTTTGACAGAGGCTTCTCTCCCTAGATATTTCTTCGCTCGACGATGATAAAATGAACGTTGATAGGGCTGGTCGCCTTCTCCTTAGGGTTTATGTTCTCTCGCCACGTAACAATTAATCGCTGTCGCCGCAGGTGTGCCGCAGCTGGAAAGGCTTAGAGTCGTCAAGAGATCTCCTCTGATTGGCAGACCATGGGAATACGGAAGAGAAAGGGTGATGCGGCAGATGGATGGCGGAGCAGACGGGTCGCCGGAGACTGGAGGAGGTTAAAAGCGATAGGGGCGGCGGCTCTGTGTTGCTTTTGGCGATGAGGAGAATCAATGAATCAAATTTAGGGATTAGTTTCCCTCCCTTGCCTTCGACTTTCCTTTCCTGCCCGGAACATTTATAACCGGTCGAACTGCAGTAACTTCCTTTCCACGGATGAACCGGTTGGTCCGACCCATCGCAACAAACTTATTTCGTCCAACTCCAAAAACCAGGAAAGTGGGTGGCCTGGGTCCAAACTAATGTTAAAATGGGCCTGGCCTTCCAAGCCCAACTGATTACGAAAGATTTGCCCATTTGGTCAAAAGTCAAACCCCGTTTGGCAACTTTGCCGCCGTGTGTTATGTTCTTTCAAATTTCACTGGGCATTTTCACCATTTAAAGAGAAAAGCTCTTAACAACAAAAAAAGCTTTGGCAACTAAAAAAAAAAGCTTTGGTGGCACCACATCAAAATTAAATTTAGTGATAATAATCTTGACTTAATTCATGCGTATCTTATCTTATCCGTGTTATGTGTATTTTCACTGATTAATCAACAACAATATAATTATCGTGTGATTATATTGTTGATTCTTTGTGATTCTCTCTAGCCTATAAATTACAAAGTATATATAATTTATCATATATAATTTCTTAACACTAGGTTTCCAAATTCATTGTATGGAAAGTGTTCTTTTCTGGACACACATCAAGAAAGCTAAACTGTCACATTTGACAATAAGCATATAATGCATATATGCAGTTTTCCTTACTGTCTCAGAACTATAACCATTGCCAAAATGTAGCCATCAAATCCAATAAATTCCTTGTCCTATATATAATTAGAAAAAACAAAGCCATTCCCTCTCATATATATACAATCACATAACACATGGACTATAATGTCACAAGATAACTAGCTGAGGTGCTTTCAACAGTGGAACTGGTGATGCATCACTAGAGAAAAGAATGTAAGTAGCATCCAGAAAACAATGGAGGGACAACAACACAGAATATGGTGGATTTTGCTCTGCTAAACCATTGCATTATAATCTCCCCAACCTCATCACCCATTCTTTGTAAACTCAAAAACCCTTTGTTCCTTCTGGTAATCCAAAACTCTCTCAGATATGGCTCACAATCAAACTCATTGTTCATCATCTGAAGCAAACACCCCTTCTTTCTCCCCTGCCATTCTCATGCTACTAGCATCATTACCACTTCTCTACCTTCTGTTCACCAAGCACTTCAAGAAACCCACTTCTTCTCCTTCCTTCCCACTTCCTCCAGGCCCATACCAGTGGCCAATCATAGGCAACATTTTCCAGCTGGGAACCAAGCCACACATCACCTTAACCAAGTTTTCCCAAACCTATGGCCCTCTCTTCTCGCTCAAACTTGGCACTCAGCTACTCGTAGTAGCCTCGTCGAAGGCTGCAGCAACTGAAATACTCAGAACCCACGATCGATCCTTATCAGGCCGGTATGTCCCTGACATGGCTCCTCACAAGAGCCTCGAGCTCAACGAGTTCTCGATAGGATGGGTTGTCGAGTGCAATGACAAGTGGAGACAGTTGAGGTCACTATGCAAAAGAGAGCTTTTTTCGGCCAAGGCTTTGGAGAACAAGGTGTTGATGCGAGAGGGGAAGGCGAGGGAGATGGTTGAGTTCATAAGGAGGAGAAGGGAAGGAAGTGATAGTTAGAGAAGTTGTGACTGCTACTGTTTTCAACATGTTGAGCTGTGTTCTGGTGTCTAGGGACTTGATTTCTATGGAGGGTGGGAGTTGTGAAGGTGGCATGACGAGGATGAGTTCGGTTCTCAACCAGATTGCTGAACTAGCCACGACTCCAAATGTGTCCGACTTTTATCCAGTTTTGAGCTGGTTCGACCTCCAAGGTTTAAGGAAGAAGGTGATGGAGTTACACAGGAGTTGTTTCAGGATTTTGACTGAGGATATCATTGAGGAAAGGAGGAGAATGGGGAGAGAAGATAGCTGTAAAGATTTTCTCGACGTTTTGTTGAAGAATGGTTCAAGTGATGATCAAATCAATGTCCTGCTTCTGGTTTGATTCTCTTTGTCCCTCCTTTTACCATTTAGGGTGGTAAACTAAATAATAACCCAACCGTCTAACAACTCATCAGACCAAAACCCGTTTTGGTCACCATTTAATACCTGGATGTTTTGTTCATCTTTATACTTCTTCTCATCGTGAACTTTGCAGGAGCTACTGTCAGCTGGAACAGACACCAGCAGCTCAACAATTGAGTGGATGATGGCAGAGCTGGTAAGGAATCCCAAGTGCATGAGAAAACTTGAAGAGGAAGTGTCACCTGCAATGGACCAACAAGAAATGTTTATCAAAGAATCATGCATAACACAGCTACCATATCTAGAAGCTTGTTTCAAAGAAACCCTAAGGCTGCATCCTCCAGGGCCATTCCTGCTCCCACATCGAGCCATTGAATCTTGTAAAGTGATGAACCATAGTATCCCAAAGAACTCTCAGGTTCTGGTGAACTTCTGGGCCATCGGACGAGACCCAAAGAACTGGGAAGAGCCGTTGATGTTCAATCCAGAGAGGTTCTTAAACTACACATGTCTGGACTTTAAAGGGAATGACTTTGAGTTCATACCATTTGGTTCAGGGAGAAGAATTTGCCCTGGACTAACCATGGCTACAAGACATGTGTCCTTAATTGTTGCTTCTTTGATCCATTTCTTTGATTGGTCACTTCCACATGGAAGGAAGAACCCAACTGACATAGATATGAGTGAGAAATATGGTTTAACCTTGAGAAAAGAAGAGCCTCTTATTCTCATTCCTAGAAGCAAAAACTGAAAATTGTGTAATAACTCCTGTGTTTTGGCGCAGCAAGAGAAGAGTGAAAGAGAAAAGAAGACAAATATGCTGAACTTTTATTATATATTTCACAGAATTTGAATGAACTCGTGTGACCTTAGCTGCACGTATCTATCTGTTTCTTCAGTACATAACAAAGAATGAAACAATTCATATGAACTTCCTATTCTTATAGACGACTGACAAAAGGACTCTGAATCCAGTATGTGACAAACTATCTGTATTCATACAAACAAATGTGGTTCTTGATGCACTATCTCAGACTGACAAAAGCTATATATTTGCAAACGAAAAGAATGAAAGAATAATAATAGCAATCACTGACTTGCTTTTTGGTTACCTACAAAGAATTTCTGTGTTACTTTTTCTGTATGGTATAAAGGAAAAGATCCAAACTAAGGTTGATGAGAAAATGAAGACGAGCTTCCCGCAATGTTGTCCACAGGTGACCATGCTGAGACTGTGTAGAGCGGCTCTTCCGACCAAGTAAGAGTGAGTGCTGCTAAACTGCCGCCATCCTGCCCTTGCTGCTGCTTCAGAACTCCATAGCTCCCAGAAGGATACATCCTCAACAACATCTGCCCCTGTAGAAACTCCCTTTCAGTGAGACCATTACACCGAAACCCGCCCTGCTCCAGTAAGCTCCTCCATTTCCCAAACTTCTCATGCCTCTCAAGCCTGTCAATCCCTTCACAAGCAACTATATTCCTGATCTCCTTTGCAAACATTTCCTCTACCTTCATCCTCACTGGACTTTCCAATGGTAGGCCAGAATCAATGGAGTCAAATACTGCAGAGTAGTACTTCAATGAATTACACACTCTGGATTCCAAGCTGAGGCCATTATGTTCTGCTTCCTGCTCTGCCACCACCACCACTATTGGGTTCGCGCTCTTGAGCAATCCCAGGAAATCCCTCATTGCTACTGCATTGGTGTCGTACAGGGTCTTGTGCAACTGGAAGAGACAATTCACTGCAACAGTTTCTCCTTCTTTTACATGAAGCATCCATAGCCTCACATCTTCCAACCTATCAACAACTGGATGGAACTCGAATGGCAAGTTCAGCGCATTGGCAAATCCAGCTAGCCTGTCGCCAGTCTCGTTTAGCTCCAGCTTCGATTCTCCTACACCCGTGATTCTAACGTGGCTTGGTGGGTTACCTCTGGATGCTAAGCTATGAAAGAAGCTAGGCCACTGAAGACCTTGCTTGATGTCGAAGTCAATGATATGAACCCTGTCTTTCCCTTCGAATGCCCTCAACAAAACCTCATTGCCAGTGAAGTGAATGAATTTTGGAATTGGGCTCACCTGATTCAGAAGCCTTAATGCGGTGCCTGAATCATCTTCAACCCGACCAAGGTCGCGCGGGGTATTGAGATGGAATATGTGTGGCCAAATCCTTGTAGCCCTGAGGGACAAAGCTTCAGTGTAGTAAGCACTCAGCCTGCTGATCGAACTTCCCCTCAGAGAAGCAAGCTCCCCCATCTTGGATATGAAATGGTTGACTCCTGCAACGTTCTTTGCCCCGATTGCTTCAACACATGATGTGAGCAAGCTGACTAACTCGAAACCCTGATACTCTACTTGCTGATCGTCCTCGGCTGCAGCATCGGCAGTTGCTCCTGGCTGTGGATGGTGAGGATTGCTTAAGCCATTGCCCACTTCATGCTCCTCAACATTCTCACTTAGTGACCTAAGCCCCAAGCTTTGACTTTCTGATGAAGGACTAGAACCTGAAGAAGCTTCTTTCACTGGGATTTGGCTGCTCTCTCCGTCTTTCTCCCCTATGCGAGTAATCTCAGTTATAACTGAGTCAAACCATGGGTTGTTGTTGGACAACGGTTGCAGAGGTGGTGTAATCACTTCACTAGGGACATAGCACACCCTTTCATCTTCCCCTGAACATGTCAAGGAGAAAGGAAGTTGTGAATCTCTAGGGACTTGAAGAAAACTTGACTGAAACCATAAATTTGCAACACCAAACTGGCCTAATCTAAAACCATCACCACCTCCTTCATAAACATCAGTGCACTCACCTTTCTTCCTCTTGGCCCTGATGTTGCAAGACTCGTCGTCATCTGCTGCAAACCTCTTCTTCTTCCTCGGGTTGTTGTTACCTCTTCTGTCCCAAAACTCGTCCTTGAAGTCTGATTGATGAGCTGCTGCTGTTGCCAATGGAGGGAGCCGGATTGTCTGCCTGAGAGAGCAACCGCTGGTCTTGGATTCGAGTGGCTTGTTGTCAACTGAAAGGCCGACGACTCCAACAGGCCTAATGGGTTGTGATCTTGTGGACTCTTTCCGAGAGAATGAACATGGTAAGTCCAATCTCTGTGTGCTCATTGATGGTAACTGGAAATGACAAGCTGGAAACTGTGCTGCTGCTGACTCACTTCTCAATCTATTCCTAGGTGACAACAATGTGGAACTAGAACAACCAGCCAACATCCTCTATATCCTTCCAGTTTTGCTCTTCTTTTTTTGGTTTTCTCCCCTCACTCTCCCTATTTTGCTCACCCTCTCCCTTTCTTCTCACACCCTCTCTTCCAACCTCTGCTAAAAAGTTTCTTAACTATGAACCTCAAACCGTCCCTAAATGCACATGTAATGTAAGCTTCTGAATGTTTGAAATCCACAGAGAGAGTATTTTCAGAAAAGGAAACTCAAGTAATGTGAGTGTATGGATCTATCAATAAACCTAAAGGAATAACAGGAATCCGATGAGAAAAACCAAAGGAAGCCTATGATAAAGAATCAACTTAATGCCTATAGTATGATGTATGTATTTGACAAATAGAATGAAAGAATTTGGATTATCAACAGGAAGAATGAATGAATGAATGAATGACCAATCAATGTCCCACCCCAACCCAGATATAACGAAAGAATTTGTTTTTCCTAGACTAGACAATTCATCAAACAGTTAGAAGACAAATACAAGAAATCATCGGATTCCAAAACCGTCAACAAATCAAACTCATCAGAGTCAAGAAATGAACAAGAACACACATACTTGAAAGCTCTGGAACGCTCAAATCAACAGAAATCCCTCGACCCAGATGAACATATGACGCATTCAGCAAACCCATTACACGGAAAACACGACTCAATGCAATACCCAGAAACCCCATGCATGACCCCAGAAACAAACAGAACAATCAAGAAAGAACCCTCATCTCCAAAAACTCTCTTGTCTTAATCCAAAACACTATTTCCCCAAACGAACCTAAAACATCCAAAGTTTCCGTCTTTATGCAACAACTCTGCAGACCTAGTAAAGCTACGTCTCTCCCTTCCCCGTACTGTCCTCTCTCTCTCTCTCTTCTCTCCTCTCACTATCCCTCACTCTCTCTCTACTGGCTAATACGTTTCTCCTACTACTCCCCTACTGAAGAGCTCCAATGGCTGTCTCCATCATACCTGCTTTTCTACATCCGGTGGACCTCCCTCCCTCCCCGCCATTATTAATTGTTATTTTATTATCAAACCGAAAACATAAATTACTGTGTGTTAGGGAAAATGTTTGATGGTTCTGGAGCCGTTGGATTGAAGATCGGACGGTGTGGACGCTCAGTTTCAAGTGACCGTTGGAAGATGTCCGTCAAATATGACCGTTGAAAGTTGGTATCTAGAACGGAGCAGTGAGAGTGAGAGGACGTGTGGGCTCCGTAAAATATTATATTTCTTTTTCAGATTTATCTTTTTGGTTGGTGGATGTGCAGCCTCAGTGGCATGACACGTGGAGCGCACGTGGCCGCTGACACCCTCCTAGGACGGACGGATTTTTATGCCCGTTTCAGGGGACCGTTGGGGTAAAAAGTTAATCAACTTCACCCCACTTAACCTCCTTTGATTAGAGTGCTTGATTACCATTTGTCAAGCCTGGATAAGTTAAGTTAAGTACGTAGGGGAAAGGGTTAGACACGTGGAGGAAGACGAAGCCGCCATTAAAGATGGTGATTATTACGTGGCAAAGTATGCGTGGGCGGGGTGTCTCACTTGGATAGTTTAGTGGGGCGTGGGCCGCGTGGCCCAGAGTAATAGATTACGTGGGCCTTCATTTCTTAGTTCATTTCTGTATCTGGATTTGCCACGTGACCTTGTATGGCCTTTTTATGACACGGTATTATAATTCCTTGAACGCATCTTTTTCCGGAAACTGATGACGTCTCTAGCTTTTGATGAAAATGGACTTTTCCCCGCAAATTAAGCAGCGAATTAATTAAAACAATCCCATAATCTGAGTGAATAGTAGAACAGAGGCCGTCTCCCGACTGTTCAATGTGGATGAGATAAATTATTGGAAATGTCAGTTTGTTAGATCGTTGGAATTCTAAGATTCGTTAAGGTTATCGATTCAGATATTTACGGTCATTATCGAGAAAAAGATTTAAGAAAGGCTAAAGAATAATAGAAATATCGAATATATATTAACATAATTTCAAGATGGTTAAAAGAAGGTAAATAGTACTAATATTTGTCCAATTTGTCAAAAGCGCATTTCTCTGTATATCACCGATACTATAGTACACTATAACCAGCAACAAACACGAGCAACACTATCTCAACTATCAATCAACCCACAAGTCATCTCCAAAAGTCTCCGCAAACTTAACTTTCGACAAACAACATCAACATAGTTAAATAAAGAAGAAACAACCATTAAAATAGACATTAAACGGGGGGGAAAAATCGACAATTCCTACCGGAAAAATACGACACAAACGGCAATGTTTCCTTTTGTTTTTAAAACTATTTAGCAACAAATAGAAGTTTTAGGTTGGTTCATAATTCACCATAAATGGTAAGTAAAACTTGTTGCCGCCTCCCTCCACTCCATGCAAGAGTCAGGCTATTTGCTTAACGTGTCTCCCCTACGAGAAACACAATTATGTGGACAATGATCAACCTTTCCTCTCTAATAATTAAACTGAAAAGAAGGGAATGACCCAGCTGTAATTCTACTCACAGCTACCACCACCAACAGCCAACGGTAAAAATGTAAGACGAAGGCAGGAGTGGTAATTGAGAGTAATGACCGTTGAAGCAAAGGCGTAAATATTTTCCCCAACACCCCATCCCTCTGAATTCCTGAAAATTTACCGACTGCCCCACCACTCCTTTGCCTCCAACCATAAAGACATATAAACGTTTGTTCTGATTGTTCTTCATTCAGGTTGTCGTCCAGTACTCATTGGATTGCATGTTTTGTATGCGATGACAATGGGGTAGGATACTATGCTAACCCTCTCTGTTTTTTGACAAGCTTCTCTTGATTGGTCACTTATCCATTTAATCATTTGGTAAGTTGTATTAATGAAAGTTGCTTTTTATTTTATTTATTGTAATCTTGTAAATTGGGAAAGCCTTAATTGTGATAATAATTATGAATGGGGAAGGAGAAAAACGTTGGAGGAGGAAAGTGCCTTTTAAACTCCTATATTCCCCATATTCCCTCCCAAAAAAATAGCACACATTCCTCTCCTCTGCAGAACTTGACGGTGACCCTCTCCTCTGCAGAAATCGATGGCGGCCGGAAACCATCGAGTTGCTCGCCGACGGTGGGATCGCCTTCGCCTGCCTGGTGGGTTGCTCTTCGCCGAAGAACGAGACACAGGGGAAGAAGAATAACATGAGGGCGGCGGCGGAGATGAAGAAGAACATGAAGAAGAACACCTAGGGGGTTTCTCGTCGGCGGAGAACTGTCACGACCCGAAATGTCGTGACCGGAGATAAAGAAGAACATGAAGGGCGGCGGCGGAGATGAAGAAGAACGTGAAGAAGAACACCGGGGGGTTTCTCGTCGACGGAGAACCCGTCGGAGATGAAGAAGAACATGAAGGGCAGCGACGGGTCATTTCTTACAACTTCCTGTCGTGAAGTGCAACCCTACAACGTCTGGGAGACGGCGACACTCCATGAGCATGTACCACTGATCTAGTACAACTACCACTGATCTGGTACAAGTACCAGTGCAACTATTCAAGCTATACTTTCCACACCAAAATGTGACCATCCACTTGTAGTGTTAGATATATTGCACCTCTACAAAATTGAAACTCATCCTAAATGTTCTCATTTCAGTGTTAGATAAACTTTGGAGTGGGCCACCGTCAATATATTCCCATTTAAATGTTCTCATTTGATTGCAATATAGACTTTAGATATATTGCACCTGTACAAAATGGAGGGCGCCGATTACTCATTTCTTATTGCTTCTTGTCGTGAAGTGCAACCCTACAACATCTAGTAGACAACGACATTGTCGTGAACACTAGAGTGGTACATGTACCACTAGAGTGGTATATGTACTGTCATACTTTCCACACAAAAAAATGTGACCACCCACTTGCAGCGTTAGATATATCGTACTTGTACCATTAGCAAAATTGAAATTCATCCTAAATGTTCATGTTGCAGTGTTAGATATACTTTTGAGTAGTACCATTGAAATGGTACATGTATCACTAAACTGAAAGATGTGCCAGTGAACTGATACACATACCATTGTACTGATAGATGTATCACTGAACTGTCACATGTACCACTAAACTGATACATGTACAACCAATTTGATACGTAAGCAAACCAACAATTTTCCATTAGTATCACCACTAGCCGTGAAGTAAAATGTGTTATAAAAAAAGGAAAATGCCAACAACAATAAAATATCCATCCAATGTAACAAATAAAACATGAAGTCACTAAGAAATTGTTTGCGGGAAGTCTAAACAATGGTAAATCAGGTGTCGAAGGATGACCGGGTGACTTAGGTAATTTGACGGAAAAAACAGAATTTGAATTATAAAGTTGGGGTTGCACTTCTTGCCGCTAACATCATTAGTATGTTTCCTCTTCCCTCTATATTGTCTGTTATCTCGGCTCTCACAGCGTTGCTTCTTGTTGGTGCTCGCACCCGATGAATGATCTTGACCTACCCCAACTTCTACATGGCGAGGAACATAGCTTCCATGACTCTTTCCTTTAGGCACTCCAAGTTATGGTCTCTTCGTCTTGACCATTCCTACAGACAATAATCAACACTATCAATTCAGTGATAGAAATATGAGTTTGATAAGTAAGACAACTATCACTATAGTGGTAGAATTCAGCGGGAGAATTACCAATACATCTTTGCAACTATCACTGCAGTGATATAAATCAGTAGTACATACCAGTACAGTGGTACTAATACCAGTACACTGGTACTAATACAACTCCAGTGATAGACATACCACTCCAGTGATAGACATACCAGTACACTGGTACTAATACCACATGAAAAAATCACACGAAAACCCAGATTTGAGTTTGGGAGAAAGAGACAGTAGGGAAGAGAGAGCTACCTCAGTTTCTTCGTCGTCATCTTCGCCGGGAAGGGGAGGAGGGTCGTCGTCTTCTCCGTCGATCCCTTTGCAGTGCCGAGCTTTGTGGAAGGAGATGGAGAGTCGCGGCGGCAAGCCTGGTGTTGCTCGGAGAACAGCGACAACCATCATCCGAAACTTAGCCCACGACGGAGGTGGGGGAGAGTCGGAGGGAGAGGATTTTGTTGGTGCGTCGACGATTGGAAACCATTGATCGTGGCGGGGAAGAGGTGACGGCGGCGAGCAGGGGCAGAGCGAAATCGAGGGAGAGAGAAGGAGAAAGGGAGAAAAAAATGGGATTGATTTTTGAATTAGGGGTGTGAACCGTTTTTTCCTAGATTCTTTCCATTTTCCAATATAGTGAGAGAAACTAATTGTGTAATTAATACCTAACAAACAACTGATTAATCCTTACCATTGGATTAGATGGACGGTATCTAAGAGGGGTGTCAAAAATCAGACCCCCTTAAGAGGGTAGTCACGCTAACCACTCTCGATGACAATCACGATTCATCTTTAGAACATGTTCCACCGACCGTTGAATGCACACAATGACAATGACGATCCAACGATCATCGACCCCACCCGAGCATCCTAACCAGTGGCAGGCTGACTGAGGCTAGCTCATGCTTCCACAAAGAAGAGCTATGCCCACCATATGCCCTCCAAATCCACATTCAATATCTGGGAAAATATTATTATGTCTGTACATGATCAACCAACACCACCACACCACATGATTCTAGGCTAGCTCGTTGCCATGCACATTGTCGGATGAATCACTCACCTCCATCACACTGAACTGAGTGTTTCTGCTATGTGCAAGCAAACCCAACAGCATAATACAATCCCCACGTTTCCCCTCCCCCGCCAATTTCATGTATGAACTTCAAATGTTTCAATAATAACTAATAAGTTAAACCGAAAAAGGAAAGACTCCCCTCTACAAGTTTGACATTATACATATTCTAGATCAACTCCAGAAATAAGGCTTCTTGTTTGCTGGTCAGGCCAAGCTCGCTCAAGGTTAAGGCCGTCTCTCCATCACTGAAGGCTCGCCTAGGGTACGGCCTCACCTGTCCAAGAAAAAACATAACACATTTGATTCCAATCAGAAAACTGATGATGGTCTAGATCAACTCCAGGATAAATATTAAGCACAAAGATGGAAGTGTTACCAATCTGTAAGTGCCGGGCTTCACCACTCTAGTGACATCAATGAAGTCAAAAAGGGACTGTCACAGTAAAACAAACATTGCTAAGGGAACCCCCATAGGTGGATGTAAAATACGTTGAAGGTTGGTGTTGTTCTTTTCACAGAAGATCTTACCTGCAAGCGGTCTGACTTGAGAAACCGACGTCCATGGCGGGCACCATCAGGGGTACGCACCAAGAGCGTAACAGCATTTTCTTCATCTGGAGTTGGCTCCTGCGGTAGTGAAGCTTCCTTGGCAGCCAATTGTCTCTCTATTTCCTGCCAGGCACAACAAATTTCAATTTATACTCAGAACCCCCACGAAAAATGGAGATACTAACTTACCGGGGGGAAAATGGAGATACTATCACGTGTGATATGCAACAAACGTTACCTGTGCTTCCTCCAACTTCCTACGATTTTCTTCCTCTTTCAGTTTCTCTTGTTCAAGCGCAGCTGCCCTCGCTGCTTCCTCTTCCAAACGACGTGATTCAGCTTTCTCTCGATCAGCAGCCAATGATGCAAGATACTCATCATCCTGCACCCGCACCACAAGAAGTCAAACATACAAAAGCAAAGTTGTATTTGTTTTTGGAAGAGAACTCACTTTATACTGTTGTAGTAAAACGGAGAAAGACCAAGTTTGGTTGAGTTTTGAAAAAAGATCGTATGAGGATATGAAAACAGAAAGAGTTAATTTCGAAAAATATCTGTGGAAATGAAGTTTTATAAGTGAGGTGGCTTTTAGATTAGATGAAATTTGGAGTGCATAGTTGTTTTATAAAGTTAGATTGAAGAAGTGTCTGTTTTAGGGACTCTTATGCAGTTATATTTTAGCCAACACAAACACACCCTACGGTGGTGCAAATTTGAGTCTTCAGTTATGATTATAGCGACCTGTTGCTCACGGATCGAACGTTGAGCTTGTAGAGAAGGTGATGGAGGACGTGGTGCTGGCCTATGGATAGGGCCGCCTTCTCTTTGCATGAACTGATGAGGTGCATAAGGGTATTGATATCCGGATGCTTCAGGAATTCCACCGAACATTGCTGCCTCAAGCATCACTGCTTCATCATGTTCCTCAGAAGAAATGCCGCCCCACTTCAAAGACAAAGTTAAATATATAAGCTTAGTATCCAATATCAACAGAAGGCTGAAGTAATGCTCAAAATATTTAAGCACTTCAAGTTACCTCAGCAGGAAAAGCATTTCCATTAATCCCTGTTTCACTGCTTGCATTGTTACTCTCTATGGCACTTAACGGTTGGTCAGCCTCAGTAACCCCATCTTTGGCAGACTCCAGAGAGCTAGAAGATGTATGTCTTGACCTATACCGGATGAGAGGTTGCTCCTCCACATCTTCTTCGACTTCATCTTGGAAAGATGATCCGCCTGTCTCTAACCTGCACCATGTCCAGAAAAAAACCCTATCAAATTGCTTCCCTGCAAGCAGTGAGATCCAATTTGGGGTTTCCTTCTCCAGCAATTTGTTATAGGAGAATTCAATGCCAAACTGACTCAGTAAGTCTGAAAACCGGAAACCGCTGTGTATGTTAGCCAAGTAACATGAGAGACACACCTCCCATTTGAAGCCCCTATTGCAGTCTCAGGCTCAGAGGCTCCTACTTCTGACACTCCAACCTTGCCCTTCCCCTCACGCAATGCATTTTCCTGCTCGGCAGCCTGAAAAAATCTCAGGTTAGACATGGACAAAGCATGTTTATTAAAAACAAAATCCGATGTGAAAGAACAACAAAAACCTTCATGGACAATGAAACTGCATGATCTAATTCATCACCGCCAGAATGATATTGGCTTTGCCAAGGTCCAGGATCACCTAATCCCTGTTCAACAAGTGTGATAAACACATCAACCAATTAATCCATAAGAATATTTACGACAAGGAGCCAAAAGAAAGAAAGGAAACAAAATGCACTCTACTGAATTTCTTACCCCAGCCTCACGTTTTGAAGCCTCAATGGCAGCCCTAACCATCTCTTCTTCTATGTCATTGCTATATTCCAGTGAATTATTAAGTACTGGTGCTCCAGGCCTTGGTCCCTCATGACTGACACCTAGAACATCTACATATTGCCTGTCTCGGTTAACGGCAGCATTTGCATTGGGTCCAGGAAGAATAACATCATCATCTTCAACATCAACAATTACAGTCCCATGGACACCAGTTTCATCTGCCAAATCAGTTCCAGTAACATCCTCGATAACAGGGCCATGACCTGACCGACCAGAAGTATCAGGGTTGTCCTTGACCTCTATCGGTATCTCTCTCACTTGTCTTGGTTGTGTAACAAATGGGGCACGATTCCCAACATCCGAAACACCACCAAACAAGCTTCTCGGAAATTGTGGATCGAGGAGTGAGAATGGGTTTGTAAGACCTGGATCAGAGAGAAGAGACAAGGGATGTCTCCTGGCCGGTGCAGTTTCAATTGGATCATCATCTATATCCATCATGTCATCTTCGCGAGCAGGGACAGATGGCGCATTGAAGCTGCACATTCGAAAAAGCAACTTGAAATATCAATAACAGCGCACAATTGAAGAACAGGCACTACCTAAATGCGAACTAACGATGAACATGGAGCAAAAGGTCCAAAATCAGTGAAAACAAAAAGACTGAACACAGCTACAAATCACTACCTGCTTCTGTCTCCTTCACTGAAATGGGCATTGACAGCTGCATTGAGATCACCTGCATGCTCCTAATTATGCCAAAAAAGTGGACAGTTATTTAGGAAAAACACAATCTGGCTCCATAAGCTTACAAGTTCTTAGAACAACAAAGGGGGGAAAATGAGAGAAAATTCTTCAAAACTAGCTATAAACTAGAAAGAAATCAAGCATCTGAAGCTCTGGAGTACAAACTAAATATCTAACTTCTAAGAACAACCCAGATCCATGGTCTGTAAACATGATCCAAGCAACTAAGCCAAAGCGCCAAATTTCGGATTTTAACTAATCAATTTAGAGCGCTATGGGAACAAGACCAGCCAGTTAAATGGAATACGGGCACATGACCAAAAAAAATCAGTAAGGACAGGGTAGTTACTCGTGATTTTCTCCAAGTGCTCTCAAACAGCAGCCACGTCCATGGAATCATCAGTACAATATAACGAATCATCGAAAAAGTTCACACATTCGTACTCAAGCGACCACAAAATTGACCAAGACAATGATATGAAATCCTAGATTCCATGCTTCCCTGACAATCACTTAAACTGACTTGAGCGGAAAGAAACGAACGTAGGAAGCCAATAACAATTCCACCGATCCTAACAACAATTGACAAAAATGCATAGTCTACTTTCACTAATCCCACACGCAATCCAGCGCCTTTCAATCAATCACCAATGCTAAGAGAAGCAGAAACCCTAATCAACAGTCAGAGAAAACGAAACCAACTCCCAAAGCTGCAAACTCAGTTGGTACCGCCGATGGCAGAAGCCGAAATAATCTCCATTAATTCCCAAACTGCCCGCTGATAATAGAAAAATATCTGGAAGGGGTGCTAAAGTTAAGTTGGAGACGAAGAGAAGAGCAACCGACCTCGAGTTTCTGGACGGCGACGGATTCGGTGGCGCCGGTGATGCTGATGAATGTATCGATTGCTTCCTGGTTGGGTCTCGCCATTGCTTGAGAATCGAGAGAATTTTAGAAAGTGATGAGTCGTGTTGGCCCGGAGGTGAAAGCTTTCGTCTCCTATTGAGTTCCCCTCACCTTAAGCAATGGAAAATGAAATAATAGTAATATACATTTTATTTGTTACCTTTTTCTTCCTTTTCTCATCTGGAGAAGGACAGAAAATGGATAAATTTTTGACCGGATTATAAATTTAATTTAGATTTTTGCAAATCAAAATTTTGTGGTCAAAATTTTCATCTTTCAGTGGGGAGTATAACCAAATGTTAAGTTTCTCTATTGTCACTAAATTTGATTGTGGTTTATTTTTCCAATAAGATAATTATAATGGTAAGATAAAAGGGGTTGATCTAGTGATAATATTATTAGTGTTGAAATTGAAAGTCTCAATTTTTTTTTCCGTTGAATCAGTTCCCATTTTATTAACAAACAAGAAAGTGCAAAAATTGCACGCTGATACAACGAAGGGACAAGTACAAAACTCACCCCAAACCCACTACTGCGTCCAACCTTCCCCCACTATAACTACCCAACCAAGTTTATAACTCTACAATCATCTTCTAATACTGGATAAAAGGAAATAAAGTAAAGAAAATCTCTCTTCCATAACTCCTGCACTACTTCCGCCGTTCGAGGGACCTCACCATGAACTCTCCGACACCGCTCCTGCCAGATGAAGGTAATCAGAGAGCACCAAATCGGACCTATGAGCCTTCCTAATGTCGTGCCCCGCTTTGCGACCACACCTGCATTTGAGAGCCTAAGCTCCCATGAACTGCTACCAAACAAACCACCCACACTATGAACTATGCTCTTCGAGAAATAGCAGTCAAAAAATAAATGTTCCCGAGTTTCACTACTCGCAGCACACAACACACAGCTATCATCAATCACCTTCCTCCAACGCACCGACTTTGATCTAGTAACAATCGCATCCATAATAACAATCCAGGCAATGAAACTCCATCGTGGTACATAGTACTTACCCCACAGAAGTGCAGTGCTTACCCTGCGACGACCGAAGAGTCTCCCAGACAGTCCTCACTGAGTAACGAGGCATCAGCTTCCCATTCCAAAGACCCTCCCCTCCTTGCATCCTCATAAACGGTTGTACAAAGTCTCAATTTTGAATCCTTTTATTAGTACCTAATTATAAAAATCAAATATATGGCATCCTTAACTCTACGCAATCCATTATATTGAGTACTATAAAATGAATAACATGTTAGAATTACTTTTAACAGATGTAATCCCCGGAATTCATCTCGTCGGATTATCAAAGGTTTGTAGAAAATACCTGGAATCATGTCGGTTGATCGTTAGAGACTTGATGCGGAATATGAACGATCCAGGAGGTTTTGTGACTTTCCTCAACCAAGCCGCCTCGGTTCCTTTACGGGAGAGCTCTCATCTTCCTGATGGGAGAATATGAGATTGTTTGGTCTTGGTGTATTAGGGACCACAACTTCAAGCTCCTTATAAGTTATATACTAGTTCACCATGAGCTCCCATAAAACCCAAGGTGATCAAGTATTTGGTTTTCACCCATTGGACTCATATTGGGCTTGAGTAGTCATGAGCCACATAAAATAGATCACTTAATTTAGCTCATCTAAGCAAAAAAAAAAAACAAATATAGTGTGTTTGTAAATTTATGGCCCACATAAGTTAGGAAATGAATTTCCTAACACAACAATCTTCTTTCATTATTTGTTATATGTTTCCTCATGTCTGCTTTCTTTATATGTTTACAAATTTTTGTCAATAATTCTTATATTATTAAGCGATTCGAACTTGATACCTTTTGTTTCAAAATTAAAGATATTACCACTAAAATTAGTCTTTATTCCTCAAAATAGCGTATAAGTTATGCTTTCGCACTACTTAAGGAATTAACATTATATTTGATAAACAGTTAAAAATAAAATTATAAATTTTAATTATGCTTTCTCAATGCCACAGGAATATATTTTTATCTATCCACCAAAATTCGGTAAATGGCCACAATAAGAAGGGGGGAAAGGCGATAAAGAATAAAGGAGGAGACAGGTGGAGATAGTACACTCTTTTGTCTATTTGATTGGAGTTGGTTGTACTTTGGTCTCTTTATGCACATAACACTGGGTTGTTGTGGTCTTGTGGAAAATTCTACACACTTGAAAGTTGTCAAAACTTTGGTCTCGTCCGTTCATATCAAAATCTCATAGTTGGGCTTCTGCAATCTAGCCCAAGCCTGATAGTCATGGGCTTGAGGATATCAGTAGTAACAACATAGATGGCCCGAAAAACGATCTGACGGACTTAACCGACGTAAGACGGAGGCCCAAAATGCTAAAACGACTGCGTGCAGACGATAAACAATCTGAGAGCTGGCAGTGAACGCTCATACTACTCCTAGTCTCTTTTGACTCTCAGCTCAGGCTAACTCACTGACCGGCGCCGAAGCTCGAAAAAATGCCGACGGCCAATACACAAGAGGAAAACAGCAAAAGCGAACTGCAGAAGAATCATGGCGGCGGAGGAGGGTTCACTCGATGGGCGGTGGTCGCCGTGATCTTCCGTCTAGCTCTCATTTACTTCCCGGGGAATCTCAACCTGTCTTCTCGTCCGGAAGTCTCCACTCCCCTCACATCCATTCGTCGCCGTACTTTCCTCTTATCTCTCTCACTATGCCCCCTACTTTTTCGTTGAGTATCTGAAATTGGATTTTCTGATTCCGATTGGTGCTTCTTTGTGTTTCTTCAGTGGCAGAGGGGTACTGGTTGAAGCAATCATCAATGTCTCCTTATGCAGGTTTGTTGAGAATTCAAAGTCTGATCTTTGCATCTAGGGCTCTTGAAACTAATTGGATTTCCTGCCCTTGTTGATTGGGATGAGCTGAAATTCGGTTTAACGGGTCTGGGGTTTGCATTTGTAGGATCTATGTACCATGGCTCTCCATTGCTGCTCTCTGTTCTTGGGCCTCTCACTGTCAAAAGGTAACCCCGTTCAGTTGTTCCAATTGTGAATTTGATAATGATTCGGCCTTTCTCGACAAATTAAAGGAAAAATAGGGAGAATTTGTTAATCCTTTGTGCCTACATCCTAATCGATTGGCGTTCTGCTTCTCATTATAATGAACAACAGTTTATGGTATTTGAATTCTTTGTGTTTTGAAGTAGAACTTTACTGACCGACTCTGTTGCCCATTGCAGAATTGAAGGGCAGCCCGGTCACATTTTATGCAGGTATGCCTCACTATTGCACATTCTCTTTCTAGACGTGAAAGCATATTTGCCAAAATGGTCTGGAACACTTCTCTGGTTCAGTCAAGTTGGCATCTGTTATTTTAAGAGGCATGCTATATTTTAGAGTATAATTACCCATTTTGTTTGTGTCGTTTGGTGTTTTCTGATTGTTTATGAGTATCTAGCATGCGTTCCAAGTTGATCTAGCAAGAAAATATCTGCTGTTTGGTGGTTTCAGTGTTTTCAGGGTGTCAATTATGTTTCATGGTTCAACGACTAAGCACTGATCTCATGGCTGTGGGTTTCTCCCTCTATATGCCTATGTCACTCTTACAGTTGGATACAGTTTGGTTTTTGTTCTTGCAGACTTGATCAGTGCTATTCTGATTCGTGCTACTGGTCGGAAGCTACAGATAGCGTATAGGAAAAGCTTGAAATCACTTAATCTGCCGAATAAATCCACAGATTCAGGTGGCTCTTATTTTTTGGGTGAAAAGGCGCTTAAAGTTTCTGGTTGAATTAAATTTCAACAGTTTTCCGCTTATGTATGGTACATTGAACATGATGTCTCTGAAATCAGTGTCCCAAAATATAGAACTTGGAAAAATCTGGTGATGGGAAATTTTGGATTGTAAGAGCTTGTCTCAGCAAGGATTTTTAATTGAGTTTATACACATACCATATTACATTGGGTTGAAACTATCACAACATGCTGATGAGATGCAACTTGATTTCGCAACCAGGTGCACTTTCTTCTGGAGATATTGCTGCTCTGGTATACTTATGGAATCCTTTCACGATAGTTGCTTGTGTGGGTTTGTCCACATCTCCTGTAGAAAACCTTTTCACTATACTGACCCTTTATGGAGCTGCTACTGGTAGGATGCTGACTCTTATTCTTATTTTGAGTTTATTTGTGTATGAATAATAACATCAGTTTGGTTCAGTTTCTCAGAGCAAGGGAAAAAGACTACAGATGTGGATAACAAATTGTTATTTTGATGGCCAACAGGACTAGCACCTCTGGCAGCTTTTGGCTGGGTCATGGCCACACATTTGTCTTTATACCCTGCAATACTAATTATTCCGGTAAACCTCTCATATTCTGGTTCTTGGTTTTATCCCCCTCGCTCCTCTCTCTCCGGAGTACACATGACTCCATTTCTAGAACATTTTAGAAGCTCTTACAGTGGTATGTATGATTTTACTGTTGTTACAGGTGATTCTTTTATTGGGGTATGGTCCAGATGCTCCTCCTAGTAAGTTATTCAGAAGCAAGGAACATGGTAAAGTTGGAGACGGCAAATCAAGCCAGGAAATCATATTTTCATGGAGAAGAGCCTTTCATTTGTTAGTTTGGACTTCCTTGTGGTCAGTTTATGTGTTGGTTCTATGCAGCATATCAGTCAAGCAGCATGGCAGTCTGCAGGAAATGTTTCAAAGGTGCTTATTGAGATATATTGGTTTTGGATAGTATAAATCATGTAGTGGGAAATATGAACTGATGCTTTGTTGAGGTTTGCAGAACGTATTTATAATGGGTTATGGAAGGTATTTATAATTTTGTTTTTCATTTGCAGAACGTATGGATTCATACTTACAGTGGAAGATCTGTCCCCAAATATAGGGGTTTTGTGGTGAGTCCAATGTTTCTTATTGTTATTCATCATGGTGTAATCTGAAACTACATACAGGGGAGTTATTATTTCGTGCACCTTATCAGGCATGCAATTTCTGATGCAGGTACTTCTTTGCTGAAGTTTTTGACTTCTTCCGGGATTTCTTTTTGATTGTGTTCCATTCAAATATATTATTCATGATACTTCCATTGGCCATACGGCTAAAGCACCGACCTTGCTTCCTTGCTTTTGTCTACATTGCCATTTCTTCAATGCTTAAATCATATCCCTCAGTAAGTAATCCATACTATGTTCGAAAACTATGCTATCTTTTGTATTTTGTTTGTGCATATGATAAAAGTTTCATTTTTTATCCATCATTGAGAGAATGACAAGTTCATTACAAACACATAGCTTTGTTATTATTGACAATATAGTTAATTAACATATTGCTACTGTCTTTACTGCTCATTTAATCAGGTTGGCGACTCTGCTTTATACCTAGGTCTCTTGGGTTTGTTTCTTGATGAATTAGCCGGTAAGTTCCTCTGTTGTTTCTGGTTGTTTTGAGGAGGGTATTATAGCTTCGTTCTTATAGCTTCTCTACATAACATTTGTCCCAGATATGCAGTTCTCTTTCTTCCTCTTCTGTGGATATGTTGGGGTGTCCCTACTTAGCCCAGTGATGCACAATCTTTGGATTTGGCGGGTACGTAATCTTGTGATGTGTTGTAGTCCTTCCATTCAACAATATCGTTTCTATGTTAAAATGTATGTAAACAAAAAAAAAATGCAGGGCACTGGCAATGCAAACTTCTACTATGCAACTGCAATGGCTTATGCTTGCTTCCAGGTATGCTATTTTTTTCCATCTTCATTATAACAGTTCCCTTCATGTTCATAAGTGGTAGACTAAGGATGTCTTATTCTTTTCAACTTCAGATTGTTTTGGTGGTGGAGAGTGTAAGTTCCATGCTCAACCACGACAGGAAGCTAACAAAGCTCTCTACCTCAAAACTTCAAAAGTAGAATGCTTTAAAAGCTCCCCTTGTAACCTTCTTCTCATACATTATACCCCGCAATGATCCAAGTGGACATCGACCAGCGGCGCAATTTCCCTGAAAGGATCCCTCCTTCTGACACACAAGGTTCACTCCATTCTTACTACTATTGCATACTGAAAAGTCTGGATCTTTAAGTTAGTGGCTCGGAAGTTTAGAGTGCTTGTTTAACTGGGAACGGCATAGTGACTGAACTTGATAGGATTCACAGCAAGTGCTTGATTTTGCTTGGCTAGTAGTTCCTGTAGCTGGCCCTTCGTCTTACCTTTCTTCTTTATGTTGTAGTTTGTGACTGTGCATGATGCGATATCGATAGTGTATGACTAACGGTATATGATCCTGTTTTGGATTATCAATATTGTAAGAGCACATAAGCGTCACATTGTAGTTATCCACTTCAAGAAGTTAGCGCGTTTGGTTTTGGGTGAAAAGAGCTTTTCAGAACAGCTACTTACAGCATCTCAACTACTTGGCGGCAATCTTGAAACGATATGAAAGAGAAGGAATGGGGTGGCCCCTGCTATATAATAGTTCATTTTGGAATGTCAACCAAAGGATTAGTGTCCATAATCTCGGATTAACTAAAACATTACCACTGTGTTTAGCTCTAATTATCGATATAACTGTCATTTGATCGTACCTAATCATTCAAGAAGCTTCACCGCGAAATCTTCAGCATTACAATTACTCTGACTACTAGATCTCATATCAACTATACTATTAAATATTAATACAAGCTAGTTGTTCGATTTTGGGTCTGTTCATTTGGAATTTCAAGCTTTGGTAGACAAATATCATCTCTTTTGTCATAGTTCTTATCCAAATGATCTTTGCTGTGCTAAACAGAAACTATGTTAATCTCTGCATACACCAAGACAACCACATTTGCAGTGAATTGACACTTGAAATTTATATAAAGTTTCTTACATAGCAATCTTGTCATCAAGCCTTCTGAATGACGAATTTTAACTCCTAAATAGAGGATGAGTCGATGAACATGGCTTAGTTCATTAGTTGGTCAATACTCAGTCTGAAAAAGAGTAGTTAGTAGTCCATGGACTCAAAGAATAGGAGGTGCCAGTTTACTATTTTTCATATTGAATAATTGATTATAAGTAAAAAAATTCGGTCGTTATTATTATTAAGAAGTGGCCTCTTATATGAAAAGTCTTCGAGCAATTTATGAAGCACAAATTTAGCAATCGCAAGCATCAAGAAAAACGAGTGACCATAGTAAATGAGAATGCATAATGTAACATGTTTGCTAGCATAGAGCAATATATCACTTCTTTAAGTCCAACCCCTCTTACCTAAAATCCTAACTACACTAACACTACTGGTTGTTGCGATTGACATACAAACGAGAAGTTATTCATGGATAATTTTATAACTTACTTTCTCTTGGGATCAATCATACAAATTGAGATAAGCAAAAACCGACTCAGGTACCTACTTTACGTGCATTGGATCTAGAAGTCAACCTGACAACTTACTAATTAATTAAGCTAAGCTAGGGGGTCAAGATAAGCATCTAACTGATTAACAATTTTCAAAGAGACCACTCAAAGATGAAGCCTCTAAACTTGGAGTGTCAAGACATCAATCACCGCTTCATGTCGTGGATATTATAATTTAGGTTACGCGTTTAGTACTATAATCATATAATAATAATAATTAATTAACTGAAAATTATGTGTCCTGTTAAGTTGGAAATGATGATGACGGTGGGGAACAGTGCCGTTGTGAGGGCTCAAAAATTTCATAACTAAGGGTTCAAGAAGGTATAATTTCAGGTTAGGTGCGTTTAGACGTAAGGCATTGACAAAACGTTTTGATGAAGTTGGACATGATTAATTGGCGCGAATCGGAGTTTGAAGAAGGGGAAGAAGGAGCCCTGGTGGATAATGACGGAGCCGGATAGCTTGTGGGTAAGGTTCATCCGTGCAAAGTACCTGAAGAAAACTCAAAATGGATGGAAACCTAGAACTATGGGGAGTATGTCGAATTTATGGAGAGGAGTGATTCGAATTCTACATCCTCTGCCCGATGCCATCATGTGGAATGTAGGGAATGGAATGACTGCGAACTTCTGGTGTGACAAATGGCTTCAGGATGGCCCAACAATGCAGAGTCACAAATAGGAAGAGAATGCCTCCACTGAGTAAGATTTTAAGCGCACATAAGCTCTTTCATGTCTTGTTGAGTTTGTACGGTAACTCAACTTTTTAAGTATAGAATTTATTTTGTTGGTTGAGTGGAGTTACGGTAGTTCAATCTATAAAGGAAGGACAATCGATCACACTGATTAATCAAATTGAGGCACACTTAAACATACTGGTAGACAAAGAATTGAAAAAACGATAGCTAATCTTTCCAAAATGATGACATCTCTTGATGTCTATATTTGATGTGTCCACCAATTCTAGATCAATGAGATAAAGGCTCAGAACTCGGTAGTTATAACAGCTTCTCATTTTCACTCCATCCCTTTCGTGTGCTAATGTGCTTTTCGTCGTTGCCAACTCCAAATCAAAAAAAATTGCAATTCTAAACTCTGATCACATGATTAACATGTCTGTTAATTACCATTTAATTGATCAGCAAGAGAGGGCTGACAAAGCGCGCCTATGGAACAGTGAAAGCAAAAACATTAATCAAATGTCAACTTTCTCTCCTTTGACTTCTTGAGTTGGACTTTTACCAAGGCTAGTTAATTTCCTACCCTGAAACTTGTGCCCAGCTGAGTTGTTTTCATAGAAAACTGTTCTTGTTCCATCTACCTGCACGGAACAGACAAGGGCAACAATTTTCTCCTTAATCCTCTCTCGCCCCTCGTGCAACTTTCAACTCTGGCTTTACTCACCATTTGCTCATACCTTCCATCATCACTATACCTCTGGTCTCCTTCTGGCCACTCAGTACACCACTTCTCAAGCAACCTAACCACTGGCAATTTCCTGAGGAATCAATCAATCTACACTCTTCAACCAGCACCATTTATTGACCAAGCGATTGCTCTGCAATATTAGCTGTTAAGAGGCATGTAACGACACATTTACGAATACTAGCTTCGCATGCATCTAACGATTGAGCTCGCGGTATCGCTTCATTGAACAGCATCTACCACATCAGCATAATTGGTTCTTCATTCAGTTCAAACCTAGAGAGTTTCCTGCTCCTGCACTTAAGAACAAAATTGAGTTGAGCCCCGACTTTCACGACAGTGAAACACGAGAAGCAACATTAATGACATGAGAGAGAGAGAGCTTTTCAGAATTCAGACTCAAGTTATGTGAAGAAACAGTTGTCCAAATTATTCAGCTGGTTAATTATGCGCCCATTCTCATTTCCCACCAAGTCTATTATATTCTATCTATAGTGTTTCAAGTTTCAACAACAGCACACAGCTGGATTTGGAAGGCATCATATCCCAAATTGCCGCCCTTCTCCTTCCTCTTCCTTGGCAACAACATGTATGACACGTACAAATGGAGAAAAGAGTTGTAGCAAGCAACTCCCAATGATCAACAAAGCTCAGCCACAAAAGCTAATGAAGAATATATCCTAGCAAGTCAACAGCTTTGATAATGCTGAGCCGTTGGATCTGTAGAACAGGGGGGAAAACACACAATGATCAATTTCTTCTTTGTTACCGCCCATGGAAGAAGAAGATCTCTCTGATATCGACCCACTCTCCATGTGGCTGCCCACCATATATGATTATTTATATATTTTCTTTTTGCCTTTTTGGGTGCTACATGTAGGCCCTCCTGATCCCTATTATATATTACCACCAGACATGAGATTGTCCCCTTTTCTTCATTTTAAAACCTTACTTTAAGGGACTACATTGCAAGAAAACTTGAGCTCATGGCAATTTATACAGTAATGTATTATCAGATGTATCTCATAGTTTAAGTCTCTTAAGAACCCCTCTATCTCAGAACTGACTTGAGCTGTCATTGCTGTCTAACCCTTTCCAGTTATTCCCAGGCAGATAAACTATCTGTGTTATTTCCTTCAAAGACTCCTTTCTCTCAGACAATCTAAATGAAGCACCCGGAAAACAAATCATCGAATATAATCCTGAGATCTGTTCGGATAACATAAAAGGAAGGACTTTTGATCTACTCATCTCAGGATGATATCTAGCTAAGCTAAACTAAACTAAACCTCTACCTTAATCACAACTTAGACAGCTATTTTGGTGGGATATCACTGTCAGAAGTTCGAACGACTTCATTCTATGAATTGGGTTGATCTTTAAAGTTTTGTAGCCATAGTAGAAGGTGCTGCAGATCCACATTTCGAAAAGAATACACATGCGTTAATGGTTGGAGGACCCCTGCATACTTACCTACTTACTTATCTACGACTCAAATACTATGCATAATAGTGACTCACAAAGTTGATAAACAGTGACAAGTAAAGTGATCAATAGAATAATCTTCAATCTAATCGACGCATAATGGAGGAGCATGAATGCACAGTGACCTACCTACATCTTGTTGTTGAAGTTGTTGCAATAGAGGTCCAAGGCCGCGGCTCAATGGGAAGGGCCAGTGCTCTATGTGTTGAAAAACTTGAAAGGAGATAAACCTGTTGAATATAGGTAAGCAGGGACCTAACGAATAAGAGGTTAGATGGAAATTCATCTAGAAGGTTAAGAACAATTCAGGCTAGAAATCACAGTGATGTATGCAATAAGATCTGTTGAATCTTCAGTAGAAAGACATTTGGAACTGACTTCCCAATGATTACAGCTAAGTTAAGAAGATCTAGGATGAGATCATATTGGGATCTTAATTCCCAACAGAAACAAGTTACTAATTAAGAACATGCGAAGCAGGCTATCTTTATTAATTTGCAGAGAGAGCATATATAACATCACAAAGATACACCGATATTTAGCATAGATATTGGAAAAGATTTGAAGTAGTAGTAAAACCCAATTAGAATTCAGTATATGCTATGTGACGTATAAAGATTGGTTTCAGACGGATACTTTGAACCTCTATCCTCACAAATCTTTGGGGAATCGCTCTAACTATTCTTCAACGATAGTTGTCTTAAGAAAATGACAAAAAGTTCAGTCCCTTGCTTCCTTCCTCAGTTTCACTTAACCCTATTGGACCATGCTTAGAGATACAAAGGGACGAAACATCTAGCAGGCTTCATGTTCAGAGAGAATAACGTTGACAAAAGGGTAGTAACTGACAGGTCTCTAGACAGGAATAGGTTTAATCTAATATTCTATTCAATATTTCAACAACTTCCCGAAGCAACTTAAACTAATGAATACACAAAAGCTGGAGCTTAGTTATACTATATTCTCCAACGAATTTCCAACTTATACCACGCCTATATATAAGATCTCGACATGGTAGCTGAGAGACAAACCAGCACTGCACTTTTATTTCCTGTCTATTCCTCCCACGTCTTCCCATCTCAGAAGTCTCAGACTTCTCCCCTCATCACCTGTTTACATTTCCATTTCTAGCAAAAAGGCAGATCATCAACATCATAGTGCTTTCTTTTCCAATCAAAGATCTTTCCTTTTCCTACTTGCATTTAAGCTCCATCATGTGGGGTTTCTGGTTTCTAGCTCTACTTGTTATAGGCCTCATAAGGTGGGTATACCGCTGGAGAAATCCCAGATGTAATGGGAAACTCCCACCGGGTTCAATGGGGTTACCACTAATTGGTGAGACCCTTCAGTTTTTTGCTCCCAACACTACTTCTGAGATTCCTCCTTTTGTTAAAGAGAGGATGAAAAGGTAAACAACCTTCTGGCTGCTTACATTCTTCTTCTCATTCTTCTGCTACTGATGACTAACCTTTACGTTTGACTCGCAGATATGGGCCGATATTCAAGACTAATTTGGTCGGAAGGCCGGTTTTAGTATCGACGGACCCCGATCTCAACTACTTCATTTTCCAACAAGAGGGGCACTTGTTCGAGAGCTGGTACCCAGACACATTCACAGAGATATTTGGAAGACAGAATGTGGGGTCATTACACGGGTTTATGTACAAATACCTGAAGAATATGGTGCTCAATCTCTTTGGCCCTGAAAGCCTCAAGAAGATGATCCCTGAAATTGAACAGGCAGCATCAAAGAGATTGAAAAAATGGTCTCAACAGGAGTCGGTGGAGATAAAAGACGCAACTGCAACTGTAATTGAAACCATTCTTCTTCTTTATCAAAGTTGCTCTCTCAGGATTTCTTATTGTGCACATAATAATGAAAAAATTTCTTTTGTTACAGATGATATTTGATCTTACCGCAAAGAAGTTGATAAGTTATGATCAAGACAGTTCATCAGAGAATCTGAGGGAGAACTTTCTAGCATTCATACAAGGGTTAATCTCCTTTCCAATTGATATTCCTGGAACAGCATATCACAAATGCCTACAGGTATGAGGATTTATGTCAACCTAATAAGCATCTCTTTTAATTTCATCTAACGTTTTGGTTACTGGAATAACAAGTCTAGTACTCAAACTGAATCCTACTATTTTTCATAAAGAAAAAGGAACTTCCAACAGTTATAAGAAATTAACCTCTTACGCTTTATCAACAGGGCAGGAAAAGGGCAATGAAGATGCTCAAGAACCTGCTAAACGAAAGACGGATGAATCCAAGAAAGCAGCAAAGCGATTTCTTTGATCATGTACTTGAAGAACTTCATAGGGATGACACAATCCTTACAGAAGGAATTGCACTAGACTTGATGTTTGTGCTACTATTTGCTAGCTTTGAAACGACATCTCTGGCTTTAACATTGGCAATGAAATTCCTTTCTGACCATCCAAAAGTGTTGAAGCAATTAACGGTATGAAAATTAATTCTAAAGCATTTTCTTTATTGGCAAACTATTATAGCTCTGAAAACTAACATTATTTTTATACTTTGCCAGGAAGAACATGAAGCTATTGTGAATAGAAGGCAGAATCCTGACTCTGGTCTTACATGGAAAGAGTATAAATCAATGACATTTACGTTTCAGGTGACTCAATCAACCTGGTTTCATATTTTGCATTAAAGTTCTGTTTCCAGTTCCTAACAGTCTAACACAAGGCAACTTTGCAGTTCATCAATGAAACAGTTAGACTGGCAAATATAGTTCCAGGAATCTTCAGAAAAGTTAAAAGAGATATTCAATTTAAGGGTACGCTTTAACAACTTTCCAGACAGTTTCCACACTTAACCGCAAATTTCTTAGCAAAACCTAATTCTAACAGCTCCTAATCGCTATGTTTGACACAGACTATACCATACCAGCAGGTTGGGCGGTTATGGTCTGTCCCCCAGCTGTTCACTTAAACCCAACAAAATATGAAGATCCACTCACTTTCAATCCATGGCGCTGGGATGTGAGTCCTAAAGTCTATTTAATATGATTGGAAATAACTCACTTACAGAACAAAAAGTTCACTTTAATCAGTATCCTAATTGTAATAAAACACCATTGCACACAGGGGCAAGAAATCAACGGAGCAACAAGACACTTCATGGCATTTGGCGGTGGCATGAGATTTTGTGTTGGTACAGAATTTACAAAGGTCCAGATGGCAACTTTTCTACACTGCTTGGTCACAAAGTACAGGTAGAGTTGTGTCTTTCATTAACTGGCAGAAAGAAAAATGCAGAAAGACAAGGAAACTGACCTTTTTCTTGCTTACTTTTTTCTAGGTGGAACCCAATCAAAGGAGGAAATATTGTACGTACCCCTGGTTTACAGTTTCCTGATGGATATCATGTTCAAATCCTGGAAAGAGATACTTAACATAATGTCTACAAAACAAGACAAAGGCAGTTTGCCTAGAGAATCAGAATGACAAGAGTTTTTGTGTTTGGCTTCTTACGAGTCATGGGTGCTTCAGAAGATGCAGCCACAGCAAAGATGCTTCTTCAACAAATGGATATTGCATGGAATGCCTAACAGAAGAAAAGTACATTAACTTTTCAAGAAGATAGTAGAACTTTTTCCAGGACAAATCCAATTTTTTCTGTCCTGACTCCATATAGCATAGCAAAATACAAAAACAAATGTTAAATGTATCAAAATATCCTATTACTGAGTTATGTAAAGTTTTCTCTCAGTATTCCAAATTTACAATGAACAAAGAGGAACAGAAAAGAGGGAAAATGTGATGGGAAAGTTATTCTGCAATCAACCATTCTAGACTTCCAGTAAGATTCACTCAAGTCCAACTATTTTCCCTAATCAAAAGGCAATCTAGCTGTGTAATCAATCAATTGCCTGCAGGTGAAGCACTGTAATCATATATTTCACCATTTGTCAAGCCGTCAAAGTACCGTCCCTATGTTCTCTTTTGTGTCTGTGTCTATGGTGCCGGACATTCTTGTCATTCCCCATTCCTAAATAGTGCACTTCCTGCTGGATACTTGATTTCCTGGAGTGCTGCTGCTTATTCCTGTCCTTGTTAACATGGTGAAGATAATAGTAGTAGTCAGCATCCACTCCTGAATGCTTATTATGCCTATGACCCTCATGAATGCTTCTTCGCCTATGGTGGGTCCCATGTGTGCGGTGCCTAGCTCCATGTTCATGGTGTTTCTTAACACGATTGTAGTTTCTATGTATATTTCTGGTTCGATGCTTCTCATGCCCAAGATGATCTTCCCACCAATCATAAAGAGGATCGAAGAAACCTTTTTGATGTAGAAGCCAGCTTAGCACAAGCACTGCAATCACAGTTACAGTTGCTTCCTTTGTTAACGCCAAAATAATCAAGTCGACTTTCAATTCTTAAGATCAGACAAAATAATAATATGCAAGGCTTTACCTGTTGGGAAAATAGCCAGAAGTAGACCAAACATCACCATCCAACTCATGCATATATACTGTATGTGGCATTTAAAATCAAAGAAGCCATCGCATTTCATTCTGATAACAGCAAGATGATTCTCATAGTTAGCAAAATCAGCCTTAAACATTACAAGTTTGAGGTTTATTACATAAGATTGCAGTTACTCAAAAAAGCATATCACATTCGACGGGCCCTATATATATGGGTATTATTTGTCTAAATGGGGCAAAAGAAATTGAAGCAAATTGTTGAAGGTAAAGGACTAACGGCTCTGGTCTGAACCAAAGCCTTGTCTCACCCTTGGATTGGTTTTTCTTCTAAACATCAAATTAATACAGGGTTTTTGGGTTGTCCATTCAAAGAGCATCGTGGTAGGTGAGTTTCAAAGTAATTTTAGGCCACATGAATGAAGGATTAATAACAAATGTCCGACAGATAAGTCTGTTCAAGAGGTGTTCACAGCAAGATTACATGTCTCTTCAATATACTCCACAAAAGAAATATATGTTTCAACTACATCTCACTCCAGATCATGTACCTGCAAGTTCTTCCTGTAATGAAGTCTAACAAACCATCCCACAGTTTGTTCCAGATCATTTTAATAGACTCCGAGAACAGATTCCCTCCAGTCTTTGGTGGTACGAAGAGACCAATCTACAAAAGTTTCATAACTGAATCACTCTGTGATATTTTATGAAAATGCCATGCAATTGCTTCAGTTCACCTACAATTAACAATCTTTCAGGATTGACACATGCTGACCAGATCGATCAATATATATGAGGGAAATCACATAAAGTGCAGTTTCAGTAAGAATTACAACTAACTCTTACGAAACAGAGCCCGAAATTCCCAAACATGAGTAGAACAATCTGTTTACCCAGGCTAAGTTCTCATTCATTTCCGAACTTTAAAAACCAGAAACCATCTTCATAAGTAAACCACATATGGAACCGTTGTCGTTGACTTTAGCACTCAAAGAATCTAGTTCCTTTACTTCCGACTTTTTACAGTGAGGTCAGATCACCTTTACCACGTTCCAAATATTGTTTTATGGAACTTTATAAGCTAAGAAACGAACATGATGGATATACTAAGATTTAATCAAGTAGACACACCTGAGACCCATTGTCTATAGTAGTAGCTGTTGTAGAAAATTGGCAATCAGCTCGATCCACTTCATTGAAATTGGAGTCCTTCAGAATAGCTGCAGTAACAAGATATACTAAGACTCCAAACAGTATGCTACCTCATAATTCATATTAGTAGTCATGATGAACTGAACTTAAATGGACACTCATGGTAATGTAATTACCTAAGCATGCATAACTTGCTGCTTGATCAGTTGTCGGGTATAGTTTAAATGATTGAGTAGCGATTTCATTTGGTTTCATGATGAAGAATTGCTCCTGAGTCATCAGCCCACGAGTTATGCTCATAAAACTTATAATTTTTATGTGTCATACGAAGGAAGAAGAGTGGAACATTTGAAGGAAGGTACCTCCATAAGGGAAACGCCTTTCGAGCAGTCAAACTGCAAGATGGAGCAATTTGTCAAAGCAGCAACCAGTTTATCTAAAACCATCGCCTTTGCAAGATGGAAAATAATATGATTGAATAGACCCACTCTAGTTTGGAACTTATTGATTGAAATTTTCAATACAGGACAATGCAATTTACTTAAAACAATGCATAAATAACAGTTGTCATTACTCATTAGTAGCATGAGTTGCGTGATAAAATAACTGCACTGGAAGGGTGGATTCTACCGTTAAACTGTATGATGCTTCCACTTTCCCAGTATTCTTAGCTGTAATAGTAGCAGTTCCAAACTGAGTTAGGGCTTCAAATGTGGGAACTGTAACCCCTACAATTTTCCCTGGGCTCCTGTAAATGGAAACATATAGTGGGGGCAAGAAAATTTCAGCATCAATTCTACCATAATGCCAGCAACAAAGTGAGAAGCAAACCTTTGGTAGACAAATTCTATGTCATCTGCTCTTAATTCTATCAACAGGTTTGTGTTAAGAACCTCAGTTATTCCGATGGAGAACGTATGAGTCCCTGCATGCTAAGCTCGGATTGAAACCGTTATAAACATGAGTCATGACTCGTGGGGATAAAAATGAATCAGGGTATGAGCATTAACACTTAACTGGATGTTCATTCAACCTTTGAAACCGTCCTTCAGCAAGATATAAAGGTGGCTGCTTCCTAGATTTCCGGTTTTGATCAGCCTGTCCCAAATCAGATGGCACTTCTCAGTTCAAACAGCCCAGTAGCTTGGTAAAAGTTGCATAAGCAACAGAAGGATATTATGGAACATCGGATAGAAAGGAATCAAGACTAGGATACTAACATCCCAGAAGTTCCACAACTGATTATGCAGGCAACTCCAGTATGGTGAGGCACAGAAATCTGATTGTCCATTGAAAGCCTCATAACTGACACCAATTTTATTGCATTCAACACCATCCAGCGTAAATCTTACTCTCTCGAGCAGCATCCACATAGAAAAGTTCCTCCCCAGTTCTTGTGGGTGACCAGAACCCCCCTTCCAAAACAAATATCAACTATGAGCTGGCTTTTATTTACAGAATATACACTGGACAAACTGAAGCTAAACTGCAAGCTCGTAGTAGAAACGTAGAAACATCAAAAAAGATATTCCATGTAACGTTTATCTACCCTCCTAAAGCCGCTGTGTCATTGGGTTGCACTTCTCTAAATGGTTACATATTGACCTGAGAAGAAAGAAGCCCAGCCCAAATGAAAGTTTCTACTACAATTGGTGGGGTGCGCCAGGCCCGTGCAATAGTGCAAAGCATGGGCGACACGCGAGAAACCCCTGAAGCAAGCTCCAGTGGTGGGCTTCTCCCCCTATAAAAACTAATTTAATATCGTGTGGGCCATTGGCCCACGTATCAGATATTAAACTGATAAGAACAGATACTACACTTGATCTTAGCCAAAAGGCCGAGAAAGGTATGCTTCATAACTATGTCCGAGCTCCCCATTTATATGATGTCCACTTGCTTTCACATATTAGCTTAAGCGATGTGGTAGAAAGAGGCTTCTAAGGAATAGTGAGTAGAGAAGAAATAAAGAAACGAGAGAGAGCTCACAACGTCCTGTCAAAAAAGAGAGCTCACAAGTCACAACGCAGGCGAAGCCAATTGCCGTCCCTTGAAACTTGCCATGGCGTTTCTGGTCCAGACGATAAATCTTCAAATTCGATTTAGAGATTGATTCTCTTAAGGGACTTGTTCATATACTTGACCTTAGACATAGGATTGGTTCGATATTGCGCACTCTTCTTCACTTGAACTGACGAGCTAAGATGGCTTTCAGGACACAACATCAAAACTTAAATGGCTTGTTCAATTGGTTTCATGAGCACCACTTATTTGTTGCTCCTGAACTAGTGTTTACAGCGATCCTAGCTCACTTCATTTTAGAGGCATGGAGAGAATAATAAAGAAGGGAGCAAGAATGCATACCTGTCTTGGAAGCACGAGGTAAAAGTCTTCAAAAGAAGGAATGCTTGAGTATCCAACAAAATCTCCAATTAGATTAACCCTTAGGAAGTTGTCCTCCGATGTAGCTGTTCTATTTTCAGGACCCAAGATCACTTCCTGTAAGTGAAGAAGAAGAAAAAAGAGCAGGTTGAATTCAAGAGCCTTGATGACTGGATATCTATGTATGAGATAGGATAACAAAGACATCTATTTTACAAACACATATTCCATTTAAGTGGCCAACTGATGAAGAGCTCATGTCATTTTCTGGATACAGGCAAACAACTGGAAGAGCTTAGAGCACAAAGCGCCCAGGTCATATTTTGCTACCAAATACTATTCTTAATTATCTCAAGACTGCTAGACAACATTTAAGCACACATTTCCCTCCGACGGTCAAGCTCAATAGATGACTTGATGCAATGGTAGAGCAAAGAAATAAAGTTGCTTTCTCAGACATGTGTTTCGTTGAATGTCATACAAATGGAAGAGAGAAAGTAGATATGACATACCGAGACCTTGGATCCCACCTTCACTTCAATTTGAATACTAAATCCAACTGACCTCTGACCAATTCCAAAAACATGGAACCTAAAAGAGTAGCAGGATATCAGTAGTGACATACTAATATTAGGATCCTAAGAATCTATATATATACAAAGAAATTAATATGGAAACAAATAGAGTCAGCAAAATCAGGTAGCAAAATTGGAAGACCCTTCTTCTGATTTCAGAGTCAGGGGTCTAAAGAAAGACCGACAGAAAGGGTTTTTCTGCAAGCTAGAGAACCATAATCATGACAAGTTCCCAAACACTGCACAAATTCCTCCTGCGATGAAGCCCAAGAAAACTATTGCCCATCTAATCAAGGGTTCAAAATAGTAATAAGAAACATATGTCTAGCTCTGCCAAGTTGAAATATGTGACTTCATTGCAGATTTGATCCTATATATAATCACTGTCAGGGTAAATGATGGCCACTGCACATTCATTCAAGATAAAAGATTGGTTGTTCCCTAGTCTGCTTCTAGTTTCCCGTGCATAAAACTGGAGATGTAAAACAAAAGGTTACAGAAAAAGAAACGTATGCAGCTAAAGATCATACCAATCACCTGGAAATCTGACACAATGTGCTGTATTCGCCTTTCCTTTCACCAATTTATCAACTGATCAATGGTAACTCTAAGATCAGTCTCAACAAATTGAAATCTCCATTGTGCTGTTAAATTTGGATACTAAACAGGACAAGGACTTACAGAAGTTGCCGCATGATGAAGGTACTCGCCTCCACGGACCACAAGGACAGCATACTGGCTGACCAAAAGGAACGATATCGAAGGAACAGAACAAAGACAGATAAAAGTCCTAGGATTAGAACTAGGAAGAGAAACTATGTAGTTTCCAAAGAATACACGTTAATTCCCAATAAACTTCTGTCATGAGTTTTCTCCCATTCTTTTCTTTATCTTGAACAGACTGCCATATGCAAAGACTATTATCGCTTTGTACAGAGAGTGTTTACCTCTGAATGCTCAATAACATGACCAGTCTCATCCTGCAATCTGCAGAGATGTATAAAGCGGCTTACGTCAAGATCCAATCTCAATCACCAGTGTTATAGAGTGTAGACAGCAACTAAGGAAACACGTTAATTGGTGGAACAATATCATGAACTTCCAAGGAATATGTTCATTAACCATGTCATTTGGCAAACTATAAACACAACTTCTTATAAAATATGCCCAACATCCGTGAGGTCTCGCATAGGCCACCAGATTGATCTAATTACACACAACAACTACAAGACAAGCAGCCAAACAAATTGAAGCAGTCACACTTTGAATCAGTACTGAGATATGATCACATGCCTTACACATTCCTTCACTACATCCGCATTAGCATCTGGTTCACATTTCCGCGTCTTGACAGAATACTCAACAGGTTTGTAAGCAACATCCTGGCCGTTTGTCATGCCACACACACAACTCCAAAGGTCAATTAACGCATCACTTGAATAGAAAGAAGGAAGCAAAATAAAGGACCCCAATAGAGCCAAACAACCTTGGTTGTTCTCTAGTGGGTTAGAAACCCTACATTACCCGAATATATGTAAGCTGGTAAAGTGCATAAGCAGGGGATTTGTGGATCGTTATCACTGGCGGCCTTCGCAGTGTTTGCATGTAATCGGTGGAATTCTCCTCCACTTCTACAATTTCAGCGACGATCGACGACTCTCTCCCACTCTTTAGAAATCGACAACCAATCAAAATTTCCGTAGTTCAGAACATCGATCGATTGAAAAGAGTGGAACGAGTGAAAACGAACGCGATTGAATGGAGAAACAAATTTTACTTACGGCGCCACTGGGGACCGCCATGTTGAGGACGATTTTACGAGTGCAGTTGAGTTCATCGGAATCGGAGCCCTTCTCGCACCGCTGAACCTTGGATTTGGAGAGGATTTCCACTCCTGCGGCGAAGAAGCTCGTCAGAACGACGAGCAAGCAACAGAAGGAGGGGATGCAGAGAGCAGAGTGTTCCATTTTCGCGGGGAGTGCGATTGACGGTTTTGCCTGGAGTAATTGGAATTGTGGGCGCTTTTGGTTGCCGTACGAAGTGGGGTTGGAAAAACCGCCAGGGGGGTTTGGCGGGATTTATTTCGAGTTCGAGCAGAGGAGAGGAGATAGATTATAAATATTTGGAATATTTAAATTGTCATTAACCTATATTATAGGGATGGCAATCAAACACGTGATCGCGAGTATCTGATCGTTTCCATCCAGTTAACATAAAAAAAAATTCTACATTGACTGTGTATAGGGTGGGTATGAATAAAATCCGCAAAAATTTTGATTGTATGGAGCGGGTATGGTTTTCGTCTCCCTTGTCACACCAATAAAATTTCTTCACATATGAAAAATACATGGATTGAATTGTAATTGATCAATGATCGTGAAGATAACTCAAGCAAATTAATAGGAGAAATGCAATTGAGTGGTCACCCAAATCTAAACTTAATTCATTTTCTTCAATTCTCCCTTCATTCTTTCATTTTTCCTTCTTGTTAACAAGATAATTATGTTAGTTAATCGTTACTTAGTAGATATATCGGAGTTAGAAACTAATGATTTGGAAAATATTATACTTTGTATTATTGATTCGTGGATGTTTTGGGATCAAATGAATTGAACTGTATTAAATATGATCGTATATTTGTCAACTTCATGATAGTAGGTATGTTTAGTGTTATCATTGAAAATTTACACATAAGGTATTAGGTATAATGATGTTGGATGTATGGAGTGGGGATTACCCACGGGCAGGGCCGTCCCATGATATTTGGAGGCCCTGTTCGAAAATTTAAAATGTGGCCCTAATTTTTTCCCCCATAAATTTATCAAAATTAAAAATTAGTAAATAATTGTAAAAAAATACTTAAGTTCAGAAAAAGATTACATCAGGAATAAACAATCTCATTTCTAGTTTGACCAAGAAACCAAGACCGAATTCCCAGCCCTAGTAGGGAGGAAAGTAAATCTGGAAGGAATAGAAAATGGATATAGCGCAAAAATTGAATGGAAAAATGAAAATAGTCTAAATTGATCGAGAGGTGGGTGCAGGGTTGTCTACTAGATCGTAGAGGCCCTATTGCAAAATCTAGACGTGGTCCAAATCGACCTTTAACTATAATAAAACTAAAATGATTATAATAACATTATTCAAAATGTAATCTCTTTCTATATTGTTTAAATTAAAATTATCTATTAATTTCCAGATTTTCGTATTCTCTATGAGATCCTTTTCAATTGTTATTATAGCTAAAATTATCTATTAAACACATCATCATACTCATAACCAATCAATCATAAACTAAAAATACAACCTACAATATACGATCGGTAACTAACGAATCTAAATAGAGGCCCCTAATATTCCGAGGCCCTGTGCCGGAGGGCAGGCCAGCACACCCTCTTGGCCGGCCCTGCCCACGGGTACGGGGATGAGTTTGCAAAACCTTCCACCGCATGATATGAGGCAGGTACGGATTTGGATATTTGAAATCAAGGATGGGGACGAAGATGGTTTAAGCAAACCTGCTCCATTGTCATCCCTAATAATCGGATATCTCATGACTGCGGCTACTTAAAAAAGAGCTAACATGCTCGCATTTTTTTTATGGTGTGGTGCTAATACTTGCTTAAGTCAATAAAAATATCATCTTTGTACACTTTTTTTATTGTTGTGGTGCTAATACTTACTTCGGTCAATAAAAATATAATGTGTTGGGTGACTTTTTAATTTAACTAAGGGGTCGTTTGGAAGTTGCGATTGTTTTGTTGAGATTGTCATTATGCATGTATTGTTTACAATGCATCGTTTTTTTGTTTTTTTAGCAGAAACAATACATGGATTGTTTCTGTGATGTGACAGAAACTATCACTCATTTTGAGTGATTGTTATATCTCAACTTTTAGTTGTGATTGTTGAGATAGTTGAGTTGAGATTGTTTTGTCTTGGCTTTTAGCTGATGCGACATACACAATCACACATACCAAACGTTGTATTCTACAACACATCAAATTCGACAATACATGTATAATATTATACATGTATTCTCAACAATACATCTATTTAACAATCGCAACTTCCAAACGACCCCTAAGTTCATCACAATTAATGAGAAGAAAGGATGGGGAGCACGCTTTGTATTATGACATTTGGGAGAAGTGAAGACCAACGTATTAAGGCATCAAATGAGGAAGGGGTGGTGAACCACCAACATAGATCACAAACACAAGAAACCAACCACGCCGCAAAAAAAAAAACCCTTAGAAAGGAGATCACAACCACACCACAAGTTAGGAAAGTATTTCTCAAGTTGCTTAAAATAAACCACAAGTCTCATGAAGCATACCACAACACAAGTCTCATAAAACATGTCACATATTTATTAAAGCAAGCACAAACCTTATAAGTGAGATCAAAACCTCATTACACCATAAGCTTTTTAAAGTATACCACAAGTTTCACGAAGCAAACCACAAATCCTGGACACCACAAGTTTATTAAGCAACCCACACGTCTCGTAAAGCAAACCACAAGTTTCGTAATAGTTGATCTATTTGTAGATGTTAAAAAGTTAACGTATCAAAATGTAGGAAGACAAAATTTTAGGTACTAATGTAAACATCCATTGTTTTTTCATGACTTACATGTGACAAAATATTAATTGTGTATACCAAATATTAAGATCTATTAAGTTCAAGTACCAAAATATAATTTTTTATGTGAAACTCCATGAAAACATCCACAGACCTTAGAAAGAGACCATAACCTCCCCACACCACGAGTATATAAAAGTATACCACAAGTTTTTTGAATCACGCAACAATGTCTCATGAAGCATACTACAAGTCTCATAAAGCATATCACAAGTTTCTTAATAGTGGACCTATTTGTATATTTTAAAAGGTTTAGGTATCATGATGCAAGAAAAACAAATTTTAGGTATTGATATGTACCTTTTCAATGATATATTTAGTACTTATATGTAAAAAAGTTAGGTACCAAAAATTAAGAGCTATTAAGTTCGGGTACCAAAATTGTAATTTTGCATATGAAACCTCATGGAAGCAACGTATATTAAGGGGTAAATCGTCTGCAAAGCATAGACGAGTGATTGAAAGTGATTTGCATGGGAGTGGTAAGGGATATGGTTCTCCCAATCTACATTCTTTAACAAACAACCAAAAACTTGAATAACAACTCTAAAAGAAGTTGGGAAGTAATGGACTTCCTTGTCTAACACCCTTCCCTATAGCAAAGTACCCACGCGATCCTCCGTTATTATGGGCATATTTGATTTGATGATTTGAAGTAATGATACGATAGTTTATAGTAGTGATTTTATGGTAATTGGTAGTGATAAAACATTTTTTTAATTAGCCATGATTAGCAAATTTTGATAAGAATTACCATAATTAATTATTACAGATGGCAAAATACTACTATATCCAAACAAAACAATAGAGACATCACTTATTTAACGGTCAAAGATGATAGTTGACCACCAAGTAGGACAAATTTAACAAAAATAGCCAACAATGAATCATGGCAGCAGGAGCTAACAGATCGAGGACGAATTTGGATTACTGGTCAAACTCGTTAGACATGATATGGTTGTTGGGAGAAGAAACAAGAGAGAATGGCGTGGATGGTGGAGATCGAGATGGGCGTGGCCTCAGAGATAGAGTAAGTGAGGGAGGGGTCCCCCTAACGAGGAAGAACCTGCGGCTGGAAGACGAGAAGTCGAACGTCGCATTGAGGTCATTGAAGGAAGTGATGACGTGGCGGTTTGCGGAGGAGGCAACATCGACAACGACGAAGAGGAAGAGATTGGCATTGGAAGTCTGGTAAGTGAAAGGCTGAAAGCAGATTTGTGAAAAATGGATGGGTTAAGATGGAGATGGAGAGGGCAGAGAATTCTTTTGCGAATTAATCGAACAATTAACTTACAGTCTAACATGTTGTTGTTGTCCAAACCACACCAAGTAGCTAATTTATGCAGCTTGGTTAGACCGCACAATTAGCTTGCTATCATACACAGTGGCGGACCTAAGGCAAGGACGACACACCCTCGCTCGAGAATTTTGCGAAGGACCTACATATTTTTGGTACATTTTTTTTATTTCGAGATAGCCGACACACCTTCAATAATTATAGCCGACACACCTTCATTATACTCGAAGAATTTATTATCCGAATAAATTAATTTTATTCATAATCCTTTTTAATTTTGTTTAAAATAACTCATAAATCATAATCCTATCAATTCCTATTAAAAAAAAAACTCTCAACCCATACAATATACATGCGTGATGGGCCTCGACCTATAATTAAAATAGAAAAAAAAAACCACAGGCCTAATGGCCAATAGCCCAGACGGCCACTAACTCTCCATCATTACATGTTGCAACGACAAGCTGCGAAAGAACATTTTTTAGCTATGAAGATAATCAAGAATGATCTTCGAAATAGGTTGAGTGACCAATTTATGAATGACTGTTTAGTTGTGTATATTGAAAAAGATTTTCTTTGCAGTATAAGTGATTAATGTATTTTAGAGACATTTAAGCAGATGAAAAGTCATCGTGATTCGTTGTAAACATGACATTGTGAACTTTATGAATTAATTTTTTTAAATTTCTACTTAATTTTAATTTAATTATTATTTTATTTTATCGGCGACACACCTCTCCGACAATCCTAGGTCCGCCACTGATCATACATGTGTTTCGGTTCTATTAATTTACCTATATGATCAACATGATTGCAGTCCATCCCTACCAAAACTGACAACCAGAAGGTTGAACAAAACAAAACCCTCGTTCAATGCTTTTTGAGTGATAAACATAGAGATTGGATTCTTTTTCTTCACCCCCAACCTGACCAATTGATCCGAAAAGTCCAACCAATTTAATCTGCACACTGAAAATGAACATTTTGTTGGTAAACAAGAAGCCAAATCACGAGTGGAAGAAGTCCGCTTGGCTTCCTTTTCCTTCTCACCACTGGAGTACTTCGGGATGAAGCAATTCCATTACGGGAAATCGCCGGTTAGTAATTTGCCCATTCCCGCCCTTTTTTATTTGTCTAGTCTGGGAGAGAAGATAGTATAACAACACTCTATCTATTGTCACCGTAACAACACGATTCATTAAGGGCAAAACTGGAAACTTACAATAAAAATAATAAAAATAAAAAATAACCTTGTACGCGTTTCCTCCTCCGTTCTCCATCGTTGTCGTTCTCCTCCGGCTGCATATGAGATCCCCAAATTTCAACTCTCCTCCGGCGGAGAAACCCTACTCCGGCGCCGACGAATGTCATGTACACAGAGACCGATTCTTCTCCAACGGCGTTTCTCCTCCGCGTCTCATCATCGACGGCTGATTTGCTCGGCACTTGAATCGCGGCTTGCGAGGCGGTGATGACGAAACCCAATGAATCAATTGTCGCAGACGACGAACAACATAAAGGGTTCTTCTGCTCCATCGATCTCGATTGACGGAATCTTCTCCGCATCACCCGCTGCGCCTTCTCCCACACCATTTATCCCTCGCCGATGACCTCTGTCGTTGTAGATCTGGTGAAGGCGCCGCCTCGCAGGGCAGCGACTGCAACTCTCCACCGAAACCCTTGGTGCCGATCTGGTGGTGGCTGGAATGCAAATAGCAGGACACCGAGTAGCTGTGGAGGGTTGAGATGTCATCTGTGTTGGCGCTGTCGACGTCGCCCGCGGCTGTGGGCGGGGCATTAGAACCTGAAATTGGAGCGGAGAGAAGATGAGGACTATTTGGGACTGCGGGGCTTGCTGAAGCCACTAGATTCTTCTTTTCTAGCCGATTGATTGTTGTAGTTTTTGCGTTCAATTTCTTCTCTGGACGGGTGTCTGGTTTATGCGGATTGGAATTTCTTCTTATAGAGGCGGAGGGAGGTTGACGTTGGGAAAAACAAGGAGATGGCCAGCGGAGCTGGTGAGGTGGTCGGATTCGTGAATCAAAGCTATGGGATTGAATCAACAGAAGTTTGTGATTGCCTGCAAGCGATTGGGGACAGAGTTTCGTTGAGTTTACCATTGCAGACATTCTAACATTGCTCTTCAAGCCACATCTATCTGTCCTTACAGAGTTACAGTGGTGCTTTCGTTGAGTTGCATTTCTCCTCATGCTCCACATTAGTTTGCTTTGCCGCTGCTGCACCTCAGTGATAATGGTCTTCGAACTTCGGCAGTGGATGATTGATGTTTATTTATGGCCTTTTCAACTTTGTCTAGCTAATTCTACTTTGTCCTTTCTGCACCGGTTGATGTGATAATGTTGAATGGTACTTGTTACTCGATGGTTTCTTATTAGATTTGTCTAAATAATATTATTTACAAACCACAAATCTCCTTAACCATACTAGAAACACTATAAAGCGTACAAAAAATGTTTCTAAAGCACACAAAAAACCTCCTAATGCAGACCATAAATCTTCTAAAACATACCAAGAAACCTCACAAAGCAAACCACAAATTTTTCATGTGCAGACCAAAAACACGATAAAGCAAACCAAAAAAAACATACAAGAAACCTCTCAATGCATGCCACAAATTCCCTAAAACAAACCATAAACACCACAAACCAACACCACAAATATTTTGAAAGCACACAAGAAAACTCATAACGCAAACCATAAACACCGTAAAGCAAACCACAAAAACAAACCAGAAACGTCCTAATGCAGACCAAAAATATATTAAAACAAACCAGAAACCTCACAAAGCAAACCACAGAATATAAAAAAACACACCAGAAACCTTATAATTCAAACCACAAACACGTTAAAGCAAACCACAAAAACAAACCAGAAACCTCCTAATGCATACCACAAATATCTTAAAACAAACCACAAACCCCTCAATGCAAAACACAAAATTTTTGAAAGCAAACCAGAATCTTCTCAATGCAAACCACAAACACGATAAAGCAAACCAGAAACTTCGTAATGCAAATCACAAACGCGATAAAGCAAACCACAAAAGGCATACGAAAATATGAGAAACCAAACCATAAATCTCACAATGTAGACCATACATCCGGTGGTCGTTGACCGTTGACCGGTCAACAAAGACCGTTGACCGGTCAACGAAGTTCGTTGACCGAACTCCGGTGACCGTCAGTCAACAGATTCCGACGCCGATAGGCATATTCCGGTCCTGATGACTAGATTCCGACGCCGGTAAGCATATTCCGACCGCGGTGAGCATATTCCGACCGCGGTGGCATATTCCGATGACAAAAAAGTATATTCCGGCAACAAAAAGCATATTCCGGTGACCGGCGACCATTTTCCAGCGACCGGTGGCAGAATTCCGGCAACCAAAATTTTGGCCCGAAAATAAAAAAATATTTTTTTATTTTATTTTTTATTATTATTTAAACATATTTTTCATAATGACAATTATACCCCTACTTTGATTTTATACTAGCTCAACTCATCTAATAAAAAGTCATCACAACCCTAGCTTCCTATTGGTTGGAGACTAGTGTTGTTACAATAACAACACAAGGGGTGTTGTCATACTAACCGGTCCCCTAGTCTAGTGAGAAACCAATCCGTCCTTCGAGTCGGGGAAAGGGAGATTGGTGTCGTCATCCCGCCCGCTGACGTAGAACCAAACCACATCCCGTTAGATCTCCTTTCCCGCGACTCCCTAATTCGTCACAAGCATCACCAACTCTACACCCGTCCTCACCCGATAGCACCTCCTTTGCGGCAGCGGACACGTGGCTCCATCCTGTCGCACTCAATCACTCGAGCTACACCAGCACGCTTTCTCACCCATTTCAATAATCTTGTAATTTTTCTTCTTTGAACCGATTTTTTTAAAGAAGAACTCCGCCACCGTCTTCTTCCCAGCTCTCCCACTTCCCACCAATTAAGTTACTATAAATTTCCTCCAGCCGAAGACTCCCAATCATCATGCACATCGCCGGCGATCACAATGGCGGTCGACGAGTCATCGGGAAGCGCTCTCCACAGGGCTCTCGTGGATCGGTGCCTGAGCCTGGAAGCGAGCCACTCGAGGCTGAAACAGGAGCTGTTCCATCTTCTGGAGGAGGACAAGTCGAGACGGAGGGACGACGACTCCAGATCAGGCGGGACCTTGGCGAAGAATGACAATCGTTCGGCGGAGTTGACGTCATTGACCGGAATGGTTACGACATTTTCCGGCCGGTCTTTCTTTCCCGGGTACTTCGTGGAGGGGACTCCTTACCGCCGGGTGCTCGAGTCCATGGGGCACGCTCTTCACGTATGCAGCGCTTCATCTGGACAGATCGTCTACTGGTAACCTCTTTTTCCTTCTAATGACCCCTCGCACGCTAAGTGTTTGTTGAAATTCCTCACTAGAGTCGAATTATCAATTAAGGCTTCACTTTAATCTTGGGCTTTTTCAGGAATCGTGCTGCTGAAATGCTGTACGGGTGGCAAGAGCACGAGGTCATCGGCCGGAGCATGGCCGAGCTACTTGTGGCTGAAGGGAACCATGCGTCCCTTGGGAAGATCTTGGAGCTTTTGAGTTTTGGGCGGTCGTGGTCTGGGCAATTCCCTCTTAGGAAGAGGTCGGGAGAGATTTTTATGGCATTGGTCACCAAAAGCCCAATGTACAATGACAATCAGCTCGCCGGGATCATCACGGTTTCAAGTGATGCGGCGGTCTTCAACAAGCACAATTTAGAGAACCTCAGCAATGTTACAATTAAAGACACCAACTTCAGGAGGATTCAGTGGCACCAACGCCCAGCCATTGCATCGTCAGTTTCTAATCTGGTGCTTAATATGTGATTTTATTTAACGCTTAATTTGTTATTGTATAGTTGTATTATCTCACGACATGGTTCTAAATCCGTAGCTTCTACTTTTGCATTTTCAATGTTTTGTTGGTTAAGGCTTCAAAGTTTTTGCCTAGAAAGAGCGATGATGATGGTAGTTATGATGGCCATTGGGGTTCCTGGGCTGATGCACAACCTGCAGCCATTGTCGAAGACCATCACTTTGGTTCACTAGTAAGTTCTTAGTTCACTCTCGGGTGGAACTTTTTGGGAGGAAGCGAGATTTGAGTAAAAAAAACTTTGGATGCAGGACCCAAGAGCTAGTAGTAATACCTGTCGTCAGAACGAGAAGAATGGCACCAACCGGAGTCGTCATCCAAAAATTGTACGACTTCTTTCCATTCTCTATTTATAAGTCCTGAAAACAGAGGGTTCTTTATTGTTTGGTTTACCAAAGTAGTTTGCTCCTCTATTTGGTTGCAGTTGCTGCAGGCAGCTAAAAAGTTGGCAAGTTTGCGCATTGGAGGGTTCAATGATAGTAGTAAAAATGACGAAGAGAACGGTCAACATTATAATGGTGGTGGTAGTTCCGTTAACAATGGGGCTTTCAAAAACACTAATCATCATCGAGGATCAAAAGCATCGGTATATGATCACTGCTCTGTCAATGGCAAGGCTGAAGCAAAGAGTCCTCCTAAACACGAAGGAAACTCTTTGGTCCCTATTAGGAATTTTTATAATATTTATGGACGGAGCAACCGATATCCTTCAGAAGAGATGTGTGTGTCAACCGCTGTGGAGGAAGGAAATCAATTCCAGAAGCTGAATGATGCAAAGGAGCAGACAGAGGTAGACCGGGAACCCTTGGAAACTGAAGAAGATGAAAGAGGCCGAGGATCAAACGGGGAACAGGTCTCATGTGTTGTGGGGAGCAATGGCATTCGCGGAAGGTCCTCGAGTAAGGGCGATAATGATTCGAGTTCAAAGGTAGATTGCGAGATTAAATGGGAGAACCTTCAATTAGCAGAGGAGGTTGGGCAAGGTAAGCCTCTAAAGTTATTATTAAGGTTCGCTTCCTTGGGATGAGGGTGTTCTCTGGAGCTCTGAGTTTTCTCTTCTTCCTATTTGCCCTTTAGGTGCATTTGCCGCTGTCTATCGAGCAATCTGGAATGAATCGGTATGATATGCTTGCTACGACTGTGGAGCAGGTGGATTTGCTATTATTCTGAACTTCAACATTTTATCGTTAACCCACATTTTCATTTCCATGCACCAGGATGTTGCTGTCAAGGTTTATTTTGCTAGCGACTATAGAGAAGAAACATTACATGAGTACACGAAAGAGGTGCTTTAACCGCTTGACTTGTAATATAAGTTTCCGGGTTTACCTGCCAATTGAAGCCTCTCTTTATTCAAGCTTCTTGTATTGTATCAGATTGAGATAATGAAGAGGCTTCGACACCCAAACGTGTTGCTTTTCATGGGTGCTGTGTATTCACCACAACGACTGGCCTTGGTCACAGAGTTCTTGCCAAGGTAAGTAATGGACATGTGCTCTCCCAGCTGGTGTCGGACGTCACCATCTTCTGTGCTGCTGTTAAATGATTTTGCAAATCTTTTCCTCATGGCAGGGGAAGCCTTTTCAAGACACTTCACAGAAACAACCAGACTCTGGATATCAAAAGGCGGCTCAAGATGGCTCTGGACGTTGTAAGCTATACTTCAAGTCTTCAACTATTAGTGCTACTTAGGTTTCCTAAAGATAAAGGGTCATTTGATGTGCACTTTGCACGTCTCAATATCTTGCAGGCTAAAGGGATGAATTACTTGCATCATAGAAACCCACCAATTGTGCATAGAGATCTAAAATCTTCCAACCTGCTTGTTGACAAAAACTGGAATGTCAAGGTAAGCTGGGCTAACGAACCATTCTGGTAATGCAAGTTTTCTAGTGGCCAAGGGGATTAAACGACTGTTTTCTGCGTTAGGTTGGGGACTTTGGTCTGTCGAGGTGGAAGCATGCAACCTTCTTGTCTGCAAAGTCAGGAATAGGAACGGTAATGGGTCTCTCTCTGCTGCATTGAACTCTTCGCTATTAATTAGTTGCTTAGTCATAGCACTACTTGAGTAGGAACTTCTCTTGCATAATGTCCAATTGAACTTTTTCAATGCAGCCTCAGTGGATGGCACCTGAAGTCCTCCGCAACGATCCTTCGAACGAGAAGTAAGTAACTTCCCAAAGAACCCTCAACCATGATCTTTCAGTCCATTCTATATGCAGGCGCTGGATCATAAGGTTTGCCTTTGGAATACGTATCCAGGTCTGATGTCTACAGTTTCGGGGTCATCTTGTGGGAGCTAATGAAGGTCTCCATCCCATGGGATAAACTCAACTCCTTGCAGGTCTCTACTCACTCACTCACTCTCTTATCCGTCTAGAGTCTAGACCCAATTTTCATTTAGAGGTGGCTTGGCTTTAGTGGTTTGGTTTCTGTACTGTAACTCTTGGCGCAGGTGGTTGGAGTGGTAGGGTTCATGGACAGAAGACTGGAACTGCCTGAAGGTCTGGATCCCAGGATAGCTTCCATTATCCAAAACTGTTGGAAGAGGTAACTTCATTAATTTACAAGCTCAACAGATTCTGCTAAGTTATTAGTTGTTTGTGGGATAAGCTACTAACAGCTTTTGTGGTTCCCCGATTGGCGGCTGGAAAAACACCACCACCGTCAGTGATCCGCAGCAACGGCCGTCGTTCCAAGACCTCATTCGCCAAATGACGAGCATAAGTCATCGCGCTGTGGCAGCGCAAGTTCAGAGAGCAGCTACTGAGACGTAGGAACATAATGTACCATTTTTACTTAAATATCAATTCACCTACACGCCTGCGGACCTCATGAACGAGGAACGGGCGTCTGTGCAGGTGAAGGGGTTACATCTCACATGGCGGGCTATGAGAAGGACATGAATGCTTATCTTACTTGTCGACGAGTCTGGCGTTGGGTGAATCGGCTCGGGCGGTTTGGGAGAGTGAATGTTGCCGCTCCAAGCTCCTCCGAGGGAGAAGAGGTCTTTCTTTTTGTTTGTTTTCCCTTCCTCGGGTTGTAACTTGTAACAAAAGAAAAGACGGCTAATAAAGAATGGCGGATCGCAATTTGTGCTCTGTAATCTCTGCGTACTGAGAATGTTGAATCGTAATGGCAGAAGTTCAGTTGTCAAATGGGATTTGGCATTTGGATGAGGGTGCTTGGACCGGAAACATGAAACGTAAGTACGTAACAGTGCATGTAATTTTTCTTCTGATTTCATGGAAATATATCCAAATGTTCTTGTCAGGCCCGAGAAAATAAAGAAAGTGAGAAGAGAAGGGTATAGATAGTGAAGAACGGAAGATATTGCAAAGAACCAGCCTTTGGGTTAAATCTAAAGAGTAGAGCGTGAGGAAGGCTAAGAAGTGAAAGTAGGTGTGGTAATTATCAATCCTATGTATTAATTCAATCCACCAATTCAATTCATTGTGGAAGGGTAATTTGAGCGTTATTTTTGGTTTATTTGATAGAGAAGTGTACTGATGGATAAGTTATTTCTAGTTCGCTGAAGAAACTTGACAAGGAACTAGTACTTCAATTTTTACTCCGGGTGATTTCTGGTGCTCACTAGCTACTTAATAATTATTTTGCTTGTATTTCTTGGCTCGCAAGTATCACAAGTGTCTATCTCTAGCTAGCTTTGGTCATCTCCATGTTTAGGGCTGTCCATTTGGTTTTAACCGAAACCAAACCAATTGGAAAGCTAATGGTTTCAGTTTTTTGGTTTTAAACCAATAAGCAACTTAATGATTTTGGTTTGGTTAAAACCGAAAAACCAATAGAAACCATTACGAAACCAATAAGAATAAAATTATTTATCAACAAATTTTTTTTTTTGTTTCTTTTGACACGCATGCCAACCAATAATTTGTTATGGCCATTTACCATTATTATGACGTCTATTCAATAAAAAGAAAGGAAATAGGAATAAATATGAGTGTATGAGTACATGTTGGTTTTTTAGTTATCCAACCAAAAACCAATAAGAGCCTTAATGGTTTTGGGTTTTGGGATTTGGTTTTTTATTTTTGTTTTTTCATACTTAATGGTTTGGTTAACCAAACCAAATCAAATTGACAGTCCTATCCATGTTGGAGGAATGTGCAATGGTCATGATCGATCGGGTTTTCTAATGGGACAACGTTTTGGGCAATGCTTGATTCTCTTGGACAGTTAGACTTTGCTAGTCGTCAAGTCGTGTGATGATTGAATTTTTTTTTTTGCAAATGCACAAAGGTTATAACATACGTGTAAGTCAAGTAAACATGCAAACGCTAGTCAAATACTTATGGGCAAGCACTGAACGGATTTTTCTATACAAAGTTATGCCGAGTAAAAATGGCACCTTCCTCAATTATTTTTTAAATTTGCGTTGGAACGAATGCTATGTTAACAAAATAAATACCACATTGTTTCGTACCAAAAAAGAAATACCAACACTGTACCATATGTCTGTCCTGCACATAATAGATATCATATATTAGTTTTAGCAACGTGCATTCTGTTCTGACCCATCACAAATATGATGTTTTGGAGTCTTGTAAGCATGCTGCGACACATCATATATCATCCGGTTGCCTTGGCCTAACAAGACGAGTGTTGTCGTACTCAGCCTGGTTTTAGTGTGCGTTTTGTAGGACGAGAGAACAATAGAGTAACTCATCTGGTAGTTAGGAAAACCCTTTCTTTGTATTCGATTGTGAGTCGTTTCTTTGATTTTCAGACCTGGTTGGTATCAAGAGTATTGAGCAGATAATATCTTTTCAAAAAAAACATAATATCTTTTTGACAAAAAAATAACAAGACGAGTGTTGAGCAGATAATGTTGACTATTTCACTCCTACAGAAAACGTTCACACCCTTGTTAGTTAACCGTCCATGTGAAGCCAAGCAATCACTTCTTTGCGTTTCGTTGTTTGTGGGCTTTGACCAGGTCTCTGTTTTTTGACTTCCCTCTCAGTCAGTCAGACATCATATATTATCCAGTCACCTAATTCTCCTACCGAGCACCTGCCACGGTCCCCCATGACAACGCACGTGGCACAATCACCACGGTTAGTTGCGCCAAGACGTGTACGATCGGAGAGTAAACTAATCAGGATAGATGGTAGAGATGTGAAAGCCTTTTAATTTATCATCTCCACTTTCAGCCGTCCGATCTTAAAGTACCCGAACCCACCGACCAATACACTTGCTCCTGACCGTAGCGTATCCTTGTACGTCTCACCCTCCCTTCCCTTCTCTTATTAAAATAAAATATAATGTGCTTTTTTACCATAGTCACTCACGTGAGCTGTGAAAGTTACGGGCGGGGGATAGCGATCTACCGAGTTGACGTAACGTTGCAGTCAATCTTCTCTTTTTTTTTTTTTACCTTGGGCAATGGGTAATCCAGAAGCATCTATCACTGTTCCATCCCAGTGCCAATAGATCTTTTCTTATATTTTTGTTTCCTGCAAAGAAAGATGGCAGACGAACGAGAACCAGATTGACTTTCTATGAATGATTAGCAGTAGCTAGCTTTTTTTTTTTTTTTTACCAAAGATGAACTTTATTCCACTCTGGTGAAACCAAAAACGGCGGTTACAAGGCTAAAGGAAATCGGAAATTAGATCAAGAATACTAATCCAGTCATCTGGGAGTGAATTTCTTGCCAAAGACCTGGCCACCCAATCAGCTCTAGCATTAAACTTTCTATGAACAAACCTGACCTCAATGCGATTTGAGGCCTGAAGGATCGATTTCATGGATCCCATCCATGCCGCTCCCCTCCATGGCCATCTCGCTTTGTCCTGTCTGAGAGCTTGAACAAGATTAAGACAGTCTGATTGGACAATACATTCTCCTCCATATTCTTGGGCTAATTTGAGACCTTCCAAAAGCGCCTTCGCTTCAGCTTCAAACGGGGTGGAACAAAGTAAAATGTCAGCTCGCCCATCGCATACTTGTCCATGGTGGTTAATAACAACAACACCATAAGCCGCCGGCTGGGAGTCGCTTATGAACGACCCATCACAGTGAATCACCATGTGGTGATTGCTTGGCGGTGGAGAAGGATGAGGTAGGTTATCCCTGAGCTGAACAGAAGATGTTTGGACATGAGGTTGGGATAGTCTCGGGCACGATGTCCATTCGGTGAATTCCCTGACGGTCTGCCTACAGGTATTTGGGGGCCACGGGATACGATTCTTGAAGGCACGCTCATTCCTTGCTTTCCAGATATTCCAGCAGAGGTAGACAATCAAGATGAGACTATTGGGCTGCACACTGTCTTTCAATGAGCAGAACCAATCAAAGAAGGTGGTGGATTGAGGTGGAAGTGGAAGAGATGGGAAAATGTTGTTCCACGAAGATAACGCATGCTGGCACTCAAACATGCAGTGGACGATGGATTCAAGTTGATTTTGGCAAACCGGGCATGTCGCATCCGGAGAGCATTTACGATGCCTCAACCTCTCTTTCGTGGCAATCCCATTCTTTGCACATCTACAAATGAAGAAAATGAGTTTCGGGGGCAGCTGTAGAGACCAAATCCATTTCCACTTATCAGAATTCCCTGGCGGCGCAGTGATGGTGTTGGTCTCATGGATCGCGTGATACGCTGATTTGACAGTGAAATTGCCCTCATTATTAAATTTCCAAGCCCAAAAGTCCTCCGAATCCTCTTCCCCAATAGGGATTCTCAAAATAGCTTCCAATTCATCCTCCGTCACGTTTCCCTGAATGAGGTTTGAGTTCCAGATCCTTTCTCCCGGTTCAATCCACTCCTTGACTCTGATGTGGTTCTGAGGGCCGCTTCCAATAGTCCCCTTCTGAAGGGTAGGGACCCACGGATCCTTATCCACCCATGTTTCCTCACCTGATCCAATGACTTTTACCGTTCCCATCTCAATAACTTTTTTGGCCTCCCATAGGCTCACCCATATCCAGGAAGCTAGCAGTAGCTAGCTAGCGAGCGGGCGTCAACTCTGAAAAAAATTCAAAACTACCACTGATTAAAAAAAAAATTACAAAAATACCACCCACTTCAAATAATTTCCAAAAATATCATCCTTTATTTAAAATCGTGCCTCTAAGGAGCGGTTTTTACTAAAACTGCGCTTCCAGGAAGCGTTTTACATAATAACCGCGCCACGGAAAAACGTTTTTAATTTCCAGAACAAAACGCTTTTGGAAGGAGCGGTTATAGGCTAACCCTACCACAAAACGCTTTAGGAAAGAGCGTTTAAGTCTCGGCATTACAAACCGCCTACCCAAAGGGCGGTTTATAGTGTCAGGAGACAAACCGCTTCTCCAAGCGGCGTTTTATAATGTCAGGACACAAACCGCTGCCCCAAGGAGCGGTTTGTGCCTGGTCACCCGACAGCCAACATGTCGGCATGCAGGGGGTAGGGCACGTAGGGCTTCATGGCAGACCTAAAACCGCTCCCCCCCCAGCGGTTTTGGTGCAAAATTTGCCTATAAAAGGCGGTTTCAGAGAACTCAATTCTTCACACCTCCTCCTCTTCCTACTTAAAATTTCAGCTTTAAATTATTTAGTTTTTGCGATTAACGTTAATTCGTAAGTTTGTTTCGTAATTACTTTTCATTGTCCTTTGTGATTTTATGTTAGTAACTTAATTACTTTTCATTGTCCTTTGTGATTTTATGCTAGTAACTTAATTACTTTCCATTGTCATTTGTGATTTTATGTTAGTAACTTAATTACTTTTCATTGTCATTTGTGAATTTATGTTAGTAACTTAATTACTCTTCATTGTCCTTTGTGATTTTATGTTAGTAACTTAATTACTTTCCATTGTCATTTGTGATTTTATGTTAGTAACTTAATTACTTTTCATTGTCATTTGTGATTTTATGTCAGTAACTTAATTACTTTTCATTGTCATTTATGAATTTATGTTAGTAACTTAATTACTCTTCATTGTCATTTGTGAATTTATGTTAGTAACTTAATTACTTTCCATTGTCATTTGTGATTTTATGTTAGTAACTTAATTACTTTTCATTGCAAATGGCATTCCAAAGGTTCACGCTTGGGTTGCGGTGGAATGGTTACACGGAAGAGACCGAAAAGGGTGTAAGTTACGTCGGTGGCAATTTTTATAAAATGAAGGTCCGTACGAGACCGATGCTTGAAGAGCTCCATCAAATGTGCACTCAGATTACCTGCATGGATGGCACTAGAAGAGTTGATCGAATGGTGTATCGATATCCAAACAGACATCACGGGTCGCTGTGGCATGAGGAATTCCTCCTTACCACTCAAGAGGACGTTGATGCCATGGTCCAATTTTTGACCACCAATAAATTAAGCAAGCGGAGATGTTCGTTTACACCGAGGTCGTCGAAGGCAGTGTAGGTCATTCTGGAGATGGCCAAACATCTGGTATCCACGGTGGGAGTGTATTATACGAAGATCATCCCCACCAGGATTTCCAAGAGTCGAGCTGGAGGCAGGAGTATCATCATGGTACTGGAGGAAGTCATCAATCCTTCCCTTCATATGAAGAAGAAGCTCAACAGGCGGATTACAACCAACAAGCAGGCTACCAGTACCCACCCGACTACAACTTCTATCAAAGCGGTGTTAGTTACCACAACTACCATTACGGAGCTAGTGAAGGTGAATGTGCCTTTCATGCTGGTAGTCAGATGGAAGAAGAGGTCAATCCAAGTCCAGTTAGTGACCCTGAGGTTGAAGAAGAGGAAGGCGAAGTTAGTGCTGACAGCGACGATCCGTTGGAGGGTGCTGATGATTCCGGTCCAGATTCAGACGCAGATGGTGATGAGGTAGCTCACGACCGTGTACCTATTCCATACTACAATCACATTCAAAGTGAAGATTGGTATGTTGATGCCGACATGGACCCGCCAGATGTGCCAGTATGGGGTCCACTAACTGGCTTTACGAAGGGCCAACAATTTGCAACGAAGAATGAGGTCCGACACGCTATTTCCACTGAAGCAATGACTCGGAGTTTTGAATGGCAAACAACCCATTCCGACACAAAGAGGCTGCTGGTTCGATGCAGAAATGAAAATGAGGGATGCAAAGCTAGGGTTCGGGCTATCAAATATACATTATCTAATAAATATTAATATTAACATAACTAAAGTAATATTCGAAATTTAAGTATAAATATTTTTTGTACACATACACATAAAATCAAATATATTATTTTGTTAATCGTATTAATTATTTTCAATAATTTAAAGCAATACAAGTACACTCGTAAGACTCTTAGGAGATGTATACATCTCCTTAGAAACACAGTCCTTTTGACAGAAAAAGGGGGGATCCGAGGATCGCTTAGAACCCGATTTTCCCTGATCATGGGGGGATCATGATGATCGCTTAAGTCCCCATTTCCTTAGACATGCATTTCTTTATAACAGAGTCTCAATAAGTGTTGTATTGTATTGATTTAAATTATTAAAAATAATCAATACGATTAACAATTAAGTAAATTATTGTACAACAAATAAATTACTTTAACAAAATACAAATTACAAGTGATGATAAATAATATGTACCTTGTGGTTGTTCCAAACGTCTCTTGAACGATGATTTGCTTGATCGTATAAAACTGTCGGATCAATCGGTCCTTGATCAACATAATATCGTTGATTGAAAATATCAACATTCTGCCCAACCTACGATAGCATAACAATAACATAAATCATTAGTATATAAATTAAATAAATCATTATAACAACAACAACAATTGGGAAAAATGAGTACGTACCGTTTGATAATCATCATAAAAAAGACCCTCTTCTTGAGCGAAATCGGCCATTCTCTCGGAATCCGAACAGAGGTTCGACGGTTTTTTAGTGAAAACCAAAGAAAAAGTATTTTGGAGGCAGATCGGACTTAGCCGCAACCAACAAAAAAACTAATTCTAAGGTTGGGTGGGGAGGGGTTGGGTAGAGAGAAGTTAGAGGGAGAGAGGGGAGTGTGGTGGATGGTGTGCAGAAAAGAGAAGAGGGGGGGGGGGGGGGTTTATAGATTTCAAACCGCGTGGGGGAGGGTCGGTGGAATAATTTCTCACCACCAAAAACCGCGCCCCCAGCACGCGGTTTTAGTTTCCCGTCGGTCAAACCGCGCATCAGGCATGCGGTTTTAGTTTCCCTACGGTCAAACCGCGCATCGGGGGAGCGGTTTCATTTTCCCAACGGTCAAACCGCTCCTCGGGGAGGCGGTTTCTGTGGACGACACGGATTGCTGACTTGGCACACGTTTTATCCGTCTAAACGCTCCTCCGATTGGCGGTTTGATGCACCGCCACGTGGCAACACGGTTTGACAGCCATGCAAGGTCAAACCGCGCCTTGAGGGCGCATTTTTCTTTGTAACCGCCGCCTGGAGACGCGGTTTTATATAAAACCGCTCATTAAATGAGAGGTTTTTAATAAATGATGGTATTTTTGGAAATTATTTGGTCTGGGTGGTATTTTTGTAATTTTTTTTAAACGGTGGTAGTTTTGGATTTTTTCCGTGAACTCTTTTCCACATTCCCCATGCAATTGAGAAACTTCTGACGCCCGGGCCGGGCATTCCCAAATTTTGCTGGCTAATTGCTTACAAGGTCTTTCTTTTTTCTTTTCTTTTTACAGTGTAAAATTCTCTTGCATTTCATTAATGGTAGAGGTTACAGAAGCGGTTACAGAGAGGTGCTCGAAATAAGATCGAGAATTGTTAACCATTCACTTGGGAAATTAGACTGGACGTGGGATCTAGCAATCCAATCAGCTCGAAAGTTGTCCTTCCTGCTTGTGGAACTGAGCGTTGGATGAGGGGTGCGGTTTTGAGGGTTTCAACAATCATCCCAATGATAGCCGAGCATGTCCATGGCCAGTCCGACGGTGGTTTGGTCAAGGAGTTGATGATGGTAAGACAATCCGACTTGATCGTGCAAGCCTAGTCTTATTAGTGTTGATCTCATGAACATTGAACAGCAAACTTGTAACTCTAGCTAATGAAATGCATATATGTTGCGTGTAATTTATATGGCTGTCCGTATTGATAGTGACTGCATCAGCATGCTAAGTTTTTCTTCGGTTAATCTAATCGTCGGTTCCCATATTTGAATCTAAATATAATGGACTTTCTCATTTCTATAGCATAACTAGTCCAGCCTCTAACTCTGTAATTAGGTCATTGCTATGAAATTTAGGGCTAGTTTACTTTGTTTAAATTGCAATACTTATAATGGGGAGAGGATAGGGTGCTAACTATAGTTAGCATCATACTAACCACTCTAATCACTGTGTATTAGTTTAAATCGAATCTAACGGTGGGGAATAGTAAAGGGCTTCTTTGGTATTTGATAAAATTAAATCGAATCTGACGGAGGCTTTTAAACCGTCGCGAGGGTTGCGGCAAGGCTGCCCCTTGTCTCCTTACATCTTCACTCTATGTATGGAGAGATTGGGACATCTGGTCAATGCAGCGGTGGAGGAGGGGAAATGGCAGTAGATTAAGCTTTCAAGCCAGGGATCAGTTCTCTCGCATCTATTTTTTGCTGACGATCTAATCTTATTCAGTGTGGCCTCTTTGGAACAGGTCCAAGTCATTCTCCAGTGCCTTGAAGGTTTTTTTTTTTTTGACAATTGGTTAAATTTCATTCCTGAACGATTGTGGTACAAGCTTTGCCAATTACAGGAGAGGAGAGATCAAATCAAGAAGATGAATCCACTCAAGAGGGAGGGAGCCGCTCCTTGTTTCCTTGGCGACCCAATCGGCACATTTGTTGTTCCTGCGATGAGTAAAGGCGACACGAATAAAGGCATTCTGCGCAAGAATCTGCTTCATACAGTGGATCTAGGCTTTCACTTGCCAGGGCCAGGATCTGCTCCGACCGAGTAAAATATTGATGATAACCAGGCAGTCGGAGAAGATGACAGTAGGCAAACCCGAATCCTGAGCCATTCTCATGGCAATCAACAAGGCTTTAGCTTCCGCAACAATCGAAGAAGAACAAAACAAGGTCCCAGCCTTTCCGTCAATTACTTGTCCATGATGATTGCGAACGACAACACCATATGCCGCCACCTGTGATTCCGAGACAAAAGCTCCATCACAGTGAATCTCCTGTTGGAGGAGGGAAGGCGGTGGATCAATTCTTGAACAGGATGGGGGAGGCTGGGGAGGAGAGGAGGTAGACGGCAGTGGGAGGAGGCCACTCCACTCATTGAAACAATCAATGGCTTTAGATAAGGTGGGGTGAAGGAGAGGACGAGTGCCACCAAAGATCCATCCGTTGCGAGCGTTCCAGATGGCCCATAAGATAGCAATCACAGCCACCATTGAACTAAAGGAGATCACGTCATTAAGATGGAAAAGCCACATGAGGATAGGGAGAGAAGGGTGGGGGAGAGGGATGCCAGCGAAGCTTCTTTGCCAAATGAGCACTGCATGTGGACAACCGAAAAGGCAATGCCACACATCTTCAATCTCCTCTTCACAGAGAGTGCAAACCGGAGAGGTGATCACCTTGCGGAACCAAAGATTTCTTTTAGTAGCCACCGCATTCCTAGTGATCCTCCAAATGAAGTTCTTGATCTTGGGAGGTAAGGACAAGCTCCAAAGCCATTTCCACGCTTTGGACGTACAGTCTGGGTGGTTAGGATCCTCTGAACCTGTCCTGTTTCTTTCGCTGGTTCTGAAAAGATGGTAAGCCGACTTGACTGAAAAGGCACCCGACTTCTCAGGATACCAAACCCATGAGTCTTCAAGGTTGTCCATGCCAATCGGGATTCTCTTAATAGCCTCCACTTCGTCTGGAAGACAGGTTTGCTCAATAAGATCAAGATTCCAATCTCTTCCATCATTCATAATCCATTCGAAAGCCTTCAATTGTTGTCTTTGATTTTGCTGGAGTTTAAAGCCAGGTAGGGTAGGGATCCAGGGATCATTGTCAATGTCAATGCTTCTGCCATTCCCCATGTTTTTCCTTGCACCAAGCTTTAGAACCTCCCTAGCCTCACAGATGCTAGACCAAATCCAAGAGGGTTTTCTACCTTTACCTGCATTCATGAAGTCAGAGTTAAGGAAATAAAGGCCTTTAAGGAGTCTCACCCAGGTTTCTTGATCTCCATTGAGAATTCTCCATCCTTGTTTGGCAAGGAGGGCAAGGTTGAACTGATGGAAATCCTTGAACCCCATTCCTCCTTCATGTTTAAGGGCAGTAAGGACACTTCCTTTTCTCCAGTGAATCGATCCTTTGTCCATATTTCCTCCCCAGAAGAAAGCCCTCAAACGCGCATCCATAATTTTTGTTGTTCCTTTTGGGATGAGGTAACATGACATCAAATAAGTAGGATAGCTTTGGTACACAGCCTTGAGAAGAGTCTCTTTTCCAGCTTGAGAAAGAGCAAGGCTCTTCCATGATTGACCCATGTTCTCCATTCTAGCGATGAGCCCCGCAAAAACTTCTTTTTTTGATCGTCCCCATTCAGTTGGGACTCCAAGATTTCCCCATTCCGTTCGCGCAAGGCATACCCATGAAATTGGATAAGAGAGTCTTAAGGGCTTCAGGAACATTGGAGCTAAAGGTGATTGCTGATTTGTCGTTGTTAATAACTTGTCCTGTCATGCTACCATAGTCTTCAATGACTTTCTTGATGATGATAGCTTCAGACATAGAGGCTTTCCCAAACAGAATAGTATCGTCTGCAAACAGGACATGGGTGAGACGAGGACAAGAAGGGGCAAGGGTAATGCCTTGGATGCTACCATTATCCACATTTTTATTAACAAGGAAAGACAAGGCATTAGTTAAGAGAATGAATAAGAGAGGAGAGAGAGGATCTCCCTGCCGAATGCCTCTGGTTGGCACAAAGAAAGGGGAAGGGTCCCCATTGAACATAACAGAGAATCTCACTGTCCTGATGCATTCCTTCACCCAGGAACACCATTGATGAGAGAACCCCATAGCATTCAAGATCCCATCCAGACAATCCCAATCAACCATATCGAAAGCCTTGAAGATTTTGGTGCAGCCTCTGGACAACAATCTAATAATAGTTGTTTCATAATTTTCAGTAGTTATTTTGTTATAATTAGTAGTGATTTCATGATTACCTAAAGTGATTTATTATCATTAGTAGCCTTTTTAATTACTAATTGACGATTTTTAGTAAGAGCACTACCAAAAACAAAAAATCACTACAAATAAACAAATACGACTATAACTACACAAAACACTACTACTAATTAACAAATGTCACAGCTTATTACAATAAAAATCACTACAACAACGTATTAGAAACACTACTACGTACACAATCACTACTAATAATAGACTAACATATATGGGAAAAGTTTCCTTTTATTCCATGAAATTTCCTGATCTGGACATATTTGTGCGACCCCAATTGCGGAAGAATCGAAAACCTAACGGTTCCTCCAGATCATCCCTCCGTGGGAGGTCTCAGGATTTGTGATCCGCGTCTGGTTTGGTGGATCTAGTAGAGATTCACGTTTGGAAGCAACTGGTTTTTGACATGATATTAGAGTCTTCTATGACCGTGAGGTCTTCTGTTCGATTCCCAGTGACCCCATCTGTTTCTGTTCCGGACCTGTGTCTGTCCAAACTCCAAACCTATCTAAATGGCTTGAGTTTGAAGGGGGTGTTAGTTAACGGTATATGATTCACGATTGAACCTCTCCCAACAACTCGAGTTATTGAGATCAACTGGTTCTTGACATGTTCCGATACATCTTCAGAGGCTTGGACTATCAAGAAGCGTCGGCGGACTAGGATCATTATTGTTGCTATTTGCAGAAGGAGAGGGAAGGGAAAGTTGGTGGCCGACGTCGGAAGCAAAGACCAGCGGAGGAGGAGGGAGCAGTTTGTATGTTGGCGGCCGGACAAAGATTAAATTAATTACACAATTCAAGCTTGGTCATTGACCGTTAGTCTCCGTTAACTTTTGCTAATGTGACAGTCAACTCTCATAATTAACCGTTAAATAGGTGATGTGGCAATTAAAAAAATATAAATAAAATTTAATCTCACTGGCGAACAGCCGAACAATATATCCATCGACGTGGCACGGCGACCGAGTCTCGGAGACGATGTAATCAACCAATGAACATTCAGACAGCGGCGAAATAGACGGAGGCAAGACTAGAGCCTTAATCAAGTTTCCCAATCACGGCAAAAGAATAATCCCACTGTTGCAAAATTGAAGCCCAGATTCTTGAGCTTTTGCTTGGTACTTGTGTGCTCGAGGTCGGAGTGGCCGTTGCCATATTCGACGATGAGACGGTGGACTGCTCGTGGTCGACGATGTGGCGGATAGCACATAGTCGACGATTTCAATTGCCTAAATGTTGCTGCTTTCAGCTAGCTTCGTTGTAGTGTCATAGTAAGACATACACAACATATAGTCTACAAGAATTCGCTTCAGACGCGTGTTGCTCCATTCTATCAAATTCTCAGCATCTGCTGATTCTAAATGGTCAAGACGAGCTCGGCACATTTGTGCTTGCAGGTTCTCAGTACGACTACCTTCTTCCAGCTGAACCAAATTAAACACACCACATCATTACCAATTTACTAAATTAATTAGTATGTTTCACATCTTCAAGAAAACCATAGCTTCAATCGGAAACAAAGTAAAAGTAAGAATCCCAATTTTAATTTTATGCCTTCACCTTCCTCTTGAGCCCTGCAATCTAGAGACGAGGGAGGTGAGTTGTTGGACGGCATCGTCCTTGGTTAAATCGGAACCAGCGGCTTCATTGACGCTGGAGACGACGGAGGAGATTTCCTTCCCGACGGTGCGATGATTGGCGCAAATCGTCTTCTTGTAGTGCTCGAAAGGGACGCGGGGGCAAACTGGTGCTCGAGCTTCAAGGATTCTGTTAGTTGCGCCAGGTTTGACGACGGAGCGGGGGTGTTGCGATTAATAAACCGTGTCAGTCATGGGTCTCGTTGGGTCTTGTCCGAGTTGTAGTGGGTACGGATAATTGGTCGTACTCGGTTCTTCTCGTTAGGGTTTCAACCCTAAGTGTTTCTCTATAAAAGCTTAGCTATGGTTCTGTCATAAGCAAGCCGTCACAATGTAGTCATTCAATAAAATGTCAGCTGTGAGCTCTTCCGAGCTCACCGTGGATTAGTCTCGATCAATCAATCGATCGAGGATACCACTTAAAACTCTTGTGTTCTGTGTTCGTTTCAATTCCGCGTTATCAAATTCTTCAGGGGTAGTGACGATAGAAGCAGGATGGACGGTGAGAGGGTCGGCGGCGGGAGAGTTGCCGTTGGGAAAGGGATGATCGATTTCCATCGCTCCAATGGCTTGTATTTACAATTCAATTTTTAATTATTTGATAATAAGATGGAATTCTTAATAAATTAAATTTTATTATTTGTTTATTTTTTAATTGTCACATCACCTATTTAACGGTCAATTATGAGAGTTGACTGCCACCTCAACAAAAGTTAACGGAGACTAACGGTAAGTGACCAAACCTGGACTGTGTAACTAACTTAAGTGACTACGGATGAAATAAATTAATCTTAGTTGCAAACATGAACTTTTATAGTAATTCTAGTGACAAACTTGCAATTTACCAGTTATTGTAACATCTAACGGCTGAAAAGAGGAGTTAGAAACTAAACCGGCTCCTTATGAAATGGAAAAAACCGGTGTAACCATTTTAGATTCTTATAGTTAATACAAAACTAGTTGGGACTTGGAAGATAGAGAATGAGATATGTATTAATTATTATTGGGTTGAAAAGAGTAGTTAACTGCTAAATTAAAATAGCTAGCTCGTCGCTGTCTCACGGCGGATATATAAATGATTTTCATTGACGAAGACAATATACACAGAATCGTTCGGTGGGCCTTGCGAGTTACGAATGTGTAATAGGCTGACTTGCGACTTTTCGACACGAGGGCAACTTCTTTGACGCCGGTCAACTAATGCCGTCCGTTGACGAGGCCCCCATGCAATTACTATTTCAACGTCCACTATTCCTTGGACCTTCTCATACCTAAATATTATACCTAAATATAATAAGGCTGTAATTTCCCATTTTACCTTTTGCAACAGTAACCAGTCCGTATAATTTATTAAGAAAATTATTTCCTTGAATGGGAGCCGTACCATATCAAACTGGCTAAGCAAATTTAACATGTCGGTCGGGAATCGGGATATATAGTTCCTTAATTATTAGGATTTTACTGATCAATCGTATCAATTTGAGTCCGCAATGTGGATCCATTAATAAAAAGGTCTGGTCGGTAATTCCATCACCTCCGATTTGTACTACCTATTACATTTACAAATTACAATGATACATTTTTTGTCATGATATCGATCAATCAAACTCAACTACTCAATGAATTGGCTTGGTCAAATCCAAAAGGCCCGACGATAGACTCTTGGAGTGGGATTATAGCACCAAAACTATAATTGGAACAAAATGAGTGCTATTGCTTGAGATGACAAAACCCATAAAACGACCAAAACTTATACTATTATTCTCCTCTTATGCTCCATCAAACTTAGTTTAACAACTCGACAGCGGGACGGTGCGGTGGAGGAAGTGGAAGGGAAAGTAAGAGATTCACATGTAGTATGGTATAGGTTATAACCCTCGCTTAATATTTGGTTTGATGTTATAAGACGTGTACTGATATGTGAAAAAAATAGTTTATTAAATATTTAATTTTTTAGCTACACATTCTGTTAATTAACAGAAGTTGATTTTCCGTTGTTGAATCAGCATGAAATAAAAATGAAATCGCGTATGATCCAATATTTATGACTCGGTTGCTTGTTGAATTTGAAAATACAGGTTTGAGTTTTGAAAACCTTAGAATTTATGATGGATTTGTTGTATTTAGTATTTGAAAGATAAACATTGTTTGTTTAGGTGAATTATTATCACGGATTTAGTTCATTTGGTATTTTGGTCTAAAAAATTTGCCTTCCATAATGTGGTATTTCCAAATACCAAATAAAAAGTGGTATTTGCGAATACGTGTGGTCCACGAATTTGAAGCTAAAAATATTATCCAAATCTGCGGGTCCCACGGATTTACATATATTAACAAACAATGGCTTTGGACAAAATACATAATGGTTGATATTTGGAGACAAAATACAAGATTCAAATCCCATTAGCCAACAACACCTTACATGCATGAAAACAACCCAACGGAATTCATAAACAATACCAACCAACCATCAGTAACAACCTGATTGCACGCTATATACAAGTATTTCTTACCGTTTAACAAAAATTTAAATAATAGTTATGCAAATGCAATTTGTTCCTAATCCAACGGATGAATTTGTACAACCATTCTGGTATATGTAGATGATCCGATTATTGGAGGAAATGATATGAATGAGATCAATCGAATCAAATCTTTTCTCCATCAGGCCCTCGACATCAAAGATCTAGGTGTCTTAAAATATTTCTTAGGTCTTGAAGTGGCCAGAACTACATAGGGCATTCATCTCTCTCAAAGGAAATATGCATTGGAAGTTCTTGATGAAGCTCGATACCTTGGTGTCAAACCTGTCACAAACCCTATGGATTACAAAGTTCACTTGAGTACTGATGATGGAACTGATCTGGTGGATCCAACAACATATCGTAGTCTTGTTGGTAAGCTCATTTACTTGACAACCACAAGATCATATATCAGTTTTGCA